TGTCAAAAGTAAAGTTGAACGACATTAAAGACATGAACAATAAAGAAACGACTTGTCTACTATTGTGGCTACTAATAACACGTGGACTTTACTGCATCAGTACTAGCATTTTTGCTGACTTACCAATGATCCAGTTTTTTTATGATGACAATAAACATAAATTCAAAGAGTAAAAAAAAACTTAACTCCAAAAATATCAAAATGGATATCATCTTGTAGAGTACAAAATTTTGATTTTTTATGCAAATTTTTTTAAAATACGATGTAAAATGAATGAGTTAAGATTCGTTGAATCTTCGTAGCATATTTGAAAAATTATTAACAGCCGACTGGAAATCCGCGCCGGTCCACCCTAAATCTGGTCAGCTTCCCCTAAATCCCTTATTTTCCTTCTTACCCTTTATGACATGGATCTTGATCTTCTCTTTTCAAATTACAATCATTGATTTGGGATTTATAGGACTACAAAACTTTTAAGGCTTTTATACTCTAACCTGTGAGGCTGTGACTTAATTAAAGGTTTTCTAAGAAGGAATTTCTCTTTCTCTAGTTTCAAAAGTCCAGAACATTTGACGATCTACTTAAAGAACACAAGTTAGTTATCCTTTGTAATATATAGATGGCTAAACATCATTAGTCAAATACTATGCAGAATTTGGTTGACAAATGCATCAAAACATTAGTATGTGTTGCCTTTGTGCAAAAGACATAAATTTCAACCCCTATAGGCACAAGCAGAATACGAAATCCAAGAGCTCAGGTGGTCATATAACTCGAATCGGATTATTTGTCGTTGACTGGAATTTATTGGGTCTCGCTGCTCGGTCACCAAGTCGGGTTCCAATGGCGAAGCGCCCTATTGTGGGGCTCAATGTATGAGCTTATACACGTTTGGGTTTTTGTTCTAGGTTCCAGTGTCGAAATGAAGGTTTGTTTATCTTGCTAACACAAACTTCCCTTATGGCCAAAGATGGGATAAAATGCCTCGCATGCCACTTAAGTTTGAGAATTGAGGAATCTGTATCACTTAAGTTAGGATAGGACATCAGGTACCACTAATATCATTAACATACCGTTTGGTATAAATGAATTCCATAAGTTTTGAGTAATTCATTTTGAAATGAACTTTTTTTTGTATTTGGTATTTGAAAGAATTCATTTTCAATTCTAAATTTTGAATTCTACGGAATTGGAAGTAGTTATAGCAATTCCGAGGAATTGAGATGGAATTTCCAAATGAATTCTGTTTGAGCCAAGACGCCTCGCTGGAACTCTCGCGATCCCTCTTCCGACCAGCGCCTGCCTACACACACGAACACGGAGGGGGCGCCTGGGCCCGTTAATCCTCCGACGCTCAAGTCAGTCTCTTAGAGAGAGAAGTGTCTCAAGGTAAAAGTTTTAGTGAGAGAACCCAACCTGTGTAAATGCTACCAACTGCCCCTATTTATACTCACCAAGTTCGAGGTTGATCTCCTCCACGTCACTGCCTCATTTAATGCCTTGTTCCCCCTTTTGTCAGTCCTTCCAACCACCTTGTCGGGTCTCTACCGCGTGACAGACGCCCGCAGGTGGTGGACCATCTGACAGTCTGACCTCTCAGGCCCCTCTGATCTGTACCCTCCTTGCCAGCTATCCCAACTACCTTGTCAGGCTCCTGCCGCGTGGCTGGTGCCCGCTGGAGATGGACCACCTGACAGCCTGGCCTCCCTTCTTGGCCTTTAGCGTTTTGTCCTCATGCGCCCTTCACCTTGCTTGGGTGCTCATAGCTCCGCTTTTGAGCGCCTAACTGACTCTGCTGTTGCGGCCTTGCCCCTCCCTTTGTCAATAGGCGCCCAACTTCCAGAGTACGCCAGTCTTTCCGGCGCCTGAACTCTTTATTGACCATCTTTTGTCGTATTGTCCATTTCGAAACTGGCTTACTTGGCTTCTCTGCCTTTATGGGCGCCCTCTGTTTTGTGTGCCTTCTCCCTGTGATTTGTGGGCGCCCCTATCCCTAATGCCCCCCTCATGGGTGGGTGTTTGATATCGGCCCCACGTTTTTCTTGCTTGAATTTTGGGAAATTTTTAAATTTCGAATTTTCTAAATTCGAAAAGAGAAATTTAAATTTGAAAAAATTTCAAAAAAGGAAAAGGTGGGGGATGCTCAAAAGCCCCCCGCGACAGTGACACGTGGCGCGCAACGCGAGCCTTGACTTGGGTTCCCCTTCCCTCTTCAGTCCTTGTCACTTTCCACAATCTGACCTCTCTCTAAGATTTCGCTCTGACTTCTCTCTAGATTATGCTCTGACTTCTCTCTACATCCCTCTTTGCAATCATCATTATTCCCCTCAAGTCAGCCGAAAATGTCGTCGCAAGCAGACAAAGTTGCCGGCCCTGGCGCCCAAGATGCGGCTGAGACTGGAACGGGCGCTTTGGCAGCAGGCGCCTCGAGTGCGGGTGGTGAGGCAAGGCGTCCGACTCAGAGTGGTAAGGAATCTTCTTGACTTGCTGGTTGTTTACGTTACATTTATTCTAGCTACCTAGGGTAGGGCGTCACTTACTCCGCGTCAACGTTGCGCCTGGATCATTTGTTGGTTTAGAGAGGGCGCCTGCTTCTACGTCCGCCGGTCCATCAAGCGCCTCGACTCCTTGCTTTATGCCTGCCGATGGATCGTACAAGATTTCGACATGGGAGAACTCGTTTCCCCCTGATCATCTCCCAGAGGAGACGTCTACGCTGCCCTTTGACGTGGCAGGACCGCAGCACACGTCAACTATCACCCATGCTCGCGTTCATGAACTGGTGACCAGCCTCCAACTACCTCGCGACTTGTGGTATGCGCCTCCCTCTGCAATCTCGCGAGTGGGCGTCTGTGGGCCGAAATGGATTGGGGTGTATCAGGAATACTTCCTCTTCGGGCTGCGATTTCCTCTCGACCATATCATGGAAGGGATTTTGACCACTTGTGGCTGCCCGCTGGGGCGCCTATCTCCCTCGGTCATCGTGATCGTGATCCTGTTCAAGCTGAGGTGCCGTGAACACCACGTTGAGCCTACCTTCAACTTGTTCCGGTATTTCTTTAAGTTGGCGCCCCTCGACAACTGTTTATCACTTCAAAAGAGGAAGAAGCGCCCATATCACTTTGTGGAGCGATGCCCGAAGTTGGGGCGCAGTTGGTTCAATGGGTTCTTCTTCATGAAGGCGTACCGGGACTCCTTCTTTGAAAGTGGAGGCGCCTTTTTGAGGCAGTGGGGGTTGGGACACGTCGAAGAGTTTAACGCGCCAGTCGTGTTGTCTCCAGCGGAAAAAGACGGCGCCCGCCTGATTTGTGAGACGAAAGTGGACTTGCGCAAAACTGAGAATCGCCGCCCAATTTTGGAGGCGTATTATAATGATGGTTTGTAGGCGCCTAGACATTATACGTATAGCAATGTTGTGACTTTTGCTATCTTCTTTTTTTTTGCCTTGTGCTAACGATTTCACGATGTGCAGGGTCGGACTTCAGCAGCATCGCCAAACTGATGAAGAGTCGGCTTGCAGCCATGACGGGAGGGGCGCCCCCATCGAGTCGGCCGAAGGCGCCTGCTGCGGCCACCACCAAACCACAGGTGCCTCCTCCTGGCCCGAAGAAGAAGAAGAGGGCGGTGAAGGGGGGCACGACGAAGACCGCCAGCATGGTGTCTTCGGCCACGGAGGCTGAGGAAGAGGCGCCTGATGTTGAACCCGCGGAGCAGGAGGATAACTCCGGGGAGGAAGAGGCTGAGCCCCTGATTCGTCGGGGGAAGCGAGCTGGGTCCCCCTTGGACAATGTCAGCAAAAGAGCTGACAGAGGGAAGGAGAAAGTGGGCGCCGCCGCCTCGGGCGGGGAGGGGGTGCCCAGTACCACCTTAATGAAGAGGGGCAGTACTTGGGCCCCGACGGGCGCCCCCCAATCTTCCAGCCGCGCCGCTCGGATGTTGGGCGCATCGAATTGCCGTGCTCCCCACTGTCGGCGGTCGACCGAGGCTGCGCTATGGGGTTGGCGATCACGGCTGCCAAGATATGACAAGTGCCGTCAGAGATGAATGGGGATCATCTCTTTGCAGAATTGGCCAAAGTGGGCGCCAAGGTATATACCCTTTTAATTGTTCTCTCGCGTTTGTGAAATTGTCGTTACGCGAATGCTAATTCTCCTTACTTGGTGTATGCAGATCCTTCTTTTTGCTGAGAGAGGCGCCCGACGCCTCTCTGAAACCAAGCGAGAGGCGCTTGAAGCCTCTACCTCTGCATCCTCCCTGAAGCATGATCTAGAAAACGCGACCGAGCGTCGCGAGTAGTTGGTGAAGGAGTGCGAGGAAGCGCAGATGAATGCGGCCATGGAGGTGTCGCAGCTTCAGGGCGCTCTTGACGAAGAGCGCAATAAATCGGCAACCCTTCAGGCGGAGAAGGAGGCATTGGCGCAGGAGGCAGGCGCCCAAGCGAGTGAGATAGATATCCTCAAGGAGGAGAAGAAGAGGTGGCAAGACGCCTACAAGGACTGTAAGAAAACCTTGAAAGAGGCGCGGAAAGAAATTTCCAACTTACGCCATTCTTTGGACAACTTCGAGGAGTCCGAGGCTGGGAAAAGTTTGAGCGCCAATGCTTGCTTGGTCGGCCTCGAAATTTTGAAGGTTAAGTTGGAGAAGGATCACCCCGACCTTACTTGGGATTTCACCGAGATGGCCGAGTATGTGATCGGGGAGATGGATACCCCCCGTGAAGCGGGGAGGGCGCCCAAGCCTCCTACTGTAGATGAGCCTCCAAGTGATTCTGCTCCTGCTTCACCTTTCCCGAAGGCGCCTAGTGCCGGGGATGCCAACTCAGGAGCTGAGTAAAGAATGGGCGTCAACTAAGGAGGATCTTTTTTTTAATATCTATAAAAACGTTTTCGTTGGTGTTGCAATCGTATTTTGGGGTGCTTGGTTTTACTTAACTTTTCTCGCTTGACTTGGGCGCATAAATTGTGGGCACTTTGTAGCCATTGGGCGCAAGGTTGGGCGCGATTTCTATTTATCATTGATTACCACGTTTCGAGGGCGCAAATTTGGGCGCGTTACTGTCCTGACTTATGGCGCAATATTGGGGCGCTTTGTGATTGACGGGGGGGAAAACTGGGCGCTTTACTAACTTCTCTTAACTCTTAAAACACATAATCGGGCGCAAAGTTGGGCGCTTTTACTGAATGTGAAAAGGCGAACCCGAACATGAAGTCACTACTGGGATACTAGAACATTGGGCGCTTTGGACACGATACGGCGCTATTTCAACGCGCGCTTTGGTCACAACACAATGCGCTTACACATAGACAAACACTTACAACTACGACCGCCTTTTCCCTTTTCTGGTTCTCATTAGGTGGAGGCGCCTTCTCCTTGTGCGACGCCCTCTCGATAAATTCGTAGATTTTGTGCGTTCCATGTTCTTTTCACCACTCTGCCGTCAGTATGCTCTAGCATGAACGTATTGGGTCCTACCAATTCTCGGACTCGATATGGGCTTTTCCACTTTGGTGCTAACTTTCCCTCGCGGGCGTTAGGGCAGAAATCACGTTTGAGGACCAGGGCGCCTTCAACGATCCCATGGGCACGCATTTTCTTGTTGTAGTACCGGGCCACTTGTCGCTTCATTTCTTCCAAACAGATTGCCGCCACCTCCCTTACCTCGTCTGCCATGTCCAATTCGTCGGTCCTTGCCTCGTCATTGTTGTTTGGGTCGTACTGGACAACGCGGTAACTTGGGATGTTGACTCCACGGGAATGACCGCCTCGCTTCCGTAAGTCAAGGCGAAGGGTGTTTCCCCGGTGACAGTCTTGTAAGTTTTGCGATGCGCCCACAACACATTTGGTAGTTCCTCGACCCATTTTCCCTTGGCGCCCGCCAGCCGGGTGTGCAACCCATGAAGGATACTTTTGTTGGCCGCCTCTGCTTGACCGTTTGCTTGTGGGTAAGCCACCGAGGAAAACCTCAACACGACTCCATTGTCTTCACAGAACTCCACGAACTTCTTGCAGTCGAACTGCTTCCCATGGTCTGTGACAATGGACTCAGGCAAGCTGAACCGAGTGAATATATTCTTCTTGGTGAATTTTCGCACCTGGGCTTCTGTGACTGTGGCCAAAGGTTCTGCCTCTATCCATTTGGAGAAGTAATCGACTGCCACTATCAGGTATTTCATTTGCCCATGCGCCTTGGGAAAAGGGCCTAAGAGATCCATGCCCCATTGGGCGAATGGCCAGGCTCCTACGTTGCCTTGCATGGGCGCCGCCGGGATGTGAATGTCATTTGCGTGAATTTGGCACTGATGGCAGGCGCCCACGGTGGTGGGGAACGACTTAGGATTCCGCCGATAATATTTTGAGATGGGTTGCAAAATGGTGGGCAAAGGCGATGATTTGTGCAAAAAGCCATAGATGAAAACCTAGCGAACAAAGGCGATGATTGTACAAAAAGCCATATACGAAAACCTAACAAACAATAACAAAACACAAAGGTGATAATTTATGCAAAAGCCATAGACGAAAAACCTAGCGAACAATAACAAAACACTAAAGAGGATGGAACTCGGTCTAGATACAAAACTCGTGATAGCAGCCTAGGGAAACGATGATGGGGTACAACTTAGGATTCCGTCGACAGTATTCCCAGATGGGCTGCAAAATGGTGGGAAAAGGCGATGATTTGTGTTCAAGTTAGAATACTCATGTGTTTGGGTTCAATTGTGATCATGCTCAACAAAAAGGGGGAAAAGAAAGAAAAAACACTAAAGAGGATGAAACGTCCCGATACAAAAATCGTTGTAGCGGCCTTGGGAAACGTTGGTGGGGAACAACTTAGGATTCCGCCGACAGTATTTCGAGATGGGTTGCAAAATGGTGGGCAAAGGCCATGATTTGTGCAAAAAGCTATAGATGAAAACCTAGCGAACAAAGGCGATGATTGTGCAAAAATCCATATACGAAAACCTAACAAACAATAACAAAACACAAAGACGATAATTTGTACAAAAAGCCATAGACGTAAACCTAGCGAACAATAAATAAACACAAAGGTTGTTGAATGGAGAGTGGGGTAAAAGAAGGACTTGGGACTTCCCCACTTGCAATTGGAGGAGTGTGAGAGCCACTAATGAATAGTAAGTAACTCAAACCTAGGCTTTAATATATTGACACAAAGACGATAATTTGCGCAAAAAAACATAGATGAAAACCTAGCGAACAATAAATAAACACAAAGGTTGTTGAATGGAGAGTGGGGTAAAAGAATGACTTAGGACTTTCCCACTTGCAATTGGAGGAGTGTGAGAGCCAGTAACTCAAACCTAGGCATTTATTTATTATTATTATTATTATTATTATTATTAATTTCAACCCGGGTCGTTGGCGGATGCATTATTTCAAACACATAAGCAACCATTGTTATTGTACATAGCAAGATATATTTTTATTGGTATAAAAAAAATCAAAAGATCGAGACTATTTAATTAGTGAGAAAATAAAAAAAGGAACATATATCGTATTATTTTCTAATATGCTAACCGGTTAATCAACAATAGTATCCTACCCGCGTTGGTTGGATGCATTATTTCAAACACATAAGCAACAATAATTGTAATTGTAAAAAGTCATTTATTATTTTTTATTAATGTCAAAAGTGAAAGAATTTGAACTATTATATTAATTGAAAAATAAAAAAGGAATATACATCATAGAGCCTTCTCATATGCTAACCGGTTCATCAACGTAAGTTCTTACAGAAAAATAAAAAATAAACTCCACGGAAGGTAACTAACTCTTAAAAATCTTTATCTAACTACACCATTATTTACTTTCTTGTTGTAAGAATAAATTACTGTAATTTTTCTTATGGCCTTCTTTCATATTGCTTCACCATATTTATCATCATCTTTGTCAATAGTTGTAGATTATCACTGAGACCTCTTTGTACATCATCAATAGTCTATCACTTCTTCTCAACATCACTACTCACTATCACTGTTTTCGAATTTACTACCTCCACCGTCAACAAACTCTTTCTTCGTCATCTCCGTTTCATTGAAATTTTACTCCAGTGTAAAACTAAAATGTTTGCAGATATGAAACCTTTTATTAATGAATTCAAGATTCTTAATAAGCATAGCTACTAACCCAATAGTTTAAAATCCCACACATTTAGTTTTCAAACTAAAGGTTTTAAATATTTAATTTGGATGTATTTTTTATTAACGAATAAAAACCCTACCACTACACTTATTTAATGTACAGACATATTTATTTGGTTTAGAAGTCTAATAATGCTTTATTTTAATGGTTTAGAAGTTTACTAATTGTTCACTAGGTTTCAAAATAGTTTTTTTCTTGTTCTATTAATGTGTACTAGTTTTTTGGGCGGCGCTTCGCAGCGGTAATATATTAAATATTAGTTTTAATAAAATTTTATACACTCATTAATAGTTCAAATAAAGCATGTTCATAAGCTTTTTACATAGTGTCTTATGTAACATATTTGTTTGATTGATACATAAAAAATAACTATCCCTTCGATCTTCATAAGTTTTACAAAGTGTATTTTAAAGACTGTTACAGAATGATATTACGTAATCTTCCATAACGGGTGGTCAAATAATAAAATAAAATTATATATCTTACATTTGATTAAACTATTATGTAGATTAACTTATCCTACAATCCAGAAGCCTCAATCTGTGAAATGTAAATTGATAATATGCTGAATATAGTAGGTAATAATAAGTGAACGAAGTAATAAAAAGTGATACATTTGATTAAACTGTTATGTAAGAAATAATTGACCTTACTAAGCTATTATATAATGCAAATTGATGCGAACGTCAACAATTTAGTTAATAAATTAGGATTTTTCATTCAAACTTACATGACGAAAACTTATGTGACATGTTTGTTTAATTGATACATAAGAAATTACACAAGCAATTAAGGATAGGGAAAAAAAGAGTTTGGTAAAATTTGATGTAGAGTATAAAAGATCCGGTAAACAGTACTCACTACAAAAAAAAATACTCTCTCTATTATTTAATAAAGAAGAACAATTTTAACTTGTGTTTTATATATAATTATGAATAGGACTGGTGTACTCTTGGAGTATATTATACTGTAGGTAATCACAGTGATATATCTATATCTAGTTTATGAATCAAATCGAGGTTAGAGTATGATACTATATCCTAACCTGTAAGGAATAAACCCTTGGGTGTCGATTTTTTATCCCAAACTCGAAGTTCAATTTAATAGAAAACAATAAATGACCATTGAGATTGATCAAAACTCATCAAAGTATATCTAATGATTATATTACCTCAAATATACTATACTCTGGAGTATACCACTCTTTGCTATATAATAATATATAATATTTACCAAATCAGAAAAGAGCTTCCATCTCAATTGTCAGTAGAAAGAAATTGACGGTCAGGGTGAAATTGAAGCGTCTATTTCTTCGGCTCTTGGGCGGATGGATTTTAGCATATTAATTACTTGGTTTGCTGCAGAAAGGACTACGGGAGATACCATGGGCCTCCCACAGGGAAAAATTCACCATGATGAACAGTGATCCGGAAAATTATATCGAGCAAGTGATTAGCGTTTTTTCCGTTCAGCAAGTGATTAGCGTTTTTTTCGTATGGAACTCTGCTTTTATTTTTTTGGTTACCTGCCGGTTAATATTTCTAACTAATCTACACATAATATAATACACCGAAGGGAAAAACGGGAGTTCCATTTCAAATTTCCTGCAACGAGAGTGAAAGTAGGAAGGATATTTTGGTCTTCACACTTACTTTTTTTAATTCATTAAAAAGACATGTAGTGGGATTCGAACCATGACCATTTTAAGGAAAAGTAAGGATCATAACCAATCACACTAAGTACATTTGTTGCATCTAAGGGTTTTTTCCTCTCTGCTATTATATCTTTTTAAATTAAAAAGATATAATAGCAGAGAGGAAAAAACCCTTTCCCCATTTCAAATTTCCTGCTCCAGGAGCGTTTGTAGGAATGATAGAATAGGGAGTGTCAATTTTTTCCTCTTTCCTCTGTGGAACGGGCCAACTTACCGTACACATGCGGATTTAAACGGGTTCAAGAGTGTCAATTTTTTCATTAAGCCCTTTTATTTCTCCGTGGTGATAAAATATATATGAAGAGGCAAAAACATACTTCTTTTTATTGCTAAAAATAAAAAATTTAACAATAAACTAATGCATGGTATCTAATGGGCTAACCGCTAACCATAAAATAAAAGAGTTGAATTGGTTTGACCTACACGGGATTTGGCCATCAAGTAAAACAAATGAACATCATTGGTTTGACATTCTAAAACAAGCTATTTTCTCTGGCATAATATATTATGCTATTATTTTATATCTTAGTGGCTAAAATATAATGTATTTTAAAGTTATTCAATGGTTCAACCTCGACCAACCCAATTAGTCCAATTTTTATCATTTCAAATATATATTATATAATTATTTGATATCATAATGATCAAATCATAGTGTATTTTATAGGGAATCGTTTGGTATTTGTTAGTAAAAAACTAAACAGAAAGATCTATTTGGTTATTTTAAACATTAAAACGATCCTAACATTTTCAGTTCCTTTTGAATTTCTATGGTTTTATTCCCGAATAAGTGATGTGCAAATGGCAGTCATCTCTTTTCTTTCACTATTTTTTATTTTCAAATAAAAAGTTTAAAAGTAAAGAATAATTAGAATTTGGCATGGGTCGGTCAAACAGGCTGCATTTCAAGTTTTGGCCCCCTTTTAATCAAGTCTAATTTATAATCACATGGTTCCCTGATACCCGGTAAAAATCTCAATCCAAACCAGTTTGGCAGGTGAGTCCGTGTTTACCACCATTTTCTAGGGATACGACAACGACGGTTCCTATCCCAAATCGTGTTGTTCGTTCTTTATTTCCTTAGATTTTATCATAGCCTGAAAAAAACCAGAAATCACAATGACGACAAGATGAAAGTTTTATAAACCAAATTAATCGGCCAACAGGCCGAGTAAAAGCTAGCAACGATTGTGAGATGCTCATTTCCCGAAAACCGACGGGATAGGCGATTTTTTATTCAATTTTCTGGAATTCAGTTTCTATAAAACTTACTCCACCTCATCATATTACCAGAAACAATATTGTTTCACAAGGTGACAGGTACTTGATTTTGGTTCATAAGGCCGATTTTTTATTTGTTGCATCATTAATGTCTCTTTCCTGCTAAAATTCACTATTTTTATCACGTGTTTCCAAAAAAAACTATACAACAATAAGTTATACACCCCATTACATTATCAAATTTCATACCTCACCTTCCTCTAGGGATGAAAACAAAATCCGAACCCACGGGTACCCACCCTACCCAACTCGGTCAACGCGAGTAAAATCCGTGTTGACGGGTTTTGGGCCGGGTTTGGGTTTAAACCCGTTCAATATTCATCGGGTTGGGTTGGGTTGGGTTTGGGTTTAGGTAAACCCGACCCATGGGTACCCGCCCACACCCATATAATTAATTTTCTCGATATATTTAATATTCTAAACAACTTATCTTATTTATGTTTGTGGAGACATGTCTAATTTTTTCTTTCTAATTGTGTAGAATGAAGTTGATGTTATCGAGTGGAGAGTGAAGAAACTTAATTGAAAGGAAGAAGCTTTCAATTAATCATGTTATTTGTGGATAATTTGTTATTTGCTTGAATTTTCTAGAATGGTATTTTATATATGGATAATTTGTATTGAGAGATTGATATTTGACTTTAATTATGATAGCAACTTGTTATTGTAAATTTTTTAAGACAAAAACCTGTGGGTACCCATGAACCCGCGGATACCCAGGGGGTTGAGTTGGGTTTGAGTTTTTCAAACCCAGTGGATTTTACCCCGAATTTTTTTCACGGATAAACCCATGAATTTGGATTTGAATTTGGCAAAACCCGACCCATTGCCATCCTACCTTCCTCCGGCCAACTGGCCGGGGCCCACACTAGTATATATTGATGATATCTATGGCAAGAAAATAGTAGACTAGCTTATATTATGCATTTACTACTAATTGCAGACTTACCGCCTCCTCGTTATTTTCTAGGGATCTTCAAGTTAATCTGCTAACTTGAAGATTCGTTAGCTGATACTAACTGATATCCAAAATACATGAACTAATATCCAAGTACTAAAGTATCTAGAAAGCACAGACTAGTATTCAAAGTTTGCTAACTGATATCCACCATGAATCAATTATTATCCCAAATTCACAAACTAATATCTAGACAACACAGAATAGTATCCAAACAGCACATAATTAGTATTCAGATAACACATAAGAGTATCCAGATAACCCATAAGAGTATCCACATTGAATACTAGTTGGTTGATTGTGGATATTAGTTGGTATCTGCTATCTGAATACTAGTTTGTTATGTTTTGAATACTAGTCTGTGCTATCTAGATACTTAGCAGACTTGAATATTAATTCATACATTTTAGATATTAGTTAGGATATACTAACAAATCTTCAAGTTAGCAGAATAACTAAGCTGTATTACTTGAGCCTGAAACCCGTTACATATGGCCCCGACTAAATATGAGCTTTTTTGGCCGATTTTTCCCCCAAGAAAAGGTCAAGACAAAAGTTAGAAAGAATCATTACCCACAATCCCTTTATATCTTACTAAAAATTTAGCCTACAAAATAAATAAAAAAGCTAACTCTAACGGAGATATCAACAGGGCTTTACGTGCAACTCTATGGGCAACTCAATTGACAGTCCGCGAGACCGCTCAGTATGAATTATCTTTTCTGATTGTTTTTTTTTCTTTCATCCTTCTATTTTGATTATATATGTTAATCTCCTTTCATGTTAAACCAACGACAAGTAAAAATAAACCATTTCATTGAGATTTTCTCATCATACGCTCTATGTATTGATATTGCAACCAGACAAGTAAACTGTAAATATAATGCATGTATTTTTTTATCTTATTGTTGGCTTTTATTTTATGAGTAGATTCTTTTGTTATAAGTATTTCATTACGAGTACTTGCATACCGCTGACAAACGTACAAGTACATATCTTTTAACAATTGTCAAACTGATACTTCACCAAGATACGACCTTTAGTAATTTCACTACCATCTATATCAAGTTGTTTGAAGGTATTGAAATCCAATAATTCAAGCCCCTGATTGGTATGCTCATGAGCAATGCGGACCTTCACTTGATTAGGAAGCCCTTCAACTCCAAAACTTGTGACCTGTATTATATATATGTACAAAATTCAGTTTGAATTTGCGTTAGTCCATAAAACACATACGTAGTAAAGGAGAAACGATAGTTTATGGATATGTTATCGAGAGAATGGTATAACGATGGAGTTTTACCAATTACCTTCAAACAACGTCCGCAGTGAGTAACAGTAGCATTGTTTTGAGGCCGCGGAGCAGGTAGAGCAGCAAAAGGATACTTGTGACGAGAAGCTAGAGGCAAGCGGGAGAGAGAAGCTGCACACGATAACGGTGACGAGAAAGAAGAAGAAGAAGAAGAAGAAGAAGCATTGGCGGGCCGCACTTCCACGAGATCATCATTATCATCATGATCACCATTCAAATAGCGGTTATGAAGCGTATCGTTAAGTAGAAGAGGTGCGATGAGTACTCCTCCTCCTGCCGGAGGATAAGGAACCTTATGACACTGGTACCAACAATAAATACCGTCACAGTGCTCCCAATTGTCGCCGCAGTAGAATTTGGTACTGCAACATCGTCCCGGGCCGCATTGAGCCCATGTGCCGTCGGGGTATTGGCCGCACTTGTGGTCCGACCGCTCAACCGGTGATTGAGATTGAGCAATCTGCAGCAGCAGAGCTCCAAGTACTATCACTACTTTACACGTAGCAACAGCCACTGCCAACATTCTCCTCTCCCTGCATATCATCATCGTCGTCGTCGTCGTATATCGATATGTAGCTCGCTCGTACCACATGCATTTATATAGCAGTTGGCGTACGAGTTGGGATATGTGGGCACGTTTCTTTCTTTGAGCCGTGTATTTTTAACAAATATGCTCAGAAGGGTATCGTTTGGATATGGCATTGGTGGTCACGAAAGAAAGGGCAATTGTTGTTGTGTGTCCATCTTCTACATCGTAGAGATCGGTATACTAATTTTGGGAATCAGCCGTCGCTTCATTTCAACTATACTAGTGCCCGAGGCAACTCTACTTTTTGGTACATGTAAACAAACAATATTTTTATAGATAAATGCAAACATGATAAAGAGTACCCCCAATAATGTGAACTCAGTTTATATTGTAAATGTTTTTATCTTTGTGAGGATAAGCGGAGTTTAAAGCATTTGAAACCACGTAAATTATACTATTATTATATCCTAGACACAATTGACATCCTTTTTAGTATATTTTTAGTGATTTTTACCTTAGATTTACTTCATATTGTTCCAATGGATCGGCATTTGATAGATTTTATGCGTGTTTTTATGTATTTTGTATAGTTTTACGTGATTTTTCAAGCAAAATATTGTAAACGACAAATATTAGATTGGACTAGAGGACCAATTGCATGAAGGATAAGAGGTTAAAAACAAGTTAATCAACACAGAACCAGCTTTAATTTAGATTAGGTGGGCCATCAGTCGCCTAACCCGTAATTCATCCCAAGAGGAGATTAAAGCCCAATTTTGGCTACAAAATCAAGTTCGAGGAGAAATCATGGTACACGGAGTTCCGGAAGGGACAGACCTCCAAAGAACTCTAGTTTCACTTGACATATATAGGATGGAAAGCTCAATGTTACGGGACAATCCAAGTACCACATCGGAAATACAAGAGAAGGAACCCTTGTATATTAGTGTCCACCAAGCTCATTAGTACGAGGCCTTTTGGGGAGGACACCCAAAAAGTAAAATCGTGTTGGCTTGGCCCAAAGGGAACATATCATACTAATGAGCAGCCTGATTATGACAAGTGGTAGCAGAGCCTGATTCGGCATTTCAAATACATCATTTCAACCTCTGGGGGTAGCCCCCTCATTTACCACCAATTAAACTATCTCTCTAATACGGCTTAATTGCAAGTTTGGTCACTCGAATTGTTTAAAAATTTTACGTTTGCCACTCAAATTGATTTATTCCATTTATAGTCACTCCAATTAGTTGAACAGTCCAAGTTTGGTCACTCTCCGTTAACCTCCGTTAGACTCCGTTAGTGACGACCGTTAAGTGATGACGTGGCTAACAGAAAGACACAGTCAACATATTTTAACATTAAAAAACCACGACCCGACCCGCCAGCTCAGCCTTACCCGCCCTGTCAGCCATTCTTGCCCAACCCGCGAACCAACCCAATTAATTGACCCTAAACCCAAACCTGAGACCCGCCGCCGTCGTTGTTGGTCTCCGCGATGTCGGTGGTGGGTGTAGTCTCCCTGGGAAACGCCGGCTTGTCGGAGCTCCGAGGCAACTACATGAAGTATTCCAAGTTCGCCGCCCAACCATCCGCTTCTACCTCGCCGTCACCGTCCTGGTCCTCCCTCCCCAGCAGAACCAGGATGCTTGTGGCCTACACTCCTGCATTCCTCGCCGCCTTGTCCTCCCTGCTCCTCCTCCACCATGGCGGTGACGGAGCTTCCTCTTCTAGGCTCTTCCTGGTCGAATCCGCCCTCGCCGTACATTTCTTCAAAAGGGTTTTCGAGGTACGTACTTTCTCCCAGTTCCAATTCAATCCAGCTCCAGCCCTTTTCTTCGAATGGAATTTTGATGGTTTTGTGGTCGAAATTGCTTGATTGCAGACACTGTTCGTACACAAGTACAGTGGCACCATGGCCGCAGGCACAGCAATTCCGATAAGTGTAAGCTACTTCAGCGTTACAACGCTCACAATCTACACCCAGATTTTGACGCAGGAGGCCCTGCTCCCAGAGCCAGCCATGGATTTGAGGCTCTACGGGGTGGTTCTCTTTCTCATCGGAATTGTTGGCAATTTCTGTCACCATTTCTTACTCTCCAAGCTGAGATCCTCCGGCGACGATGGCAAGAAGAAATAGTACAAGATCCCCAAGGGTGGGATGTTTGAGCTGGTGATTTGCCATCATTATCTGTTTGAGATCCTGGGTTTCTACGGTATCGCCCTCATCTCTCAGACGCTCTATTCCTTTTATGGAAGCAGGTGTATGAAAATCATGTACAACAGGTATGAGCCTCTATGGAAGCAGGTGTCAATTCTCGGGAACTCAGTACTCACCTTGTTGGTCTCGCTAGATCCAATCAATACATTGGACAAAATTCCGGCCAGGAACTCAGTACCACCGACATCGCGGAGACCAACAACCACGGCGGGTCTCGGGTTTGGGTTTAGGGTCAATTAATTGGGTTGGTTCGCCATTATCAAAAAAAATTGGGTTGGTTCGCTGGTTGGGCAAGAATGGCTGACAGGGCGAGTAAGGCTGAGCTGGCGGGTCGGGTCGTCGTTTTTTAATGTTAAATATGCTGACGGTGTCTTTCTGTTAGCCACGTCATCACTTAACGGTCGTCACTAACGGAGTCTAACGGAGGACAACGGAGAGTGACCAAACTTGGACTGTTCAACTAATTCGAGTGACTATAAATGGAATAAATCAATTTGAGTGGCAAACATAAAATTTTTAAGCAATTCGAGTGACCAAACTTGCAATTAAGCCCTCTAATACATAAGGTGTGCGTTATGAAGACAACTGTCAAAACCTTCTGAAAATTTTCAAATACATCATTTCGACCTCCCGGGGTTAGCCCCCTCATTTACCACCAATAAAACTATCTCTCTAATACATAAGGTGTGCGTTATGAAGACAACTGTCAAAACCTTCCGAAAAATTTCAAATACATGGTAGCCCCCTCATTTACTACCAATTAAACTATCTCTCTAATACATAAGGTGTGCGTTATGAAGACAACTGTCAAAACCTTCCGAAAAGTGGGAGATATCCTCTCCCTCACAAAACTGTACATCTCACCCAACTCTCTGAATCTCCTAACAAAATCCAAGAAGAATTCACCTCCAACCAATCTTTGATTCACTTGCGTCCTCTCAGCAGCGCCCATTCGAACTCGGCATCTCTGATCGTACGCCTACTACAAATTAGTCAAGCAGCAAAGAACATTGAGTGATCAACAGAAGCCTAACCCTAATAAGTCCGAAATCACTTCACCTTCAAAAACATGGGGAAAAGCGGAGCAGTCAAGGGAACTCCAACGAGAAAAAACAAAGAACAGAGCAATCAAGGGAACTCCAACAAGAAAAGAAGAAAAAAAAGAAGGTTGCAATTCATAATCTGAAGTTTTGTACTCTTTGATGATCCTGATATGAACTGATATGATATTGAAATGAACTTATAATGAACCTGATATGAACTTATATGATTCTGATATGATATTGAAATGGGGTGATATGCACTGATATGATGTTGAAATGAGTTGATATTTAGCTTATTTGCTATTGATATGGAATAACATTATATTGATATGAATGTTGTATAACTAATAAGATCCATATGAACTGATATGAGAATAATATGGACTGATATGATCTTGACATGAACTTATATGAACTCATATGAGTTGATATGAAAATTATATGAACGGATATAACATTGAAATGATAATGATTATGAATTTATATGTGTTGATATGAGAAATGATAGTGATATGAATCAATATGAGATTATATATATGAATTTATATGAACTGGTCTCATAATGCAAAACAAATTATGAAAGTACAATTTCTTATTCGTGCAAGAGCCATCCCTGAAAGAATATATGATCTTGTTAAGAGAATACCGGATGAAATGATACAACAGCTAGAAACAATTGGTTTTGAAGGAATCACTAAGTTCAAGATGATTAAGAGCAGGGGCAGAGCTATAGTTGGTCTCGGGGGGCCCCGTCAACCCCCCCCCCCCCCCCCCCCCCACCACCCCAGAACCGTGAAAGTTACGTCTAAACTACATTGATATTTTGAAATTTTTGTAAAAACTAAGAAAAGACCTAATACGTTTAGTGTGCTAATTTGAAAAAACAAAGTAGGCTTAGTCAAGCGGGGAGGAAGTGAGTTATGATGGAGCTGGTTGAGGGTTTGATACCCAACCTCTGCAATTGTGTTACTTTTTATTTGCTTTCTTTTTTAATATATCTACATAATTACTCTTTTAAATTTATTATTTCTTGACTCATTTAATTAGATATAATTACTCTTTCAAGTTTCATGTTATGGTTTCTTATTTCATTATTTCAATATTATTTCTTGATATAATACCCAACCTCTGCAATTGTGTTACTTTTTATTTGCTTTCTGTTTTAATATATCTACATAATTACTCTTTTAAATTTATTATTTCTTGACTCATTTAATTAGATGTTTCATGTTATGGTTTCTTATTTCATTATTTCAATATTGTTTCTTGACTCATTTAATTTCAAGTTTATGTTTTTTTACCACTTTGCAATTTTATATCACTGAAAAATTATCCATTTTGACCTTTCATAAGTTATTCTACATCAATATTTTGACTCTAATCATCTAAAATGATTAATCATAATACTAATAAAAGTAAAATTTACTTTGATTGTCTTACTTAGTTTTTAATTTTTTATCACCCTTCTGCGGTAATAGTATTAAATAATTTTCGGCCCCACGAACGTCAAATCCTAACTCCACCCCTGATTAAGAGAAACATGCATGCACTAAAGTACGTTCTGAGCAAGTACAACAGGATCACAAAAGCAATAATATTGCCACATGGCACTAAACTTCCCATTACACTAGAAGATGTTCTCAAAATTTAGCTACGGTACTAAGCAATAATATTTACTGACATTCCAATGGGACGGAAAAAGTAATCATGCAGAAAATTTTCACTACAGAAAGATGTCTTCAAAGACTTGGATTGGAACTGCAAGTAAAAGGTTTGTCAAAAGTAAATTTGAACGACATTAAAGACATGATCAATAAAGAAACGACTTGTCTACTATTGTGGCTACTAATATTAGATTGGACCAGAGGACCAATTGCATGAAGGATAAGAGGTTAAAAACAAGTTAATCAACACAGAACCAGCTTTAGATTAGGTGGGCCAACAGTCGCCTAACCCGTAATTCATCCCAAGAGGAGATTAAAGCCCAAATTTGCCTACAAAATGAAGTTCAAGGAGAAATCATGGTACACGGAGTTCCGGAAGGGACAAACCTCCAAAGAACTCTAGTTTCACTTGACATATTTAGGATGGAAAGCCCAATGTTATGGGACAATCCAAGTACAACATCGGAAATACAAGAGAAGGAACCCTTGTACATTAGTGTCCACCAAACTCATTAGTACGAGGCCTTTTAGGGAGGACACCCAAAAAGTAAAACCGTGCTGGCTTGGCCCAAAGGGAACAATATCATACTAATGAGCAGCCCGATTATGACAAGTGTTATCAGAGACTGATTCGGCATTTCAAATACATCATTTCGACCTCCCGGGCTTGAGAACTCTTAGTGTGCTCGCCATGTAGAGGGCGGAGAAGAAAATGATATCCCCACCTTGACTTCACTTCAAACGCAAATCAGTCTTAATACTATTATATTATGGGAGTGCTTACTATACAAAACTGTACATCAAAACTGTCCAAAACCCAGCCCCATATGTCCGATCCACAATAGATCTGATGGAGAAACACAGAGGGGGTTATGAAGACAACTGTCAAAACCTTCCGAAAAGTGGGAGATATCCTCTCCCTCACAAAACTGTACATCTCACCCAACTCTCTGAATCTCCTGACAAAATCCAAGAAGAATTCACCTCCAACCACTCTTTGATTCACTTGCGTCCTCTCAGCAGCGACCATTCGAACTCGGCATCTCTGATCGTACGCCTACTACAAATTAGTCAAGCAGCAAAGAACATTGAGTGATCAACAGAAGCCTAACCCTAATAAGTCCGAAATCACTTCACCTTCAAAAAACATGGGGAAAAGCGGAGCAGTCAAGGGAACTCCAACGAGAAAAAACAAAGAACAGAGCAATCAAGGGAACTCCAACAAGAAAAAAAAAAGGTAGCAATTCATAATCTAAAGTTTTGTACTCTTTGATGATCCTGATATGAACTGATATGATATTGAAATGAACTTATAATGAACCTGATATGAACTGATACGATTCTGATATGATATTGAAATGGGGTGATATGCACTGATATGATGTTGAAATGAGTTGATATTTAGCTTATTTGCTATTGATATGGAATAACATGATATTGATATGAATGTTGTATAACTAATAAGATCCTTATATGAACTGATATGATAATAATATGGACTGATATGATCTTGACATGAACTTATATGAATGAGTTTATATGAACTCATATGAGCTGATATGAAAATTATATGAACGGATATAATATTGAAATGATAATGATTATGAATTTATATGTGCTGATACGAGAAATGATAGTGATATGAATCCATATGAAATTATATATATGACCTTATATGAACTGGTATCATAATGCAAAATAAATTATGAAAGTACAACTTCTTATTCGTACAAGAGCCATCCCTGAAAGAATATATGATCTTGTTAAGAGAATATCAGATGAAATGATACAACAGCTAGAAACAATTGGTTTTGAAGGAATCACTAAGTTCAAGATGATTAAGAGCAGGGGCGGAGCTACAACTGGTATCGCCCCCCTACTCCGAGAATCGTGAAAGTTACGTCTAAACTGCATTGATATTTTGAAAATTTCGTAAAGGCTAACAAAAGACCTAATACGTTTAGTGTGCTAATTTGAAAAAACAAAGTAGGCTTAGTCAAGCGGGGAGGAAGTGAGTTATGATGGAGCTGGTTGAGGGTTTGATACCCACCCTCTGCAATTATGTTACTTTGTATTTGCTTTCTGTTTTAATATATCTACATAATTACTCTTTTACATTTATTATTTCTTGACTCATTTAATTAGATATAATTACTCTTTCAAGTTTCATGTTATGGTTTCTTATTTCATTATTTCAATATTATTTCTTGATATAATACCCAACCTCTGCAATTGTGTTACTTTTTATTTGCTTTCTGTTTTAATATATCTACATAGTTACTCTTTTAAATTTATTATTTCTTGACTCATTTAATTAGATGTTTCATGTTATGGTTTCTTATTACATTATTTCAATATTATTTCTTGACTCATTTAATTTCAAGTTTAGGTTTTTTTACCACTTTGCAATTTTATATCACTGAAAAATTATCCATTTTGACCTTTCATAAGTTATTCTACATCAATATTTTGACTCTAATCATCTAAAATGATTAATCATAATACTAATAAAAGTAAAATTTACTTTGATTTTCTTACTTTGTTTTTAATTTTTTATCACCCTTCTGCGGTAATAGTATTAAATAATTTTCGGCCCCACGAACGTCAAATCCTAACTCCACCCCTGATTAAGAGAAACATGCATGCACTAAAGTACGTTCTGAGCAAGTTCAACAGGATCACAAAAGCAATAATATTGCCAAATGGTACTAAACTTCCCATTACACTAGAAGATGTTCTCAAAATTTAGCTACGGTACTAAGCAATAATATTTACTGACATTCCAATGGGACGGAAAAAATAATCATGCAGAAAATTTTCACTACAGAAGAGACAGAAAGATGTCTTCAAAGACTTGGATTGGAACTGAAAGTAAAAGGTTTGTCAAAAGTAAAGTTGAACGACATTAAAGACATGAACAATAAAGAAACGACTTGTCTACTATTGTGGCTACTAATAACACGTGGACTTTACTGCATCAGTACTAGCATTTTTGCTGACTTACCAATGATCCAGTTTTTTTATGATGACAATAAACATAAATTCAAAGAGTAAAAAAAACTTAACTCCAAAAATATCAAAATGGATATCATCTTGTAGAGTACAAAATTTTGATTTTTTATGCAAATTTTTTTAAAATACGATGTAAAATGAATGAGTTAAGATTCGTTGAATTTTCGTAGCATATTTGAAAAATTATAAACAGCCGACTGGAAATCCGCGCCGGTCCACCCTAAATCTGGTCAGCTTCCCCTAAATCCCTTATTTTCCTTCTTACCCTTTATGACATGGATCAAATTACAATCATTGATTTGGGATTTATAGGACTACAAAACTTTTAAGGCTTTTATACTCTAACCTGTGAGGCTGTGACTTAATTAAAGGTTTTCTAAGAAGGAATTTCTCTTTCTCTAGTTTGAAAAGTCCAGAACATTTGACGATCTACTTAAAGAACACAAGTTAGTTATCCTTTGTAATATATAGATGGCTAAACATCATTAGTCAAATACTATGCAGAATTTGGTTGACAAATGCATCAAAACATTAGTATGTGTTGCCTTTGTGCAAAAGACATAAATTTCAACCCCTATAGGCACAAGCAGAATACGAAAGCCAAGAGCTCAGGTGGTCATATAACTCGAATCGGATTATTTGTCGTTGACTAGACTTTATTGGGTCTCGCTGCTCGGTCACCAAGTCGGGTTCCAATGGCGAAGCGCCCGATTGTGGGGCTCAATGTATGAGCTTATACACGCTTGGGTTTTTGTTCTAGGTTCCAGTGTCGAAATGAAGGTTTGTTTATCTTGCTAACACAAACTTCCCTTATGGCCAAAGATGGGATAAAATGCCTCGCATGCCACTTAAGTTTGAGAATTGAGGAATCTGTATCACTTAAGTTAGGATAGGACATCAGGTACCACTAATATCATTAACATACCGTTTGGTATAAATGAATTCCATAAGTTTTGAGTAATTCATTTTGAAATGAACTTTTTTTTGTGTTTGGTATTTGAAAGAATTCATTTTCAATTCTAAATTTTGAATTCTACGGAATTGGAATTAGTTATAGCAATTCCGAGGAATTGAGATGGAATTTCCAAATGAATTCTGTTTGAGCCAAGACGCCTCGCTGGAACTCTCGCGATCCCTCTTCCGACCAGCGCCTGCCTACACACACGAACACGGAGGGGGCGCCTGGGCCCGTTAATCCTCCGACGCTCAAGTCAGTCTCTTAGAGAGAGAAGTGTCTCAAGGTAAAAGTTTTAGTGAGAGAACCCAACCTGTGAAAATGCTACCAACTGCCTCTATTTATACTCACCAAGTTCGAGGTTGATCTCCTCCACGTCACTGCCTCATTTAATGCCTTGTTCCCCCTTTTGTCAGTCCTTCCAACCACCTTGTCGGGTCTCTGCCGCGTGACAGACGCCCGCAGGTGGTGGACCATCTGACAATCTGACCTCTCAGGCCCCTCTGATCTGTACCCTCCTTGCCAGCTATCCCAACTACCTTGTCAGGCTCCTGCCGCGTGGCTGGTGCCCGCTGGAGATGGACCACCTGACAGCCTGGCCTCCCTTCTTGGCCTTTAGCGTTTTGTCCTCATGCGCCCTTCACCTTGCTTGGGTGCTCATAGCTCCGCTTTTGAGCGCCTAACTGACTCTGCTGTTGCGGCCTTGCCCCTCCCTTTGTCAATAGGCGCCCAACTTCCAGAGTACGCCAGTCTTTCCGGCGCCTGAACTCTTTATTGACCATCTTTTGTCGTATTGTCCATTTCGAAACTGGCTTACTTGGCTTCTCTGCCTTTATGGGCGCCCTCTGTTTTGTGTGCCTTCTCCCTGTGATTTGTGGGCGCCCCTATCCCTAATGCCCCCCTCATGGGTGGGTGTTTGATATCGGCCCCACGTTTTTCTTGCTTGAATTTTGGGAAATTTTTAAATTTCGAATTTTCTAAATTCGAAAAGAGAAATTTAAATTTGAAAAAATTTCAAAAAAGGAAAAGGTGGGGGATGCTCAAAAGCCCCCCGCGACAGTGACACGTGGCGCGCAACGCGAGCCTTGACTTGGGTTCCCCTTCCCTCTTCAGTCCTTGTCACTTTCCACAATCTGACCTCTCTCTAAGATTTCGCTCTGACTTCTCTCTACATCCCTCTTTGCAATCATCATTATTCCCCTCAAGTTAGCCGAAAATGTCGTCGCAAGCAGACAAAGTTGCCGGCCCTGGCGCCCAAGATGCGGCTGAGACTGGAACGGGCGCTTTGGCAGCAGGCGCCTCGGGTGCGGGTGGTGAGGCAAGGCGTCCGACTCAGAGTGGTAAGGAATCTTCTTGACTTGCTGGTTGTTTACGTTACATTTATTCTAGCTACCTAGGGTAGGGCGTCACTTACTCCGTGTCAACGTTGCGCCTGGATCATTTGTTGGTTTAGAGAGGGCGCCTGCTTCTACGTCCGCCGGTCCATCAAGCGCCTCGACTCCTTGCTTTATGCCTGCCGATGGATCGTACAAGATTTCGACATGGGAGAACTCGTTTCCCCCTGATCATCTCCCAGAGGAGACGTCTACGCTGCCCTTTGACGTGGCAGGACCGCAGCACACGTCAACTATCACCCATGCTCGCGTTCATGAACTGGTGACCAGCCTCCAACTACCTCGCGACTTGTGGTATGCGCCTCCCTCTGCAATCTCGCGAGTGGGCGTCTGTGGGCCGAAATGGATTGGGGTGTATCAGGAATACTTCCTCTTCGGGCTGCGATTTCCTCTCGACCATATCATGGAAGGGATTTTGACCACTTGTGGCTGCCCGCTGGGGCGCCTATCTCCCTCGGTCATCGTGATCGTGATCCTATTCAAGCTGAGGTGCCGTGAACACCACGTTGAGCCTACCTTCAACTTGTTCCGGTATTTCTTTAAGATGGCGCCCCTCGACAACTGTTTATCACTTCAAAAGAGGAAGAAGCGCCCATATCACTTTGTGGAGCGATGCCCGAAGTTGGAGCGCAGTTGGTTCAATGGGTTCTTCTTCATGAAGGCGTACCGGGACTCCTTCTTTGAAAGTGGAGGCGCCTTTTTGAGGCAGTGGGGGTTGGGACACGTCGAAGAGTTTAACGCGCCAGTCGTGTTGTCTCCAGCGGAAAAAGACGGCGCCCGCCTGATTTGTGAGACGAAAGTGGACTTGCGCAAAACTGAGAATCGCCGCCCAATTTTGGAGGCGTATTATAATGATGGTTTGTAGGCGCCTAGACATTATACGTATAGCAATGTTGTGACTTGTGCTATCTTTTTTTTTTTTTGCCTTGTGCTAACGATTTCACGATGTGCAGGGTCGGACTTCAGCAGCATCGCCAAACTGATGAAGAGTCGGCTTGCAGCCATGACGGGAGGGGCGCCCCCATCGAGTCGGCTGAAGGCGCCTGCTGCGGCCACCACCAAACCACAGGTGCCTCCTCCTGGCCCGAAGAAGAAGAAGAGGGCGGTGAAGGGGGGCACGACGAAGACCGCCAGCGTGGCGTCTTCGGCCACGGAGGCTGAGGAAGAGGCGCCTGATGTTGAACCCGCGGAGCAGGAGGATAACTCCGGGGAGGAAGAGGCTGAGCTCCTGATTTGTCGGGGGAAGCGAGCTGGGTCCCCCTTGGACAATGTCAGCAAAAGAGCTGAAAGAGGGAAAGAGAAAGTGGGCGCCGCCGCCTCGGGCGGGGAGCGGGGTGCCCAGTACCACCTTAATGAAGAGGGGCAGTACTTGGGCCCCGACGGGCGCCCCCCAATCTTCCAGCCGCGCCGCTCGGATGTTGGGCGCATCGAATTGCCATGCTCCCCACTGTCGGCGGTCGACCGAGGCTACGCTATGGGGTTGGCGATCACGGCTGCCAAGATATGACAAGTGCCGTCAGAGATGAATAGGGATCATCTCTTTGCAGAATTGGCCAAAGTGGGCGCCAAGGTATATACCCTTTTAATTGTTCTCTCGCGTTTGTGAAATTGTCGTTACGCGAATGCTAATTCTCCTTACTTGGTGTATGCAGATCCTTCTTTTTGCTGAGAGCGGCGCCCGACGCCTCTCTGAAACCAAGCGAGAGGCGCTCGAAGCCTCTACCTCTGCATCCTCCCTGAAGCATGATCTAGAAAACGCGACCGAGCGTCGCGAGTAGTTGGTGAAGGAGTGCGAGGAAGCGCAGATGAATGCGGCCATGGAGGTGTCGCAGCTTCAGGGCGCTCTTGACGAAGAGCGCAATAAATCGGCAACCCTTCAGGCGGAGAAGGAGGCATTGGCGCAGGAGGCAGGCGCCCAAGCGAGTGAGATAGATATCCTCAAGGAGGAGAAGAGGTGGCAAGACGCCTACAAGGACTGTAAGAAAACCTTGAAAGAGGCGCGGAAAGAAATTTCCAACTTACGCCATTCTTTGGACAACTTCGAGGAGTCCGAGGCTGGGAAAAGTTTGAGCGTCAATGCTTGCTTGGTCGGCCTCGAAATTTTGAAGGTTAAGTTGGAGAAGGATCACCCCGACCTTACTTGGGATTTCACCGAGATGGCCGAGTATGTGATCGGGGAGATGGATACCCCCCGTGAAGCGGGGAGGGCGCCCAAGCCTCCTACTGTAGATGAGCCTCCAAGTGATTCTGCTCCTGCCTCACCTTTCCCTAAGGCGCCTAGTGCCGGGGATGCCAACTCAGGAGCTGAGTAAAGAATGGGCGTCAACTAAGGAGGATCTTTTTTTTAATATCTATAAAAACGTTTCCGTTGGTGTTGCAATCGTATTTTGGGGTGCTTGGTTTTACTTAACTTTTCTCGCTTGACTTGGGCGCATAAATTGTGGGCACTTTGTAGCCATTGGGCGCAAGGTTGGGCGCGATTTCTATTTATCATTGATTACCATGTTTCGAGGGCGCAAATTTGGGCGCGTTACTGTCCTGACTTATGGCGCAATATTGGGGCGCTTTGTGATTGACGGGGGGAAAACTGGGCGCTTTACTAACTTCTCTTAACTCTTAAAACACATAATCGGACGCAAAGTTGGGCGCTTTTACTGAATGCGAAAAGGCGAACGCGAACATGAAGTCACTACTGGGATACTAGAACATTGGGCGCTTTGGACACGATACGGCGCTATTTCAACGCGCGCTTTGGTCACAACACAATGCGCTTACACATAGACAAACACTTACAACTACGACCGCCTTTTCCCTTTTCTGGTTCTCATTAGGTGGAGGCGCCTTCTCCTTGTGCGACGCCCTCTCGATAAATTCGTAGATTTTGTGCGTTCCATGTTCTTTTCACCACTCTGCCGTCAGTATGCTCTAGCATGAACGTATTGGGTCCTACCAATTCTCGGACTCGATATGGGCTTTTCCACTTTGGTGCTAACTTTCCCTCGCGGGCGTCAGGGCAGAAATCACGTTTGAGGACCAGGGCGCCTTCAACGATCCCATGGGCACGCATTTTCTTGTTGTAGTACCGGGCCACTTGTCGCTTCATTTCTTCCAAACAGATTGCCGCCACCTCCCTTACCTCGTCTGCCATGTCCAATTCGTCGGTCCTTGCCTCGTCATTGTTGTTTGGGTCGTACTGGACAACGCGGTAACTTGGGATGTTGACTCCACGGGAATGACCGCCTCGCTTCCGTAAGTTAAGGCGAAGGGTGTTTCCCCGGTGACAGTCTTGTAAGTTTTGCGATGCGCCCACAACACATTTGGCAGTTCCTCGACCCATTTTCCCTTGGCGCCCGCCAGCCGGGTGTGCAACCCATGAAGGATACTTTTGTTGGCCGCCTCCGCTTGACCGTTTGCTTGTGGGTAAGCCACCGAGGAAAACCTCAACACGACTCCATTGTCTTCACAGAACTCCACGAACTTCTTGCAGTCGAACTGCTTCCCATGGTCTGTGACAATGGACTCAGGCAAGCTGAACCGAGTGAATATATTCTTCTTGGTGAATTTTCGCACCTGGGCTTCTGTGACTGTGGCCAAAGGTTCTGCCTCTATCCATTTGGAGAAGTAATCGACTGCCACTATCAGGTATTTCATTTGCCCAGGCGCCTTGGGAAAAGGGCCTAAGAGATCCATGCCCCATTGGGCGAATGGCCAGGCTCCTACGTTGCCTTGCATGGGCGCCGCCGGGATGTGAATGTCATTTGCGTGAATTTGGCACTGATGGCAGGCGCCCACGGTGGTGGGGAACGACTTAGGATTCCGCCGATAATATTTTGAGATGGGTTGCAAAATGGTGGGCAAAGGCGATGATTTGTGCAAAAAGCCATAGATGAAAACCTAGCGAACAAAGGCGATGATTGTACAAAAAGCCATATACGAAAACCTAACGAACAATAACAAAACACAAAGGCGATAATTTATGCAAAAGCCATAGACGAAAAACCTAGCGAACAATAACAAAACACTAAAGAGGATGGAACTCGGTCTAGATACAAAACTCGTGATAGCAGCCTAGGGAAACGATGATGGGGTACAACTTAGGATTCCGTCGACAGTATTCCCAGATGGGCTGCAAAATGGTGGGAAAAGGCGATGATTTGTGTTCAAGTTAGAATACTCATGTGTTTGGGTTCAATTGTGATCATGCTCAACAAAAAGGGGGAAAAGAAAGAAAAAACACTAAAGAGGATGAAACGTCCCGATACAAAAATCGTTGTAGCGGCCTTGGGAAACGTTGGTGGGGAACAACTTAGGATTCCGCCGACAGTATTTCGAGATGGGTTGCAAAATGGTGGGCAAAGGCGATGATTTGTGCAAAAAGCTATAGATGAAAACCTAGCGAACAAAGGCGATGATTGTGCAAAAATCCATATACGAAAACCTAACAAACAATAACAAAACACAAAGACGATAATTTGTACAAAAAGCCATAGACGTAAACCTAGCGAACAATAAATAAACACAAAGGTTGTTGAATGGAGAGTGGGGTAAAAGAAGGACTTGGGACTTCCCCACTTGCAATTGGAGGAGTGTGAGAGCCACTAATGAATAGTAAGTAACTCAAACCTAGGCTTTAATATATTGACACAAAGACGATAATTTGCGCAAAAAAACATAGATGAAAACCTAGCGAACAATAAATAAACACAAAGGTTGTTGAATGGATAGTGGGGTAAAAGAATGACTTAGGACTTTCCCACTTGCAATTGGAGGAGTGTGAGAGCCAGTAACTCAAACCTAGGCATTTATTTATTTATATTATTATTATTATTATTAATTTCAACCCGGGTCGTTGGCGGATGCATTATTTCAAACATATAAGCAACCATTGTTATTGTACATAGCAAGATATATTTTTATTGGTATAAAAAAATCAAAAGATCGAGACTATTTAATTAGTGAGAAAATAAAAAAAGGAACATATATCGTATTATTTTCTAATATGCTAACCGGTTAATCAACAATAGTATCCTACCCGCGTTGGTTGGATGCATTATTTCAAACACATAAGCAACAATAATTGTAATTGTAAAAAGTCATTTATTATTTTTTATTAATGTCAAAAGTGAAAGAATTTGAACTATTATATTAATTGAAAAATAAAAAAGGAATATACATCATAGAGCCTTCTCATATGCTAACCGGTTCATCAACGTAAGTTCTTACAGAAAAATAAAAAATAAACTCCACGGAAGGTAACTAACTCTTAAAAATCTTAATCTAACTACACCATTATTTACTTTCTTGTTGTAAGAATAAATTACTGTAATTTTTCTTATGGCCTTCTTTGATATTGCTTCACCATATTTATCATCATCTTTGTCAATAGTTGTAGATTATCACTGAGACCTCTTTGTACATCATCAATAGTCTATCACTTCTTCTCAACATCACTACTCACTATCACTGTTTTCGAATTTACTACCTCCACCGTCAACAAACTCTTTCTTCGTCATCTTCGTTTCATTGAAATTTTACTCCAGTGTAAAACTAAAATGTTTGCAGATATGAAACCTTTTATTAATGAATTCAAGATTCTTAATAAGCATAGCTACTAACCCAATAGTTTAAAATCCCACACATTTAGTTTTCAAACTAAAGGTTTTAAATATTTAATTTGGATGTATTTTTTATTAACGAATAAAAACCCTACCACTACACTTATTTAATTTACAGACATATTTATTTGGTTTAGAAGTCTAATAATGCTTTATTTTAATGGTTTAGAAGTTTACTAATTGTTCACTAGGTTTCAAAATAGTTTTTTTCTTGTTCTATTAATGTGTACTAGTTTTTTGGGCGGCGCTTCGCAGCGGTAATATATTAAATATTAGTTTTAATAAAATTTTATACACTCATTAATAGTTCAAATAAAGCATGTTCATAAGCTTTTTACATAGTGTCTTATGTAACATATTTGTTTGATTGATACATAAAAAATAACTATCCCTTCGATCTTCATAAGTTTTACAAAGTGTATTTTAAAGACTGTTACAGAATGATATTACGTAATCTTCCATAACGGGTGGTCAAATAATAAAATAAAATTATATATCTTACATTTGATTAAACTATTATGTAGATTAACTTATCCTACAATCCAGAAGCCTCAATCTGTGAAATGTAAATTGATAATATGCTGAATATAGTAGGTAATAATAAGTGAACGAAGTAATAAAAAGTGATACATTTGATTAAACTGTTATGTAAGAAATAATTGACCTTACTAAGCTATTATATAATGCAAATTGATGCGAACGTCAACAATTTAGTTAATAAATTAGGATTTTTCATTCAAACTTACATGACGAAAACTTATGTGACATGTTTGTTTAATTGATACATAAGAAATTACACAAGCAATTAAGGATAGGGAAAAAAAGAGTTTGGTAAAATTTGATGTAGAGTATAAAAGATCCGGTAAACAGTACTCACTACAAAAAAAAAATACTCTCTCTATTTTTTAATAAAGAAGAACAATTTTAACTTGTGTTTTATATATAATTATGAATAGGACTGGTGTACTCTTGGAGTATATTATACTGTAGGTAATCACAGTGATATATCTATATCTAGTTTATGAATCAAATCGAGGTTAGAGTATGATACTATATCCTAACCTGTAAGGAATAAACCCTTGGGTGTCGATTTTTTATCCCAAACTCGAAGTTCAATTTAATAGAAAACAATAAATGACCATTGAGATTGATCAAAACTCATCAAAGTATATCTAATGATTATATTACCTCAAATATACTATACTCTGGAGTATACCACTCTTTGCTATATAATAATATATAATATTTACCAAATCAGAAAAGAGCTTCCATCTCAATTGTCAGTAGAAAGAAATTGACGGTCAGGGTGAAATTGAAGCGTCTATTTCTTCGGCTCTTGGGCGGATGGATTTTAGCATATTAATTACTTGGTTTGCTGCAGAAAGGACTACGGGAGATACCATGGGCCTCCCACAGGGAAAAATTCACCAAGATGAACAGTGATCCGGAAAATTATATCGAGCAAGTGATTAGCGTTTTTTCCGTTCAGCAAGTGATTAGCGTTTTTTTCGTATGGAACTCTGCTTTTATTTTTTTGGTTACCTGCCGGTTAATATTTCTAACTAATATATATTGATGATATCTATGGCAAGAAAATAGTAGACTAGCTTATATTATGCATTTACTACTAATTGCAGACTTACCGCCTCCTCGTTATTTTCTAGGGATCTTCAAGTTAATCTGCTAACTTGAAGATTCGTTAGCTGATACTAACTGATATCCAAAATACATGAACTAATATCCAAGTACTAAAGTATCTAGAAAGCACAGACTAATATTCAAAGTTTGCTAACTGATATCCACCATGAATCAATTATTATCCCAAATTCACAAACTAATATCTAGACAACACAGAATAGTATCCAAACAGCACATAATTAGTATTCAGATAACACATAAGAGTATCCAGATAACCCATAAGAGTATCCACATTGAATACTAGTTGGTTGATTGTGGATATTAGTTGGTATCTGCTATCTGAATACTAGTTTGTTATGTTTTGAATACTAGTCTGTGCTATCTAGATACTTAGCAGACTTGAATATTAATTCATACATTTTAGATATTAGTTAGGATATACTAACAAATCTTCAAGTTAGCAGAATAACTAAGCTGTATTACTTGAGCCTGAAACCCGTTACATATGGCCCCGACTAAATATGAGCTTTTTTGGCCGATTTTTCCCCCAAGAAAAGGTCAAGACAAAAGTTAGAAAGAATCATTACCCACAATCCCTTTATATCTTACTAACAATTTAGCCTACAAAATAAATAAAAAAGCTAACTCTAACGGAGATATCAACAGGGCTTTACGTGCAACTCTATGGGCAACTCAATTGACAGTCCGCGAGACCGCTCAGTATGAATTATCTTTTCTTATTGTTTTTTTTTCTTTCATCCTTCTATTTTGATTATATATGTTAATCTCCTTTCATGTTAAACCAACGACAAGTAAAAATAAACCATTTCATTGAGATTTTCTCATCATACGCTCTATGTATTGATATTGCAACCAGACAAGTAAACTGTAAATATAATGCATGTATTTTTTTATCTTATTGTTGGCTTTTATTTTATGAGTAGATTCTTTTGTTATAAGTATTTCATTACGAGTACTTGCATACCGCTGACAAACGTACAAGTACATATCTTTTAACAATTGTCAAACTGATACTTCACCAAGATACGACCTTTAGTAATTTCACTACCATCTATATCAAGTTGTTTGAAGGTATTGAAATCCAATAATTCAAGCCCCTGATTGGTATGCTCATGAGCAATGCGGACCTTCACTTGATTAGGAAGCCCTTCAACTCCAAAACTTGTGACCTGTATTATATATATGTACAAAATTCAGTTTGAATTTGCGTTAGTCCATAAAACACATACGTAGTAAAGGAGAAACGATAGTTTATGGATATGTTATCGAGAGAATGGTATAACGATGGAGTTTTACCAATTACCTTCAAACAACGTCCGCAGTGAGTAACAGTAGCATTGTTTTGAGGCCGCGGAGCAGGTAGAGCAGCAAAAGGATACTTGTGACGAGAAGCTAGAGGCAAGCGGGAGAGAGAAGCTGCACACGATAACGGTGACGAGAAAGAAGAAGAAGAAGAAGAAGAAGAAGCATTGGCGGGCCGCACTTCCACGAGATCATCATTATCATCATGATCACCATTCAAATAGCGGTTATGAAGCGTATCGTTAAGTAGAAGAGGTGCGATGAGTACTCCTCCTCCTGCCGGAGGATAAGGAACCTTATGACACTGGTACCAACAATAAATACCGTCACAGTGCTCCCAATTGTCGCCGCAGTAGAATTTGGTACTGCAACATCGTCCCGGGCCGCATTGAGCCCATGTGCCGTCGGGGTATTGGCCGCACTTGTGGTCCGACCGCTCAACCGGTGATTGAGATTGAGCAATCTGCAGCAGCAGAGCTCCAAGTACTATCACTACTTTACACGTAGCAACAGCCACTGCCAACATTCTCCTCTCCCTGCATATCATCATCGTCGTCGTCGTCGTATATCGATATGTAGCTCGCTCGTACCACATGCATTTATATAGCAGTTGGCGTACGAGTTGGGATATGTGGGCACGTTTCTTTCTTTGAGCCGTGTATTTTTAACAAATATGCTCAGAAGGGTATCGTTTGGATATGGCATTGGTGGTCACGAAAGAAAGGGCAATTGTTGTTGTGTGTCCATCTTCTACATCGTAGAGATCGGTATACTAATTTTGGGAATCAGCCGTCGCTTCATTTCAACTATACTAGTGCCCGAGGCAACTCTACTTTTTGGTACATGTAAACAAACAATATTTTTATAGATAAATGCAAACATGATAAAGAGTACCCCCAATAATGTGAACTCAGTTTATATTGTAAATGTTTTTATCTTTGTGAGGATAAGCGGAGTTTAAAGCATTTGAAACCACGTAAATTATACTATTATTATATCCTAGACACAATTGACATCCTTTTTAGTATATTTTTAGTGATTTTTACCTTAGATTTACTTCATATTGTTCCAATGGATCGGCATTTGATAGATTTTATGCGTGTTTAAAGCATTTGAAGTTTTGTACTCTTTGATGATCCTGATATGAACTGATATGATATTGAAATGAACTTATAATGAACCTGATATGAACTTATACGATTCTGATATGATATTGAAATGGGGTGATATGCACTGATATTATGTTGAAATGAGTTGATATTTAGTTTATTTGCTATCGATATGGAATAACATGATATTGATATGAATGTTGTATAACTAATAAGATCCTTATATGAACTGATATGATAATAATATGGACTGATATGATCTTGACATGAACTTATATGAATGAGTTTATATGAACTCATATGAGGTGATATGAAAATTATATGAACGGATATAATATTGAAATGATAATGATATGAATTTATATGTGCTAATATGAGAAATGATAGTGATATGAATCAATATGAACTTATATGAACTGGTCTCATAATGCAAAACAAATTATGAAAGTACAACTTCTTATTCGTACAAGAGCCATCCCTGAAAGAATATATGATCTTGTTAAGAGAATAACGGATGGAATGATACAACAGCTAGAAACAATTGGTTTTGAAGGAACCACTAAGTTCAAGTCTTCAAGATGATTAAGAGAAACATGCATGCACTAAAGTACGTTCTGAGCTAGTACAACAGGATCACAAAAACAATAATATTGCCACATGGTACTAAACTTCCCATTACACTAGAGGATGTTCTCAAAATTTAGGGTACTAAGCAATAATATTTACTGACATTCCAATAGGACAGAAAAAGTAATCGTGCAGAAAATTTTCACTACAGAAGAGACAGAAAGATGCCTTCAAAGACTTGGATTGGAACTGGAAGTAAAAAGTTTGTCAAAAGTAAAGTTGGACGACATTAAAGACATGATGATCAAAATGGACATCATCTTTGCTGAGTTACCAATGATCCAGTTTTTTTAAGATGACAATAAACATGAATTCAAAGAGTAAAAAAAACTTAGCTCCAAAAATATCAAAATGGACATCATCTTGTAGATGGCCAATCATCTGGTATCCACGGTGGGAGTGTATTATACGAAGATCATCCCCACTAGGATTTTCAAGACTCGAGCTGGAGGCAGGAGTATCATCATGGAACTGGAGGTCATCATCAATCCTTCCCTTCATATGAAGAAGAAGCTCAACAGCGGATCACAACCAACAAGCAGGCTACCAGTACCCACCCGAGTACAACTTCTATCAAAGCGGTGTTAGTTACCACAGCTACCATTACGGAGCTGGTGAAGGTGCCTTTCATGATGAAAATCAGATGGAAGAAGAGGTCAATCCAAGTCCAGTTAGTGACCCTGAGGTTGAAGAAGAGGAAGGCGAAGTTAGTGCAGACAGCTTCGATCCGCTAGAAGGTGCTGATGATTCCGGTCCAGATTCAGACGCAGACGCTGATGAGGTACCTCGCGACCGTGTACCTATTTCATACTACAATCACATTCAAAATGAAGATTGGTATGTTGATGCCACATGGACCCGCCAGAGGTGCCAGTATGGGGTCCACTCACTGGCTTTACGAAGGGCCAACAATTTGCAACGAAGAATGAGGTCCGGCACGCTACTGCCACTGAAGCAATGACTCGGAGTTTTGAATGGCAAACAACCCATTCCGACACAAAGAGGCTGATGGTTCGATGCAAAAATGAAAATGAGGGATGCAAAGCTAGGGTCCGGGCCATCAAGAGCAAGAGAGCCGGCCATTGGGTCATATATCCCGTGCGGTGAACACACACACATGTGTGTCATCAATAACATCCCAAGGCCATCGACGGTTGAAATCAAGGGTGGTTGTCGCGGCTATCAAACATCTAATTGAGGAGCAGCCCGACCTGAAGGTGAAAACCATCATCGCCCACATTTCTAGTCGTTATGGTTATATCATTAACTACAAGAAAGTGTGGCATGGGAAACAGAAAGCAATGGCTGCCGTGTTTGGCGACTGGGAAGAATCATATGCATTCCTTCCCAAATTGATTTTGGCGTTGGAGGTGTCTAACCCTGGCACCATTTTCTCGCCTCGCTACCAAGATGAAGAAATTCAACCGCCGGTGCCTGGTAACAAGCGCCAATTCAAGCGTCTTTTCTCGGCATTCAAGCCATGTATTGATGGTTTTCCATACTGTGTTCCTGTGATTCAAGTTGATGGAACATTCCTTACCGGCAAGTACAAGAGTACTCTACTGATCGCCAGCGGAGCAGATGCAAATAGAGCAGTATATCAATTAGCGTTTGCCATTGTGGAGGGAGAGAATACCGATAGCTATGGATGGTTCTTCAGACAAATTCAGCTCCATGTCATATAAACATCTCCTTAGAAACATTAATATTAACATAACTAATGAACATTAATATTAACATAACTAAAATAATTCTTGAAATTTAAGTAATTATTTTTTGTATACATACACATAAAATCAAATATATTATTTTTTTAATCGTATTGATTATTTTCAATAATTTAAAGCAATACAAGTACACTCGTAAGAATCTTAGGAGAGGTATACATCTCCTTAGAAACACAGTCTTTTTGATAGAAAAAGGGGGGATCCGAGGATCGCTTAGAACTCGATTTTCCCAGGTCATGGGGGGATCATGATGATCGCTTAAGTCCCCATTTCCTTAGACATGCATTTCTTTATAAAGAGTCTAAATAAGTGTTGTATTGTATTGACTTTAATTATTGAAAATAATCAATACGATTAACAATTAAGTAAATTATTGTACAAACAAATAAATTACTTTAACAAAATACAAATTACAAGTGATGATAAATAATATGTACCTTGTGGTCGTTCCAAGCGTCTCTTGAACGATGATTAGCTTGATAGTATAAAACAGTCGGATCAATCGGTCCTTGATTAACATAATATCGTTGATTGTAAATATCAACATCCGGCCCAACCTACGATAGCATAACAATAACATAAATCAATTAGTATATAAATTAAATAAATCATTATAACAACAACAACAATTGGGTAAAATGAGTATGTATCGTTTGATAATCATCCTAGAAAAGGCCCTCTTCTTGGATGAAATTGGCCATTTTTTCCGAATCCGGACAGAGATTCGACGGTTTTTTAGTGAAAACCAAAGAAAAAGTTTTTTGAAGGCAGATCGGACTTAGCCGCAACCAACAAAATAACTAATTCTAAGGTTTTTGGGTGGGGAGGGGGTGGGTAGAGTGAGGAGTTAGAGGGGAGAGAGGGGGGAATGGGTTTGGTGTGCAGAAAATGGGAGGGGGAAGGGGGGTTTATATAGGGAGGGACGAAACCGCGTGAGGGATGGGCGGTTTCGTCCTTTTACCCCGCCTCAAGGGCGCGTTTAGCTTTCCCCAACATTCAAACCGCGCTTCGGGGGAGCGGTTTGACTGAGCGACGCGAATCGCTGAGCTGGCGCGCGGTTTGGCCGTCAGATCGCTCCCCCATCGCACGGTATGATGCACCGCCACGTGGCCACGCGGTTTGACAGCCAGGAACAGACAAACCGCGCGTTAAACAGGCGGTTTGACTATTAACCGCGCCTTGGACGCGCGTTTTGGTTTATAACCGCGCCTTCGAGGTGCGTTTTGTGTGGAAGGGTGGTATTTTTGAAAATTGTTGGGAATGTGTTGTATTTTTGTAATTTTTTTTAGTGGTAGTTTTGAATTTTTTCCTTATTTTCCTTCTTACCCTTTATGACATGGATCTTGATCTTCTCTTCTCAAATTACAATCATTGATTTGGGATTTATAGGACTACAAAACTTTTAAGGCTTTTATACTCTAACCTGTGAGGCTGTGACTTAATTAAAGGTTTTCTAAGAAGGAATTTCTCTTTCTCTAGTTTCAAAAGTCCAGAACATTTGACGATCTACGTAAAGAACACAAGTTAGGTATCCTTTGTAATATATGGATGGCTAAACATCATTAGTCAAATACTATGCATAATTTGGTTGACAAATGCATCAAAGCATTAGTATGTGTTGCCTTTGTGCAAAAGACATACATTTCAACCCCTATAGGCACAAGAAGAATACGAAAGCCAAGAGCTCAGGTGCTCATATAATTCGAATCGGATTATTTGTCGTTAACTGGAATTTATTGGGTCTCGCTGTTCGGTCAGCAAGTCGGGTTCCAATGGCGAAGCGCCCGATTGTGGGGCTCAATGTATGAGCTTATACATGTTTGGGTTTTTGTTCTAGGTTCCAGTGTCGAAATGAAGGTTTGTTTATCCTGCCAACACAAACTTCCCTTATGGCCAAAGATGGGATAAAATGCCTCGCATGCCACTTAAGTTTGAGAATTGAGGAATCTGTATTACTTAAGTTGGGATAGGACATCAGGTACCACTAATATCATTAACATACCATTTGGTATAAATGAATTCCATAAGTTTTGAGTAATTCATTTTGAAATGAACTTTTTTTGTGTTTGGTATTTGAAATAATTCATTTTCAATTCTAAAATTTGAATTCTACGGAATTGGAACTAGTTATAGCAATTCCGAGGAATTGAGATGGAATTTCCAAATGAATTCCACAACTATATTTACTATTTTTAATAGAATGATACAATTATCCTATTTTATTAACTAAATTAGTTATAAATATAACATACCAAACACATGAATTCATTTGACAATGAATTCTACACGACAATTTATTTTATTTCTAAACATTTGAAGATGACATACCAAACACAAGATTTCATTTGAGAATGAATTCTACACGGTAATTCATTTTAGTGTGGGCGTAAATTGGGCATCCGTCCATATTTCCGTTAGTTTGACTAACGGTCTAAATAATTTTTTTTTGTGGACGTAAATATGAACGGATGCCCAATTTATAAAGATTAGTAGTACCCGATACCCTATTCTAACTTAAATGGTATCCAACGTATTTTACCCGATAAAAATCATCAAGCCCTAAGATACATCTTCCGTGCAGTAGTTAATTAGTTACTAGTTACTAGTTCGTGAGATCTCTAGCTATCTCATCAAAGCTCTAGTAAAAGCTCTAGTATAATGTATTGATGGTTTAGGATATACAATCAACAACATATACTAACTTAATATTGTTGATTGAGGGTAAAGCTAAGTGTATAGGATATATGCTATTGAGTAAGTTATGATCGAAGTCACAATAATTTTACTAAATTTGATAGCTAATCTTTAATGGTTCAATTTTTAGGATAATTCGAACAATTTTACAAATAACTCGTTTGGCAACAGTTTACTAGGGGTCGTTTGGATGAGTTAATTGTCAATGTGGTATTTGTAGTGTCAAATAACTCATTTATTGCTCATGTGGTATTTCAGTGTTATTTTAGTGGTAATTGAAATAAAGTATCTCGTTTGGTTGAACCATGCAAATGTGGTATTTGACATGTGGTATTTGGTAAAAATAGAGTGATAAAACGGGTTATTTCGAAATAACACATGAGTATAAGTTATTTCAAATAACTCGTTTTGAGTTATTTATAAATAACTCACTGTCCAAATAACTCATTTCACTAAAATGCTGCCAAACGAGTTATTTATAAATAACTCACTGTCCAAATAACTCATTGTGAGTTATTTGAACCCAAATAACTCATACAAATACTTCATCCAAACGACCCCTAAAGTTATTTGGGCAATGAGTTATTTTGAAATAACTCCTTTTATCACTATGCTTTTGCCAAATACCACACGCCAAATACCATATTTGCATGGTTATACTAAACGATATACTTTAATCCAATTACTACTGAATTAATACTAAAATATCAAATAAACAATTAACGGTGTCTTTTGGTTGCAAATATTGATATCACCATTACTATTAGCTATAATACTTTACCAATTATGATTAATTACATAACAAGTTTGCAAGTCATACAAATTGATTAACATTTTGACTAGTTTTTTTCAAAAAAATAAAGTATATATATACGAGGTAGAAATAAATTGGTTAAAAAGTTGAGAAAATATTTTAAATTAGTGTAATAAAATGTGTAAGTTGGTAATGAGTTAAGTTACTTGATGCGCTGGCCCGAACAGCCCGAAACCCGACCCGCCCGCAACCCGCCCGACCCAAAACCCGATGAACCCGCAACCCGATTGAATCCGAACCCGATGAACCCGCAACCCGACTAACCCGTAACCCGTTTGAACCCGAACCCGATGAACCCACAACCCGTTTGAACCCGAACCCGATTGAACCTAGCCCGAAACCGCCCGATTGACACCTATAATTGTAGCTAAACTTTCATGGAGGGCTTGTCCACCATTCATATGCCTGTTGTAGGGTATAGTCTTATCTTCCTCCTCCTCCCCACTTGCAGGCCGCCGTCTCCCTCTCTCTCTCACGTACGCACCTCCGTTATATAATACCCAATCCAATTATATCTCTCAATAAAATATCTCCTAAAAACCTTATCTCTAGCTACACCACCCTCACCTAAAAAAAAAGAACGCTGCAATTAATCAATCATCGCCGCCGACGATGCATCACAATACCATGACGACCACCACCACCACGATGCTGCTGCTGCTGCTAATTGTCAACGGCGCGTGCGGATTCAGCACTGCGGCGGAGCCACAACAGCAGCAGCAGCAGCAGCTTGGTGGAAGAAGGAGTAGTGGAGATGCTGGCTGTGAATACCTTGGGGGGCGCCTTCGCTACGCTGAAGACGAACAACGTACCAGCCACCAAGTGTGGCGGCGAAGAAGGTTTTTACTACTGCCTCGACGGCGTCAACCCCCGACAAAACCACTGTGACCATCGCAACCGCGAAGATCGCTGCCACCTACCGTCCTGAATTACCTTTTCACCTCCGGCCGCCATCAACTAATTTTAATCCTGCTCGCTACTTCTATATATATATATATACACGTACTTCTCTCTGTACGTACCCAAATAATTGTTGCGTTGATGGAAAGTCTTGTCGGTCGGTCTTAGGAATTGAGTTCGATCGGATCTTTTTCCCTTTTCGATTTTCACGATCGTCTGTATATTTGTACTCTACATATTTGACTCGCCCTATGTGGCGGTTCGTTGTACAATATACTAAAATGTATTTCAATTAGTATCAAAGAGAGATGGTGTCATAATTTGAGGTAATTATGGTTAGATTTTAAAAGATGAATCTTCGATTTGCCACTGCTCTACGACGGGTTGTTACAAAATGTATTTGTTAGTTAATGTCGAAGAGAATTTGTGTCTTAATTTGAGGTGAATATGTTGTTGAGTTAAAAAAAAAATGAACCTTTTGATTAAGTATTGTAGGTATTGGACATACTGCAATAATTTCGATTGAATATTTGAGTTAATTAGCTACGTGGATCAAGTGAGGTATATTTGTACCTATTTTCAGTACTTCATATTCGGTAATAATATAATTGAAAGGAAAATCAATGTACTTTTAAGAAAATAGTAGCTTTTACATGACAATGTGAAGCATAAAAGTATAAAAATCAAAGTGAATTCGATGAACAACCATGTGCTCGTATATCAAGTTCAAGAATCAAGATGGCTTGGATAGTGGTGGCATACAAATGAGTTTGTTTAGGGTAAATAGTAAATACCCAAGCAATCTATCTTAACATGTCCAAACTAATATTGAAGCTTGAAATATAATAAATCGGAAAGAGAAAAAGTACATTCTTCCTTGATCAAACTATTTAAAAAACTTTTATAACAATTTTACATATCATTAGGGGTGACAAATGGATTGGATTCATGGATTAGTCGATCGGATTTGATTGGTGAATTTATCCATGGGTTCAAATGACATTCAAGCCTTAGATCATTATGTAAATTGTGAAAATTTTAGATACTAAAATGTCTTAACAAAAAATTTAGGTACCAAAATGTAATTTTCCAATAATTATTTTTGTCAAAAATATAAATTTAGTTACAAAAATGTTAAATATGAAGCATATGTACTAAACTGTAATTTGTCAATAATCCATGAATACACCGTTCTAATTGAATTTGGATTAAATGTATTGGATTTAAATGAATAAGAGTACGTTAGTTGGATATTTTCAATACATGGAATGGAATGGATTGGATTTAATTGTATGTATGGATTTAGATACTAAATGTATGTAAGTTTGCCACCTCTACCTATCATGAGAATAAAGCTAGTTTCCATTTCATTTATCCATAGCTAGGTAGGTTAGTTGGTTGGTTGCGAAAGTGGCTTCATACATAGCTCAAGCCAAGTGCAAATGGAAAGCTAATCAATATAGTCGGATCGGATCTCCCTCATTCGCATAAATGTCCACCTACAGTTCCTACATCACTTAAACCCCCTGTCACATTCTTCACCATAATTGGACATGCACAGTAACCTCCTTGATTTTACTTTTGTAATGCAGTCAAAACTTTAATGTTAAAACCGGGAAAAAGGCTCCAACTTCTATTTCCTCTGTCGCTGGTATTCCACATCCAAAAACAGAGTATGGCAAGCCGGATCGGATCTCGTGGCTCCGATTTCGACCGCAAAGCTGCACTGAAGGCCTTCGACGACACAAAAATTGGCGTGAAGGGCCTCGTAGACGCCGGAATCACGACAGTCCCGCCGATATTCCTCCACCCACAAGACATCGCAGCTTCCATCAAATCAACTTCAGGGGACGACCCTGTGTCGGAGCTGCCGGCCATCCCCACCGTTGACTTGCAAGGCATCGACGGAGACCCAAATGTACGCCGCCAGGTGATCGGGCAAGTAAGGGACGCCTGCCGGAGATGTGGGTTTTTCCAGGTGATCAATCACGGGATACCCACAGCCATTCTGGATAAGACCATTGAAGGAGTGAAGAAGTTCCACGAACAAGATCCTGAAGTGAAGAAAGGGTTCTACTCCAGGGACTTCTTCAACAAGACGTTCACCTACCACTCCAATTTCGATTTGTATCAGTCGCCGGCGGCTAACTGGAGGGACACCATAGCTTGTGTCATGGCCCCACGCCCGCCAAACCCTCAACAACTCCCTCAAATCTGCGGGTGCGTTACAAACATTCATGTTGGAACTTGGCATAAATTCCTAACATCTCAATTCTCATCATCAACTGTCTTCTGTCAATTCGAGTTGTGAGTGGTAGGACTGTAGGACTAATCTTGCGAATCTCTATTCAAAATTTTGTTTTGGATCAGGGAGACGATGGTTGATTACTCGAACGAAGTGATGGGATTGGCAAGGAAGCTGCTTGAATTGGTTTCTGAAGCATTGGGACTGAACCCTGATTACCTTAACAGTATAGGTTGCTTGGAAGGATTGCTGCTTCTGGGTCATTACTATCCGGCTTGTCCTGAACCGGATTTGACAATAGGAAGTAGCAGTCATTCCGACAGCAGCTTTCTCACTGTGCTTCTGCAAGACCAAACTGGCGGTCTTCAGGTCCTTTGTGATGATGATCAGTGGGTTGATGTGAAGCCCACAGCAAATGCTCTTGTTATAAATCTGGGAGACTTGTTGCAGGTAAAAATTGTTGACGCCCGGTGCTTGATGATTTGAAGTCTTAGTATAAAACTAACTGGTTTTCATCATGCTCAATTCTCTGGCAATGAACATGCAGTTGATCTCTAATGAGGAATTCAAAAGCTCTCAGCACAGAGTAGTTGGTAAATCAATTGGCCCCAGGGTTTCAGTGGCATGTTTCTTGAGACCGCAGCCACTTCCTCAAATCTCCTCCCGAGTTTATGGCCCGCTTAAGGAGCTTATTTCGAATCCACCGGTTTTCAGGGGAACTACCATGAAGGAATTCCTCGAACATTATTATGCAAAAGGGCTTAATGAAATCTCTGCCCTGGAACATTTCAGACTCTGAGTTCGAGGAAGAAGGTGAATGATGAGCATCCAATGAACAATCATGTGAATGTTATAGAAGAATACATCTCTCATCAGTTCCACAACGGGATGTTTGGGTATAGATCTCTATTTGTAAATTGTTAAGTTCTCCGCTCTCTATGGCCTCTGATTGTCCGAGTAAATTGTTTGGGTAGAAAAAAAGGCATGGTAAACTTTGTGTATCGTTCGATGGATCCTGAATTGTCAGCTTGCAAATTATGGAACTGAGGACTGAACTACACAAATATTATGCATGTTCAACCTAGTACTTTTTTTGCTAGGTGTCTGGAACGAGTCCATCACAGGGAGTTCGCCGGAGGAATTTTGCCGGCGCAAGGCAAAGAGGCTGATGGAAAAGGAGAATCAGAGATAGGGAAAAGGGAAAGTAGGGAGAGGAAAATGTAACTAATGTATTATTTGAATTTTTTTTTTAAGTAATGCAATTGATATGAGTTTTTAATAAAAAAGGGAAATTAATATAAAAAATTTCAATACCCATAGTACATTTGGTGCAAAGGAGTTGCGAAAATGACAACCTAAAAAGGTTGTGAACCTATCTCATCTCTATCATATACTATCAATGGGAGCGGTTACGGTGATAGCTATTTTAGTAGTAAATCCGTGGTTACTAAGGGTAAATTGGGAATGTAAAAATAAATTAGATTAATTGATTAATTTTAATAAATTATATTTTAGGTAGTTACAAAAATCTATTAATTATAATTCTTTTTCTTTCTCTCACTTCCGTAATCTCCAGCCAAATCTCTTTTCCATATTTTTCTCAATCTTTCTGCAAAAGAAAAAACACGAAATCATTACCAATCCATTAGACAACCACTACCATTTTGAAAAACATTAATACCATTGCAGAAATAAATCTATATCATTACACGAAAACTACCAATATAAACAATCTATATCATTACAAAATTTAAACAAATACCAAAACAACCAATACCACTACTACTGTGAAATCAAAACAATACCACTGCATAAATAAATCAATAGAAACACTACCAAAACAAATACAGATAAACTACCAAAGCATAATGCAAACACTACCAAACCAAATGCAGATAACTACCAAAACTGGCAAAACATAATGCTCCATCTAACCACACAAATGCAGATAACTACCAAAACGTAATGCACACACTACCAAAGAAAATGCAGGTAACCACCAAAGCATAATGCAAGCAGTACCAAAATAAAAAGCAAGGTAGCTACCAAGGCAAATCATCTACCATGCAAACACTACTAGTTTAGATTACCTGCAGAAAAATAAATACTTACCTATGTGCTTTTTCACCATGAGACAAAGACTTGGTAGTTGGGATTTTACAGATGACCGGCGGCAGAAGAGGTTCACCGTGTGAGAAGTTAGGTGGGTCTACCGGCGTCCAGGCTGGCCTCCGCCTCATGCCGGCCGATGAGGCTCGTCGCCCTGATGAGAGAGAGAGAGGCGGGTGTGGACCGGAGGTGAGAGGGGAACGGTGGTTGAGCGAGGATGGGAGTAGGGTTTGCGTATAATATATAAAAATTTACTTTTTAAAAGGTAGTAATCAGGCGTGATATATTTTTTGTTTCCAAAATTATCCTTAATCTAATCTCTACCGTCAATTTTAAAATAGGGTGAAATTAAAGTAATGAATGGTGTAGATTATGGTAGCCACCAAATTGAGTAACCATGCTAACGCATTCCACTATCAATTACTTTTATTCATTAAGATAAATCATTATGACATACAAATTCGATTAGTTCTCTTCTCCAATTCAACTAACTGACTTTTTAATTTAGGGTTCGTTTGGAAGTTGTGATTATGAGTGTTGTATTTATAGAATACATGCATTGTCCACAATACAACGTTTGGAATTGTCAAAGTGCAAAACAATGCATGTATTGTTTTGTGTGGGTCCACCTACAATCACAAAAAATGAGGTATTATACAATCTCAACTAAAAGTTGAGATTGTTGTGATTGTTGCTTTTAGGTTTATATCTCCTTTTTATTTCCATTTATATCATTAGTAAAGGGAGAATAGAGTTATATGTTGTATATTAAAATAAAGGGTAAATGTGATATTTCCACAAAAAAGTTACTATATGTAAGTTAATCATTAACCTATAAACTAAACAACCAAACAATGTAATGTTAAATGCAACGATTGTATCAATACATGTATTATATACTGCAATAATTCTTCACAATACAATGATTTAACATACACAGCTTCCAAACTACTTCTAAGTTATTTTATGGAGTTGACTTTTCTTTAACAAGTTATTCAATAGCGTATTAAAATATTTGAAATCAAGATTCGTAAATTTAAAATTTCACGTTACATTTACCCAAACAAACTTGTGTAATAGAGATTAGAAACACAGAGTTTACTTTTCACATAAAATTTCACCAACCGTTAACAAAGTGTTTACTGTTTGGTGTGTTGTGTGCCTTGTATCAAGTGTGTACGCATCAACACCGTTTGTTAAAAAAAATTAGTTAGATCATTTGGTGCTAAATGAATTAAGAATTTATTTTATTTTAAAATGAATTATCATGTAGAACATTGTCAAATGAAATCTTGCGTTTGGTATGTCATATTCAAATCCTTAGAAATAAAATGAATTGCCGTGCAGAATTGATTGTCAAGTTTGGTATGTCATAGGTATAAGTAATTTAATGAAAGAGGATAATTATATCATTCTATTATAATTAGTAAATATTTGTGAAATTCATTTGAAAATTCTATCTCAATTCCTCACAATTGCTATAACTAATTTCAATTCCATAGAATTCAAAATTTAGAATTGAAAATGAATTCTTTTAAGGCAAAATACACTTGTATAGCCAAAACTTTGACGGTTTTGCCAAATGTAGCCACTTTTGGCGAAATACCAAAAATAGCCAATTCGGTCCAATTCTTTGACGGTGTCATCTAATATGCTGACTAGACTAACGGAAAGGCTGACGTGGCAACATTTCGTAAATAACAATGCCATGTGGATTTAACTTTAAAATATAAAATAAAATAAAAATGAATATGAAAAGTCTCCCTATCTCCCTCATCTTCTCCTATCCCCTTATCCCTGTACAATTAATCGAGAATCCCCCATTCACCGCAGGCAAAAAAACTCCTCGTGAACTGAATCCCTCTTCCTTCGACTCCTTCCCTTCGAATTGATTCCCTTATCCTTCATGTGAAGAAGAACCCCAATCGCAGAATTGGGTAGACGAAGAAGAACCCAAACCCAGAAACCTACAACCCATAATTTGGCAATGATGGCGGCGGGCCTTCGTCAATTGTCCCGATCTGGGTTTGTTGTTGGCATCGGGAGAGAAGCGAGCTCCTGAAATAAGGTCTGTTGTCGCTGCCTCTCCTCCACCGAAGCACCTCTTCCCTACAATAATTTTCACCATGAGATTCATCATCATCTCGAGGAGGATCGATTTCAAATCGACGCTTGCGGCTCTCTGGTTAGTGAGGTGGCGGCGGCAATAGCAGAGCATGAACTAGTTCCGTTGATGCAGATGGAGGAGAAGAGTTGGAGGCGAAATGCGAAGAAAATCTCTTGGGGCGAAATCTTGTAGAGGTTGCGCCAGAGATTGCTAGCGAGGCATTCCTTGGCGGTGAAAGGGGACGGAAAGATAGTTGAATAGAGTTGGGGACTTCGATGGACAGTTCTCAGTTCTGTGAATCTTAAGGATTCACCGACAAAAATCAGGTTGATCAAAATTGGGGATTTCGAGGTTGGCGCCGGAATCGGTCAGGGAAGGAGTTGAATGAGATGAGCCAAGATCTGGTATATCATACCTTCAAATGGTGGTGGTTTGGGCTGAGAAAATAAGGTTATGGGATATCGTATCTCTGTTGCTCGGCGATGGAAGGGGTTTGGGGAGTGACAGAGGAAGACGAACAGGTGGAGCGTGCGAAGATGAATTTTTTACTTGCGCGTGGACCAAATGCCCGCCTCCGCGGCGACAAGACTCAACGGGGCTGAACAAGGCAGGGCTGGCGACGGCGACAGTCTCGCCATCGATCTCCTTGCGGTGGAAGTTGCAGTGGCGCTCGCAGGCCGCACATTTTAGGTTAGATCTGTTGTCACTGCGGTGGTGGTGATCTAGGGTTTGGGAGTAGGTGAGGAAAGCTGATGAGTTGTCATTATTATTCTCACAAGATTAGGGGGCAGGGAGCAAGGGTCGTAGATCGGCCATCGCCGGCCAGATTGTCACCATCGTTGCCGTTGGTGCCAACGCACGAGAAGTGAGTGGTGGGAGTGGAGAGAGGATGAGAAAATAATTTATAATTTATATTTATTTTTAAATTAAAATATGACATGGCATATACGTGGCAAGTGTTGTTGAATTGTCCGATGAGTTGACAGCCATGTAAGCGTTCTGTTAATTTGACTAATAGTGTCACTGACGCCGTCAAATTATGTAACAGAAATGGATATGTCATCGAACTTTCAAAATTTTGGGTATTATTGGTATTTCCTCAAAAGTGGCTATTTTTGTCACAAACGTCAAAGTTTTGACTAGACAGATGAATATTGCCTTCTTTTAAATATCAAATACAAAAATATTTTATTTCAAAATGAAGGGACGGGATACGGTGACAACCCCCTTGGGGGTTGTCAGATTCACAACCAAGGGTATTTTGGGCATGAAAAAAAGGAATATATTAATTACCTTTTTGTATTAATTATATTGGGAATTAAAAACCCATATTAAATACAATTTTTTCTGAAATTTAAATCCTATACATTAATATCTCTATCTACTCTCTCTCTCTCTTCCTTTCTCCAGCAGCCATTCCGCATCGACCGACAAACTTTTTCTCCGGCGAATTCTCTCCGGCAGACTCCCTCCGCCAACCTGAAAAAATGTACCAATGCGTTAAAAAGTGTACCAATCTATTAGTCTACTGGTAATTAATATACCAGTGCTAGTGGTACGCTACCAGTACGTTAAAAAATGTACCAGTACTAGCGGTACCAGTAAAAAATGTACCAGTACTAGTGGTACGCTACCAATATAACGCTACCAGTAGAGAATAACACAACGCTACTAGCACTGGTAGCGCTACCACTAGCATTGGTAGCGGTACCAGTAGCGAATAACACAAAAAAAAAATGATAGTGGTACCAGATGATAGGGGAGCCACTGGTATTGGTACCAGTGAGTAGTGGTAGCGTACCAATAGCGCTACCAGTGGTATTGGTACCAATAGTGCTACCAGTGGTATTGGTACTAGTAGAGACTATCAGATCTGGAAAAAAATAGGGATGAGGAAAGAGGAGGCAGGGAAGAGTCTTGACCTCGCGGTGGCGGCGACATAAAAGTGGTGGCGGCAGGGGAGGACAGCGGCGCGGCGGGAGTGAGGACAGCGGCACGGCCGGTTCCTTGCCGGCGGGGGGAGGACAGCTGCTTCTCCTTGATTGTCTTCGTGGTGGTGCTTATGGGAAGCTGCTGCAGCTGCTGTGATGGGGATGAGATCTCATCCATGGCGGCGGAGAGAGGGGGAGGAGAGATGGTGATGTCTACGGGAGAGAGGGAGGAGAGAGAGGGGGAGGATGGAGGAGTTAGGGTTTTTGTTCTTTTTATATGGTAGAGTGAATGATTGGGTGTGGTAAATTTTTACCCTTCCAAAAATATCCTTCCTTTAATCTAAACCGTTAATTTAAAAAAAAAAAAAAAAGAGATAGGAGAGAGAACGTATCTAAGGGCTATGAAGTGGGTTGTGAATCTGACAACCCCCTTAGGAGTTGTCACCGTATCTCGTCCCCAAAATGAATTCCACAAAACTTATGAAATTAAAATAGGTAAGAGTAAAAAAATAAAAAATGGAACGTGCTGGATTCATTTCATCATCCATCCATCTATGCAGTCGCTTGTCGCATGGCGGTGGCAGTGAGGGAGCTCAATTGGTGGACGGGAAGGAATCAGTTCAGAAAGGGACAACCGAAAAATCCCAAAAAAGTACCGAAGAAAAGTCGAGCCGTCGGAGATTCTCCTCGGAAGTAGCGAAGCTGCGAAAGGAAGCGACTTTTTCCACCATCGTCTCCGCTACACGAAACAACGGGAGCACTGAGCAGCTAGAATCCACCGTCCGCCGCCGCCACCGCCACCTGCCGAGGGGATGCGGAGAGAACGATCGTCGATTCGGCCGCCATCACCTTCGATGTCCAAGAATCCTATGGTCGCTCGTTAGTTGACATCCTCCGTTGTTGAGAGAATCATAACAAACAGGGAGTAGGTCAAACATCGAAGAAGGCTTGCAGCAGGGATTAGATTGGAGGGAAAAAAAGATTTCAATGGGGTGCTTTCACTCCAAAACCTTCCTGTCTCCCGATAGTAAGCAGCAGAAACCGCTTCCACTTCCAGAAGACCCGAAGCAACTCGCTACTAATCCCGACCCATCCATCCCCGGTGATCAACTTGACATCCCACTATTCCGTGAGTTCCCTCTCAATGAGCTTCGTGCTGCCGCCAATGGGTTCAACTCCGCATTCATCGTCTCTGAGAGCGGTGAAAAGGCTCCCAATGTTGTGTATCGAGGCAAGCTCAAAGACAATCGCCTTGTTGCAATCAAGCGCTTCTCCAACCTTTCCTGGCCAGATCCCCAGCAGTTCCTGGTAACAAACACGAATCATGGTTTTCAATCCCTTCCTTGTTTTGGCCCCCTTTTTTTTTTTTTATCTCTCTGCACTTACTGAAGTCTTCGTAGCTGAAAAATGTAACAGAGTGAAGCTTCTATGGTTGGGAAAGTACGGCATAAGAGATTGGTTAACTTAATTGGGTGTTGTGCTGAGGGTGATGAACGTTTGCTGGTTGCTGAGTACATGCCTAATGATACCCTTTCCAAGCACCTCTTCCATTGTATGTATACTGAGCTTAACATCCATGAGGATTCGAGAACCATGGGCTTGCTTTTCTCTGTCCCTCTTTTCTATCTATTTCAACTCACAGCTCTAACCCGTTGTTCTCTTTTTGTTCTTTTCCCTACACCCTTTTGCTTTAGGGGAAAAACAGCCATTGCCCTGGGAAATGCGTGTCAGAATTGCCTACTACATTGCTCAAGTGCTGGATCATTGTGATACTCAGGACCGCAAAATCTACCACGATTTGAATGCCTATAGAGTTCTTTTTGATGAGGTACTTGCTATATTCTTTGCAAGCCTTGCCATAACAGTGATGTTTTGTGCTGCTGCTTTGGTGATTCTGGCAATTCTACTTCAAAGTTGCCCACTTTTCTTGTCCATCCGTGCATCTCTCTATGCTTCTTTAAGTTGCTTTTTTGTTTTTCTAACCTGGAGTATGCAGATTACATATTGTTAAAGTTTGATCTGGTATGACCCACCTGCTCTTGTGTGCATTTTGAAACTTCCTTATAACATTGCAGGAAGGTGATCCTCGGTTGTCTAGTTTTGGCTTCATGAAAAATAGCAGAGATGGGAAGAGTTACAGCACAAACTTGGCCTATACCCCACCTGAATTTTTGAGGACAGGTAGAAACGATACTGAGTTGAAGAGGCAATATATTTCAATTATACGTTTTGGTCACTTGTAGTTCTCTTAGTACAAAATCATTCGCCAGTCACTATCACCTTCTACTAGCCCTGGGGTGCTATCAGTTACTGCAAGCAATTTATAAAGATGCAAGGGCAGAAAGCAGTTTGAGGCTCCCCAAGCTTTTCTCAGTCATTCACATTCGTTTTGAATTTTTTTTTCTTTTTCAGGTTTCCCTAGGCTTTATTTGCCTATAAAACTCAATGTTTTCTAATCCATACGATGAACTGCTTTGACTGAGGATGTTTCTTAGCGAGTCTGAAGAATCCGTTTAAGATTTGTGTTTATCCTTTATGGCATTAATTACCGAGGAAGTGAAACAAATGTCTAACCAGCAAACTCTAGTTGATTTTTTGGTCGTTCTTTGTTCCACCTCATTTACTTTCATCTACTCTAAGTGCAAATATTTTCCTGAAAGTTTCTGGTTCAGGCGTACGCTGAGGATTTTTTGGGGTGAATTTCAATGGAGAAGAAACAATATAGGCATTGAAGTGCGTTGATGTGTCAACTATCTATCTTAGCCAACAATGCTGAGACCGAATTAAAGAATGGTCCTGCATAATAAATCTTTAAGATCTATAAACATCTAGTCTCAGAATACTATTGTCCACTCTAGAAATTGGCTCGTAAAAGAGCAACCTTATTGTTTTAAATCTACAGCAGAGCTGCAAATATAATTGGATAGCTAGCAGATGTCAAAATTCTCAACTTATCAAGTTGGAATGGCTAGCAGATGTTAGAAATCACTTAGAAAATGATATTTTCCTAAGTGGAAGACTAGAAGTTTAGTTTTTCTACACGGCTGCCTATATAAGTAAATCTGTGTAGTGATTCCGTCCATGTTTAAAGCTAAAAATTTTAAGTTGAGAGAGATGGGGCCGTCTATCTTGGACGGTACAAAGTAGCTTGTGTTTCTGGTTCAACTGCATGCTAATCTTTACCCCTTGTCAACTGCTTGACACAAAGTTATCTAAGAATCATCAATGACAACTTATTAGAACTTTGCTGCTTGGTTGCGCCACGTAGAAGAAAAGCTTATATTAGCTGCTTGATTTATTTATATAATGTGGATGTTGAAATGGTGCAGGTAGGGTCATCCCTGAAAGTGTAATATACAGCTTCGGAACTGTTCTGCTGGACCTTTTGAGCGGGAAACATATTCCTCCAAGCCATGTATGAGCTTATTTGCACATAGTAGCTGATATAATCCTTTCATTATAACATTAGAAGCTATTGTAATTTATAAGTACGACTTTAAACATAGTAGTATTGACCTTGTGGTCCAAGTTGTCTAGAGATTTGAATCATTCGTTAGAAAATTTTGAAACAACCTTGCTTAACAAACCTCCTTAATTGCTTGGCTTCAATAGACTTCTGTTAGATGGAGCACGCTTCTTAGTCACAGTAGAAGGCCCCAATAATTTCCAACTGGTGTTTGTTTCTTCAGGCACTGGATTTAATCAAGGGGGAAAATTTGTTGTTGTTGATGGATTCGTCCTTGGAGGGACAGTATGCAAATGAAGATGCAGCTGTGTTGGTTGAACTGGCCTCTAAGTGTTTACAGTATGAGGCTAAGGATCGGCCCGCTGTCAAGTACCTTCTTACTGCAGTAGAACCGCTCCAGAAGCAGAAAGAGGTTCAGAGCGTCTTAAGCTTGCCTGGGAATTTACCTATATAGTTCTTCTATAACACAAATGCTTATGCATAGATGTTCTTAGCAATTTTATTGGATTGATTTTTCCTAGGTTTCATCTCATTCGCTGATGGGACTATCAAAAACTCCGGTACCACTTCCAACTTTGCTTTCACCACTGGGGAAGGCTTGTGTAAGGATGGATCTCTCCGCAGTGCACGAGGTCTTTCTTAAAACAGGATATAGAGATGAAGAAGGAGCGGAAAATGAGGTTTGTTTCATTATCGCTGTTATTTTATATGGAGAGCTTCAGCTGGAAAGTAAATCCATTTTAAATTCGTGAGTCAATGAATATGGGGCTGATTTAGGAGATGTATGATCTCAATTTGGTGCCTCGTTTATTTATATACGTTGGCAGTACAAATTTCTGTATGATCTAATTTTGTTGGCCTGCTCTTTCGTTTCTCAAAGCTTTCGTTTCAAGAATGGACCCAGCAAGTGCAAGACATGCTGAACACTAAGAAGTTTGGTGATATTGCTTTCAGAGACAAGGATTTTAATACTGCTATCGATAACTACACAAAGGTAGCCTTTTCATTATTTGGATTACATTGTGAGGACTGAGTATGCAATGATCTCTGATTGTTTGGTTGGTGATATATATGCCCTTTTCCTATTAATGCAGCTGGTGTCGTTGATGTCGGTTCCTTCAGGAACCGTGTTTGTGAGGCGAGCATTGTCCTACTTAATGGTAGGACAAGCAGAACTCGCGCTGAGAGATGCAATGCAGGCACAAGTCTGCTTGCCCGAGTGGCCAACAGCGTTTTACATGCAAGCGCTCGCTCTGTCAAAGCTCGGAATGGAGAGCGATGCTCAGGACATGCTGAACGATGGAGCCAACTTTGAAGAGAAGAAGCAAAATAGCTGGCGCCATCCGAGTTAAGATCGTGGTTTCGCTAATCGCTACTAGAGGTCTCTGCAATGTAGGCGGCAGAAGAGATGGGAGCATGAGCAAGGTGTATTTCCACATGCTTAGGAAAGAAGGGTTCAATCGGTTCATTAGGTCCGGCCCTTGGCAGGGTTTAGAAGTTTTTTTTTTTGGCAGTCTACCCTGGCATAGTGTTAGCTAGCAGCTAGCAGAAGTTCTGTTGTTGTTGTTGTCAGTCTTTTGGGTTAGTTTTTCCCGGACCACGATTAAGAGTGTTGTACAATCAAGAGATCTGTGTTGAGTAGACATCAAGTAATGAGACGGCAGAGGAAGGTTCGACTGATTAATATGAAATTAGGGACTCCGTAAAGCTTTTGGAAAGACGAAATAACCAACTAGTATTGGAAGAATTATGAATTTGAAGGACGTTGTCCATTTGATACATTTAACCTGACAATCTACTATTTATGGAACCCAATTGCATGAATAGGCTGTTAGGCCGTGTTTGAATAGGTGTATTTCAAATCTATTGTTTGGATGCTAATTTGTAATTGTTCATATTTCAAATATGGTGGAATATTTTGTCACATATTACAATTGTGGAAAATTAAATTTTGGTATCAAATTTTACCTTTTTAACAATTTAGTATATAGACTTCAATTTTTTAACAAAGATATCCAAATTTTTGTGGTAAAATCACATATTAGTATCTTTATATTTGTTGCTATGATTAATTTGAAATCACTAGATGTTGATATGTAATTGAAATTCACAAGTAATATACAATACATGTATTTACAAATCACTTCATGAATTTTGTACAAATCCAAATACCATATGTAATTGATACCCAGATAAGTGATATTATATTTGAAAATCCAAATCTCAAATACCCAATTCAAATCCAAATTCTTTTATCCAAACACCTTACGATTACTTGTCCTTGGCCAAAAACATTACTTGGATTCGGTCAAATCTGTCTTGTTATATTCAAAGTTAAGCTATATATATCATTATTGAAAATTGGATGAAAATTGCACATTTATATAAAATTGAAGTTATATTAGAATATTAACCGAAATAACTATAAAAAATTATAACTTCACAACTTGACGAAAATAACTAATTTGTTACTCAGCTCAAACTTGCGTGGCAATTGACATAGCTACCCCGAGGAATTAACCGTGACAAGGGCGAGGATCGTCATTTCAGTCAAAAGACCTTACTGCTTCTTCTTACGGCACAGTAGTTCGTTCAGTCCACCACTACCAGTAGAACGTTACGTGCTCTCTCACTTTCTGCCGGTTTTACGGCCTCTCACTTTCCATACTCATTGACAATTACCATTTTACCCCGCTCCACCACTCTCCTTTCCTGGTTTCCTAACTTCCCACTCACTTAACCCTCTGCTCTCGCCAGCCGCCTCCCACAAACCCCTTTCTCTCGCTGCTCGCCACCGGCAATTATGGCGACCACCCTGAACCCACATTCCGCTCTCCCCTTCCTCTTCCTTCTCCTTCTCACCCCCACACTCTCCGCAACCACCGCCAACCCAGATTTAGCCCCATTAATGGAATTCAAAGCCGCTTCCGATCCAACCAACCGCCTCTCCGACTGGAACCCTTCCTCCGCCGACCCCTGCAACTTCACCGGCGTCACCTGCCTCAAAAACAGAGTAACCCGACTCGTCCTCGAGAACCTGAACCTCACCACCACCTCTTCACATCTCCACCTCCGCCCACTCGCTTCCCTGACTCACCTCCGAGTCCTCAGCCTCAAGTCCAACTCGCTCGCCGGCCCGCTCCCCGATTCCCTCTCCAATTTGACCTCCCTCAAGCTCCTCTTCCTCTCCCACAACAGGTTCTCGGGCGAATTCCCTCTCTCCCTCCTCTCCCTCTCCCGCCTCTACCGCCTGGATCTCGCCCACAACAACTTCTCCGGTTCCATCCCTGCGGGGCCCACCACGCTCAGCCGTTTGACCCACCTGTTGACTCTCCGCCTCGAGGACAACAATTTCACCGGCTCCATCTCTTCCTTAGTCCTGCCGCCGTCGCTCCGCGATTTCAACGTCTCCGGCAACCGCCTCTCCGGTGGGATCCCCAAATCGATGTCCGGCTTCCCTACCTCCGCTTTCTCCCGCAACAACGCTCTCTGCGGGGAACCGTTGGCTCAACCCTGCAAATCCGGGTCGCTGGACCCCACAATCCCAGGATCCGGCGGAGCAATTTCGTCTCCGGGAAGCAGTGGTAGCAAGCCGACGGAGGTTGTGGCGTCGTCGCCAAGCTCGCTGCCGACGGCGGCGGCGAAGGAAGCGGGAAAGCCGACGACGACGAACACAACGCCGTCGAAGATAGGTCCAGCGGCAGTAATCGCGATCATCCTCGGCGACCTTCTGGTCCTGGCGGTGGTCTCCCTCCTCCTCTACTGCTACTTCTGGCGCAACTACGCCGCCAAGATGAAGCTCCGGAAAGGAGGCGGAGGCGGACCAGGAGGAAAGCTTTCTGCGACGGCGGAGACGGAGAAGATCGTGTACTCGTCGAGCCCGTACCCGAACCCGAATCCGACCGGGTCGGCCCACGCGGGCGGCGGGCCCCGGATGATGATGGTGTTCTTCGAAGGAGCCAAGAGGTTCGAGCTGGAGGATCTGCTGAGGGCGTCGGCGGAGATGCTGGGGAAAGGCGCGTTCGGGACGGCGTACAAGGCCGTGCTCGACGACGGCAATGTGGTGGCGGTGAAGCGGCTCAAGGACGCCAATCTCGTCGGCGGCGGGAGCGCCGCCGCCAAATTCGAGCAGCAGATGGAGGTGCTGGGGAGGCTCCGGCATCCCAATCTGGTGAGCCTGAGAGCCTACTACTTCGCCAGGGAAGAGAAGCTCCTCGTCTACGACTACATGGCCAACGGCAGCCTCTTCTGGCTTCTCCACGGTAAAAACGTTTCTTTCTCTACCGTTTCGTTTCTGTTGGGTGGGCCTCTGGGTGATTGTGATTAGTGGTAATAATAAATTTGATTAGGAATTCAGGTGTGTCAGATTCTAGTTATATCTTCTATGCGTTATTCTTGGATGATTAATAATTAGGAGTTTAACGATAAACAAGAGGGATTAGAAGGTAAACAGATGGAATCGTGTCTAGAAAAGAACAAAAAGGGGTGGTAAAACACGTGATCTGTGGCAGGAGGGCGAGGGGTAATAATTGTGGGATTGTGGGAAAACGGGAATTTCCATTCAATTCAACGTTCTTCTTCTTCTTCTTCTTCTGATAAAAGGTGGTATGTAAAAGAAGAGAATAGAGCTTGCTTTGGCCTTTTCTTTATTCTCAATTTTTTTTTTGTGGGGTATTCTGTCTGCCCTTCAATTCCAAAGACCGCTCCTCACTTTCCAGAGCGTATGGTGGTCTGACCGTATAAAGTGAATGAGTTAGCCGCATTTACGCTTACATTTAGTCCAATACCTTCCTTTTAAGGGACCACATGTCCCTCCTATTCTGGTCAGTCATCCCCTTTTCCTCCGTTTAGGGGTTTGCCCAACTTTGGTTCAAATGTCAATTTGACCGGAAACATTGCCCACCTCCACCTTCTTATACATATTGAAGACGGTTTGTTATGAGATAATCCGCAGACAATATCATACTAACGAAACTATCATAACGAAACTATCATGTTTCATCACGGTTGAAAAACTAGATAATGTTATATGAACTGCATACTTCATAAGATACATATCTGTTTTATGTTGCTGAAACGGTTTATGAGACTAATGACTAATAGAGACGTACAAAAACTGGTCCAAGTTGTGATGTGGAGTGGTAACAACCACTCTGTCACCATTCTTTCATCGATCTTCAAGCATATCTGTAAAATTTGACCGGGGAAATTGGTGACCACTTGACAGGTAACAGGGGACCTGGGAGGACGCCGCTGGACTGGACCACAAGGCTGAAGATAGCAGCCGGAGCAGCCCGGGGCTTGGCTTTCATCCACTCCTCCTGCAAAGCACTCAAGCTCACCCATGGCAACATCAAGTCCACCAACGTCCTCCTCGACCGCTCCGGCAATGCCCGAGTCTCCGACTTCGGCCTCTCCACATTCGCCTCCTCCTCCTCTTCCTCCGCGCCCAGAGCCAACGGGTACCGAGCTCCGGAATCCGGTCCGGATTCCAGGAAGCTGACACAGAAATCCGACGTGTATTCCTTCGGGGTGCTGCTGCTCGAGCTGCTCACGGGGAAGTGTCCTTCCTTAGCAGACTGCGGAGTTGGGATGGGAGGTGGATATGGCGGCGGCGGTGGCGGGGTGGTTGACTTGCCGAGGTGGGTGCAGTCGGTGGTGAGGGAAGAGTGGACGGCGGAGGTGTTCGATTTGGAGCTGATGAGGTACAAGGACATCGAGGAGGAGATGGTGGGCCTGCTGCAGATTGCGATGACGTGTACCTCGCCGGTGCCGGATCAGCGGCCGAAGATGAGCCAGGTGGTGAAGATGATCGAGGAGTTGAGAGGTGGTACCGAGGTTTCTCCTGCTCATGAGGGCTTTGACTCTGTCTCGGATTCGCCTTCGCTGTCGGAGGACACTGCTGGTGGTGGTGCCACCAGCCAGTAGTGAGAAAAAAAAAGGATAGGTCAAAATCCACGACAACTAGGTAGCTAGGCAGTAAAAGACGAGTAACCGATTCGTTGTTTGTTTGGTTGTTAATGTTATTTGTAGTCTTGTGTTTTAACTTTAGTAACCACTGTTATTTACTTCACTGTTGGAACGGTAACAAGGTAAAAGCTCTATGGGTATTGGGTGGGGTGAATTAATGGTGATTGTAGTTATGTTTTGGCGGCTTGCCTTCTCGGTAGTCGGTAACAATTCTCATACAAGTGGAAGTTACTGTACCTACCTCATTCCCAATGGTTTTGTATTTATTTGGGCTTAAGCATGAAGCCTTTTTAGGCTTTAGCGCGGCTCCCCCAAATCCCAATAGGCCTTAGAGTTGCCGGCCCAATTCATCTGGATGTTTGTTTAGGACACATTGTGTAGCATACTAGATACTACTAGGGATGACAAAGAAAAAAAAATTACTACTAGGGATGACAAACGAGTTCGGGTGGAGCTGGAGGGCTTGAGATACAGTTAGTAACCTAAGATTACTGATTTGTGAGTAACTCACCCGGAGTCGTTGATCTAGGATGGAGCGATCATGTGGTTGGGAATGATGCGGGATGAGGAGGGGTATTTTTGTCCGCTTTTTGAATTTTTAATTATTTTTTTTAATTTGCTCAGCATTTATTAATTAGCTTTGCATGGAGGGGAGAGAGTTAGTGTCTTATCTCTGCAGCTCTCTTTTCTTCTTTCTTTGTTCCTTTCTCTCTGCCAAACTCCTTCTTCTCTAGATCTAATCTCTTATTATGTTCTTCTTTTTTTCTCTCTAGCAATCTCCTTTTTTCTTTGTTCCTTTCTCTCTTCCCATCTCCTTCTTCTCTAGATCTAATCTCTTATTCTGTTCTTCATTTTTTCTCTATAGCAATCGATAAAGGAAAGTGCAGCCTCCTTTTTTCAAGTACTCGGCTTCAAAATTGGTGACGCTCCATATCGACCAAGAGGGGACAGATCTAGGTGAGTCGAGTTTGCATGTTTTAGTTTTAGTTTATGGATTTTCAATTCCAATCTTCCTCATTTTTTCTTCTTTTAGTGTTCTCGTTTGCTGCGGAGGAAAGGAGAGGAGGCAGAAGAAAGGCATGTGAAGTACGTCTTAGTTTTATGTATATTGTTGTTACCATACTATACCATGGTGGTATTGTGTGGTAACTAGATGTATATTGTGATTACCATACTATACCATATGGTAATGTGTGGTAATCGACATCAATTCAGAGAAAGGAGATTCAGAAGACAATGAAGGGAACAAGAAAGCGAAGAAAGTTGGAATTATATATATACCACACTATACCATATGATAATGTGTGGTAACTAAATGTATTTTTATGCATACCATGTTTTACTATGATCGTAGATGATGGTAATTATATTTGTTTTAAATGGTTTTACGTTCTCTTACCATGTGGTATTGTATGGTAATTATGATTATTTTATGGTCATTCGATTTACCATGTTCTACTATGGTGGTATTGTATTATAGTTAGATTCATAATTTTTTGTAACATGTTTTACCACGTTATACCATGTGGTATTGTATGGTAGTTAGATTTCTAATTTTATTTTAGCATTTATACCATATGGTATTGTATGGTAATTAGATTTGTAATTTTCTTTAGCATATTTTGTCATGTTTTATCATGGTAGTAGAAAGTGTTAGTCATATTCATACTTGTAATTATCCTTCTTGGCAGAGAATTATTCATACTTGTTTTACCATGGAGTTGGGGTAGAGAGAACTGAGATTGCTGAATTCATATTTGTTTTAGGGGTTAATACCTTATTATGGCCTGAACTATGACCATGTAATCAACTTTGGCCCGTGGTTTGAAAAATTAACATTCTGGCCCGAACTATGCAGCATATAGACAGAATTGGCCTGGAGCGTGGTTTGACCGTTTGTTTGGACAGTCAACACCGTTGACCGTTAGTCAACTGTCCAGGTCACTGCCATGTTACCAAAAAAAATTATAATTTCATTATTCTTTTTATTTCTTTTACAAAATTGAATAATAAAGAAAAAAAAACATTTTGGCCACCCATCCCCACCTTATCCCCTCACCTTTCATTTTCGATCAAACCCAAACAAACCCTATCTGGATCATCACCATCTGGATCATCACCGCCACCAACGAGCTCCACGGATTAGGGGTGAACAAACACACCCGCAAACCGACCCACCCGTCCAACCCGACCCAACCCACCCGTATTTATCGCTAAAACGAAGGTTTTGGGTTGGGTGAGGATTTTCTTTTGCACAACCCGCCTCTTTTGGGTTGGGTTTGGATTTTTTATTACACAACCCGTAGAACCCGACCCAACCCGTGTTCCAATTATTGGTATGAGTTCGTAACCAAAATAATATTTATGTAGTATATAGTCATACTTATGAGAAAATTAAGATATTTTGCCATGTTTTTCTCTTAAGGTCTCCCTAATCTAATGCATTCTTCGGCTTAAAGTTTAGACATAAATTTAATATAGCTATGATTCACGTAATTTTTTTTCTTGTGTACAATTTTAATAGAATAACATATTTTGGATGCGTTCATTTGTAACCATTTTAGCCTATTTCAACAAATGTCATGAAAAAAACTAGACATAAGTTGAAGTAAATCAAATTTTATGAAAATTCAAACAACATTTGTGAATTTTGATACCTTTCACCTTGGTTTATTCGTTTGAATTTTTAATTAGTTATAAAATATTTTTATGAAGTAGAATAATTACATATTTTTGTGTTGGGTTGGATTTTTATTTAAATATATCGCCAACCCGACCCAACCCAATTAGAAACAAACCGTAGGGTTTAGATTTTTTTGATTGGGTTTGGGTTTAATATTTCCCAAACCGTAGTGCATGGGTCGGGTGATTAAAATGTCTAAACCCGGACCACCCGACCCATGTACACCCCTACCACGGATGGCACATTATATCCTCCGTGCTCCTCACCACTCTCGGTGAATGCCTCCTCCGCACTCCTCGTCGGAGGAAGACGACAAGATCCCCGTGGAGGAGTCAGAATCGTCGTCATCTCCGGCCGCCGCAACCACCAACTCCACCGCGGCCTCCAAATTCTTCGCCGCCAGCCTCTCCTTCACCATCTTCACCAGCTCCTCGGGCATGTCACCGAAGCAGTCTATGTACGTCATCAGATCCCCTGCCGACAGGGTCGCAACGGCGGCGGCCGCAGACTCGTCGCAGCAATTTTACGCGGCGGGAGAGATTTCCCCCACCAGCCTCCCTTCCGAGTCCAGAATCGCCACGGATGTCTGCTTGATTAGAGATTGGGAGATCAAGGGAAGGGCGGACGACGCCGGGTCGTCGTAATGGACGGCCAGGATCGATTCCTTGTCGACGATGCCGAGCGATTCGACGGTTCGATTCGGGAGGGGAGAGAAGATGCCGATGCAATTGAGGAGGTAGCGGATTATGTCCTCCTGCGTCAGCCAGCAGAACTCGCGGCCGTCGTGGAGGGTGGAATTGGGGCAGCTCCTCTGAATCAGCTTCTTCCTCGACGAGAAATGGCTGTGGAATGGAATCACCAGATTCTGCGGGTTATCGGGGAGGAAGAATAATGGAAGATAGGGTTTGTTTGGGTTTGATCGAAAATGAAAGAAGGTGAGGGGATAAGGTAGTGGGTGGCCAAAATGTTTTTGTTTTTTTCTTTATTATTCAATTTTGTAAAAGAAATAAAAAGAATAATGAAATTATAATTTTTTTTGGTGACATGGCAGTGACCTTGACAGTTGACTAATGGTCAATGGTGTTGACCGTCCAAACAAACGGTCAAACCACGCTCCATGCCAATTCTGTCTATATGCTGCATAGTTCGGGCCAGGATGTTAATTTCTCAAACCACGGGCCAAAGTTGATTACATGGTCATAGTTCAGGCCATAATAAGGTATTAACCCTTGTTTTAGAGATAGAGTTAGTGTGCAGAGAGCATGTACTTATTTTTTTCTTTTAGTTGTAGTGGGAGAGAGAAGAAATAATTTAATTTTTCTTTTAACAATAGATAAAAGAGTGACAGAGAGAAACGTGTGGAGGACGGGGAGTGGGGTCTACGTTCGGTCAAAAGTAGGCGTCAGGTGGTCAGCAATAAATAAGGGGTGGATGCAAATTACTCTACTGCCCCTCCGTGTTTCATTTAAATAAAAGGGAACGGCTCAGATGCAGACACGTGGAGGATAGAGGAAGGGGTTACGCATGGTTACTGAGAATATGGTTACTGACCTGATCCGGATCCGAGCCGGAGGAGGTGGTTTTTATATAAGAGTAATTCCTCTTTTTAGCCCAACATTTGTTGGAAGATGTAATTATTTTTTTTACCACTAGTTAATAAAAGAGTTATAAAAAAGTGCAACTCGATCAACTGCTTAGACACAAAACAAAGAGCATACCACTAAAAGATATTAGTCATAAAATGACATATTTGATAAAACTGCATAATAAATAATAAATGAGCATATTATACATACAGGTATTCATCCATCTATTAGTTTCTTGTTTGTGAGCTAAATGAATCCAGCAATGAAACGAGTGTAGCAAATGAATCTTTTGGACTGCATAAAGAAGTGATGAGCAAAGTACCGGCAACTCCATAAGCTGTAGTAACTCTGATCTGTTTGAATAACGAATTGGACGGCGACAATGGTTAAGAGAATTTTGGGGGTTGTCCCCTACCGCGAGGAAGAAAGGATTTGAAAAAAAATCCGACTTTGGGTGAGATTCGTATCCTTTTTCTAACAGGGCTCGCTCCCTTGCACTGTTCACTTCAGTCTCAAAACAAAAGAGAAAACCCTGCACATGGCGACAAACACAAGCATATGGGCGGGCAGCTTCTCCTCAAAAGTGTTTTTTCCCAAATCTATCGGACTCTTCAAATTCTTCCCTCGCCCAACTGGTTTTTGTTTTTCCCTTTTGTTCGTATGCATTTAAAGTCATTAATCACTAACTTACACTTGTTGTGTATTTAATTACGCGCGGGAACCGCTCTCAATGGCCGCTTGAATTCCCAAGCCAAACACTGACAAACTAAATACATTTGCACAGGTTTAGGTATTGCCCGTTAAAATCCTAATTTTATTTAAGTTTTTAAACTTTAATTTGTATATTTGATTACAATTATAAGTGAAAAGCGTGATTCTGAACAGAAGTGTTTTGATTACCTAGAAATGTACGTAAAAGTGTAAGTTTTGAAAATTTAAAGCGCGGTTTGGACTACATCGGCCATATGCATACTTATTAGCTAAAATATTAGTAAATGAACTCTTTCAATGTTTTTTCTTCATTGATTTGCTATTTTTATTTTATTTTCGTGCACTAAATAGACAAATTAACTGTGATCTACAGAACGATATTCAATTTTCATGTATGTTTTAAGTGAAAAAAAAAGTACTTTTACATTAGACATAAGAAGTGACGAAATTAGCATTCAGAGTGATGGCGACTATAAATGAAATCATAGTAACCTCTTCAAAGTGAACTAAGGAATTGGGAGAGGGAGATTGATAGCCTACCATCTTGCCCATTTTCCATGTTGTTTAACATATTATCCAAATATCACAACTTGAGATCAAATAATGTTTGGGGAGCTACACTCCATCCTAATCAATTATGTGTAGCTTTGCATTGAACAAAAGACACTCTTATGCTTATGTCTCGTTAGGATTTAGGAGTATATTACGTTCATAATAGAAGTGAATTTTGAGCTAGTTTGACTCTGTTATATATTTTCTTCAAAAGCAACTTAGGGTTGGAGGTTTGAAAGGAGCGCTTAAAAAAAGCCATTTGGTTTGCTTGTTATATCATTAAATTTATTTAATCTACTAAGTGATGTAAAATCAAATATAAAATTTGAAAATCTAAAAAATATAGTTCAAATGAATATTATTGGATTTCTTTAATAGCGAATAATTTATCTTTATAATTTATTTCAATTATAAAATAATATAAATTAAAAATTAAAAAAAACAACTGTCTTACACTCTTACTTTCTATATATCCCATCGCAAAAGTTTTAAATCATATCTTATATGATGTAAATTTGATAAAAAAACAATATTCCAAAATATATAAATTGGATTTGATGTAAAAAAGTAAATGGTGTCATGCATTTCTATATCCAATCATCCTTTTCCCAAGACAATCAAATTAATTTAAAGTGATTGACTAATGAGTTAAAACGACAGGAAGGAAAGCAATGTGAGCATGGCTTGTTCATTCCTTCTTCGTCTTCACCCCATCACATCACGTATCGCCATTTATAAGACCTCCAATCAAAAACCATCCCCCCCACCTTTCCTCTCTTTCTCCGTATTATTATTATTATCGTTGTCGTCGCCATCGTCAATCCCCCCATCAGAGTTTTTCATCTCCAAAATTCACCTCTTCGTAATTATCATTTCAATAATATTCAATCCACGAAAATTTCAACCCTATTAATTAATCTTCCCTCCCTTTCCTCCTTCCCTTTCTCAAGATCCTTCACCTTCAACACTATTTTCCCCCCTTTGCTTCATCCTCCAATCCTCTCCATATTCCCTTTCCCCTTTGGCTCTATCTTATTCTAAGATCAGGGCCATACGCATCACTTTTCACCTTTGAACCGTGAAAATTTGGTCGACGCAAAGGAGAAGAGAGAAATGAAGAGTCATCAACAACAGCAACATCATCATCAGAAAGGGGCGACGTCGTTGTTTCCGAAATGGCACGTAATCAACACCTTCTCCTACTTCTTCCTCTTCGCCTGCGGTGTAGCAGCCGGCGTCTTCCTCAACTCCTACCTCAAAAACGTCTCCTTCGACCTCCACCTCACCAAATTCTCCATCTCCCCTTCCCCGTCTCCTCCCACCGCCCAAAACAACACCACCACCACCGCCGTCGGCGATGGATGTGAGAATCGTCGTCATGAGAAAATAGTGGTTGAGGTGCCGGTCCCGGTCCCGGCTGTATCTCCTCCGGCGCCGGTGCCAGCTGGCAGGGTGGGGCTGAGCGAGTACCTGAAAGTACCGTCGGAGGCGATGCACGACATGGAGGAGGAAGAATTGCTGTGGAGGGCGTCGATGGTGGCGAAAGTGAAGGAGTATCCGTTCCCTCGGGTGCCGAAAGTGGCGTTCCTGTTTCTGACCAAAGGGCCGATGCTTCTGGCGCCGATGTGGGAGCTCTTCTTCAAAGGGAACCAAGGGCTTTACTCCATTTACATCCATTCCAGCCCTTCCTACGTGGCGTCGCCTGACGAGAGCCCTCTCTTCCGCGGCCGCAGGATCCCCAGCCAGGTAATTAAGAGATTGGATTTATGGATCGGTGGATTCATGAATAAGATAAAACTGGTGGATTGAATTCATATATTCCAAATGGTATCCAAACGTTGAATCAATACAAGGTTTTTGAAAAGTTCATGTACTGAAATATCATCATAAAAAAATTTAGGTACCAAATTTAATTTTCCAATGATATTTTTCATAATTGAAAAATATAAAATAAATGTACTATACAATAATTTTGTCAACACTCCATGAATCTTATCTACCAATCCAATTGGATTTGGTAAAGGAATTGAATTTTAGGGGAGCGGATAGGGTATAGAACTTCGGCCTGCAAAATCATGTAAAACTCCCAGTTGTATTATACACGATACGATCGGGGGGTTTTGTATGATTTTGCAGGTCATTATTTTGTACCGAGAACCTAAGCCAGTAAATAGATTGAATTAATTTAGTGTATGGGAATACACAATTGGTACTTGATTTTGTCATCAACTAATAGCCCACGTCGATATATGAACTTTTCTTACTGAACGTTTATGACCACAACGCATGATTTAATTACCTTAATCAAATTTAGTCGGCGTTATTAGTCAATCAATTAACCACGCGCATGGTGCAGGTAGTGACGTGGGGGAAGTTCAACATGGTGGAGGCCGAGCGGCGGCTGCTAGCCAACGCCCTCCTCGACGTCGCCAACCAGCGCTTCGTCCTCCTCTCCGAGGCCTGCATCCCGCTCTTCAACTTCTCCACCGTCTACGACTACCTCATCAACTCCAACCAAGTCTACGTCGAGGCCTACGACACCGCCGACGCCCGCACCCGCTACCACCCTGACCTCATGCCCGAGATCACCCTGCCCGACTGGCGAAAGGGGTCCCAGTGGTTCGAGATCGACCGCGACCTCGCCCTCGAGGTCGTGTCCGACAGGAGGTACTTCCCCAAGTTCCAGGGCTTCTGCAGGAACAAGCCCTGCTACGCCGACGAGCACTACCTCCCTACTTACTTCGTCATCGAGCACTTGGGAAAGATGTCCAACCGGAGCCTCACGTGGGTGGACTGGTCGGCCGGCGGGATCCATCCCAATCGGTATGTAAGAGGGGAGGTGACGGAGGAGTTCCTGGAGAAGTTGAGGAGCGGGAGCGGGGAGTGTTTGTACAATGGCAAGAAGACGACTACTTGTTTCTTGTTTGCCAGGAAGTTTCTCACTACCTCGTTGGTTAGGTTGTTGAGATATGCGCCTAAAGTCATGCATTTTAATCCCTAGACGATGATTGATCGAAGTTGATGTGTGGTTAGGAGGAGAGCATCGACTCTGTTTTCTCGATCGATTCCATGTTTTTTTTCCCCCTGGTCGGGTTTTGTTTGCGTTGTGTTGTAAACTAGGATGTGTGCTTGTTGTACCCTGATTTAGATGAATCAACGAGTTTAAAGTGAGAATCTAAATAGCTCTTAATTTTTATATTATATGATTATTTCAGCAATTTTGTCTTTCGATTTATCCGTAATGACATATTGAACTGTCTCGACACTCGTATTGAACAGTCGCGACTCTACTATTATCATATTGTACACTTCTAAAAACTAGTGGTGTGGAAGTGTACAGTAAGCTTAACCCTAGCTAGATGAGAAGCAAAAAAGAAAAGAAGGAACACAGACAATTCATGATCATCAGTTATCACATTTCCCTTCTGCCCTGCTGCAGTTCCACTTCTTCTGCAACAGCAAAGTCTACTTTCTGTGGCATCCCACTGACACTTTCTAACCTCCAAACATTACTTCCCATGTGTTCGCTCTCTCCATTTCATCCCTCACTATTTCTTCTCCTTCATTCCCTTTTTAAAACCCGTTTTTATCTCTCGGCTAGCAAAACAGAAACATGCAGTTACAGAGACTCTAGGAAAAATGAGGCAATTCAAGGTGACAATATTTGCCAAATACCTTCCAGTGCGACTCAGAAGAGAATCCAGTAGAGATGGAAGCCTTCATGTAGGAATCACCACCATTATTCTCTGGTTGTTCATTGCATCGATTGTTCTGTTTCTTGGGGCTTTCTTACGGACCCATGTAACAGAGTTCTTGTCTTCCTCTTCTTCAATGGAAGAAGTACTTCCTGCTATTTTCTTCACTCCAACACCCAATTGTGCTTCCAGCACCATGAAAACTTCTTCGGTTTCTCCATCAGCAGATCAAGTATGGCATTCAATGAATGACGAGGAGTTACTGTGGTGGGCATCGATGGAGCCACGCATCTCGCAGTATCCTTATAATCGCACCCCAAAACTGGCATTCATGTTCTTAAGCAGGGGAGCTTGCCACTTGCACCTCTCTGGGAGATATTCTTCAAAGGTCATGAAGGCTTTTACTCCATTTATCTTCATGTTTCTTCGATAACAGATTTCACGCCTCCCCATTCATCATCTGTCTTTTACAATCGCATGATCCCAAGCAAGGTCAAAACCCACCTTTATAATCTGTTTTTTCCCCTTCTTTTTTCATGTAAGTTGCAACTTACAGCTAATTAATTGTAGCCAGTGCAATGGAGAACAGCAACAATGGTGGATGCAGAAAGTCGATAACTTGCCAATGCACTTCTGGACTGGTCGAACGAAAGATTCATTCTTCTCTCGGATACCTGCATTCCTATATTCAATTTCACCACAATCTACAACTACCTTATTATCAGCTCCTGGAATCAGAGCTTCCTGGGCTCGATCGATGACCCTCGCCCTATGGGCAGGGGACGATACAACAAAAGAATGGAGCCAGAGCTGACACTGGCTGACTGGCACAAAGGTTCTCAATGGTTTGAAGTCCATCGTAGTGTCGCAGTTCAGATGGTCTCTGACATAAAGTACTACCCTATTCTCACACAACATTGTAAGCCCCCACCGTGTTACATGGATGAGCATTACTTCCCGACGCTTGTGACCAAGATCTTGCCGGAGCTAAACACGAACCACAGCATCACATGGGTTGATTGGTCCCGAGCCGGCTCTCATCCCACCATGTTTGTTAGGAAGCATGTGAGTGAAGGATTCTTAATGAAGATAAGGAACATGACCAATTGTGGGTTTACACATCCGACTAGGAGCACCATTTGTTTTCTCTTTGCTAGAAAGTTTCACCCAAGTACCTTAGAGTCTTTGTTGAGAATAGCTCCATCTTTGTTTGGTTTCACCGATACTAGTTAATACCAGTAGCCTACCGTGAGCAGATTACTAACCAAACGGATTTCATGGGCCAGCATCATCAAAAAGAACCTTATAGAACCTTTTTCTTTCCTCAGGGTTGAACAAACCACCAACCTTATCTCCATTATCTTGTTCTGACGTTTCACTACTTCTATCCTTCCTTTTCCCAGACCTTGCAGCAACAATCCCTTTCTCCTTATGTTTCTCAAAATTCATTAAATAGTGTCGCTGGTTATACTCATGAAGTCCTTCTTACATCAACTCACCAAATTTTCCCTTGACAACAACGAGAGGATCCATCTCTTTTAGTTCCGAGCCATTATATGCATCTTTCAGAAGAACTGTGTATATGTTGGACACATAGAATATGCCAGGATGCTTTAACAACAGAACATTCAATTTGTCTGGTAAACCAAGCTCTTTTTTGAAGTGCCCCAGCTTAACGATTGACATCTTCTTCCACAAAGTCAGCGAGAGCAATTCATGTACTAAACCCACAGTTCGTTTCTCCATCTCCATAGTGCCTTCCACCAATCCACTGGCACAAACATAAGGTGAAACATACGGAATGGCATTGAATTCATGAAATCTCTCCCATGACTGAACCCAAGACGAAGGCAGAGAACATGAAAAACAAGGGCTGCAACCTCTCTCCAATGCCGAGGCTTCGACAGCAGAAACTGCAAAATCCGGGTTCCATGATAAAAGTTCGATCTCCATTGAACTCTTTCTCCCAGTGTGGTTGACAAGTCGAAACATGTTCGGGTATCTCGGGAGAATTCTGATTATGTAATCATCTGGAAATCTCAAATTTCTTCTCAGCTCGTTAAGTTTGACAACATTGATCCTCTGGTTAGTGCTCATCATCAACAACTTGGCTAGACGCTCGACATAAAAGGGCTCCTGCATATCTTTAACAGATTCTTCCTCCTTCACTAATGACAGCATCCTCTTAGTTAATCGACAGTAGTACTCATCATTCTGTAGACAGAAATCGAAACAAAAAGGGTATTTCTTCAGCCAATTGACTGCTTTACCTTGAAGATCAAGAGTCCTGAACTTCTTCTGCAGATATTTGACAGAGGCAGCTTGGTCTGGACATCTTAGAATCATGTTCTTTATCTGATTTTTGACAATCCATCTGCGGGTTCTAGATAGAGCAGCTTCAAGATCAGGGTCCTTTTTCATAGACCAGAGCGAAAAATTCCGAAGAGGGTAAAGCAAAGGCAAGGAGTTCTGGCTCCTACTACTGCTATTGATTAGCTTCTGAGCAAACATGAGATCAACCATATGTATATCTAACTCCTTGTATCACCAGAAACTTTCTCCTATGGGCCACTCCTGTTAAAATCCTACAGAACCAGAACAAACATTTTAATCAAACAACAATCACAAGTCTAACAGCTTGAACGTGATTGCATTTCATCGCGCAAACTTAGTTCACATTTAAAACCAAACGATGGATTCTCGAATGCAGTTCCGACACCGTTAATACAAGGCTTCTCCTGGCTCTCGTTTCAGTAGTTGTGGAAGAGAACTCCATTTTCCAATCACCGCGTCGTCGAAACTAAGGAGGGCGGATGGAATTTGAGAGTCTCCCATGCGGCCATGCCAGGCTCTTGTCTGCAATGGGAAACGCCGGAAGAGTGTCGTTCGACGGGTGACGCCGATCAGTGGCGACGGCCGACGACAAACGCAAATTGGGTTCCGCAAATTTTAGATTCCAGATGTTCGGACCAGGCTGCCGACGGCTTCAATCGCCTTCTTCTCCGGAAACAGGGAAACCACAAAGAAAAGTTCAGGGCAGCAGTTGGTTAATCAAAAGAGAGAGCTGCCAGATTGTATTGAATCGAACTTAGGGCTTATGGCTCTGTTTTCTTGTCCGATGGAAGTAGATTCCGGGTATTGTCTTTCCGCCGGTCGAACGAGTTTGTTTTACTCAACGTTGTCAAAACTCAAAATCATACCGATACCCCGGCTGGACCCGGTCCGATCAAAGTTGGGCTTCAAAATAAACTTCAGAAGGTTGCGGTATGATCTAGGGATAGCAATAGGGCAAGTTGGGACGGGTTTTGTCAAACTTAAATCTATTGGTTTATCCGCCAAAAAAATCCGGGGTAAAACCTGCTAGGTTGGAAAAACTCAAACTCAACCCAACCCGTTAGGTATCGGCGGGTTCATAGGTACCGTTGAATTTTTGTGGTAAAAAATTTACAATTATAAGTTTTTTTTATGAACAATAACAAGTTTCTTCAAAATAAAAGTTTAACATCAATTTTCTTATACAAATTATCCATAAAATAATATCAATCTAGTGCATACAAGCAAACCGCAAATTATCAATACAAATTGCTCAAAATTAAAGATAACCATCTATGAACAACATGATTAATTGAAGACTTCTTCTTCCTTGTCAACTAAACTTCTTGACTCTCCACTTCATAATATCAACTTCATTCTAAACAATTAGAAAGAACAAATTATACATGTCTCCACAAACATAAAAAATATTAATTGTCTAAGGAAGATATATTGTTTAGAATATTAAATACACAGTGAAGTAATTATATGGGTGTGGGCGGGTACCCACGGAGCGGGTATACCTAAACCCAAACCCAAACCCAACCCAGTGAACAGTGTAGCAGGTTTAAACCAAACCCGACCCAAAATCTGTCAACACTGGTTTTACCCGCGTTGCCCGAATTGGGTCGAGTGGGTACCCATGGGGTTGGGTTTAGTTGTCATCCTAGTGTGATCTAGGAATGGCAACAAAACCCAAACCCACGGGTACCCACCCGACCCAACCCTATCTGAGGTCAACCGAAAAGTACAAGTTACGGTGACTTGCAAGTCACCCTAGAAAATTCCAAATCTTAATAGTGCATGTTCTTCCTAAGAGAAAGAAAATGTTGATTATCGCAAGAGCATGCAAGTGTTAAGGTATCGTTTGCTTTTGCTTGTGGGATTTGGGTGATTGATTTGGCACCCAAATTCTAAGCATCATGGAATTGATACAAATTCATTGTTTGCTAAGGGACACAAATTTGTGGGGCCCATGGATTTGGACTCATTTTTTAGATCCAAATCCGTGGGGATCCAAATTCGTGGACCCCACGGATTTGCAAATCCCACATTTCATTTGGGGTTTGATAATTGAAGGCAAAATGCGATACAAATCCATCATCAATTCATGATAAAAATAAACTAAACGAACAATGTACTCTTGCATATCCATAATGCATCAAATCCATCATAAATCCAAAGGTTTTTAAAACTCAAAACGCTCGTTTTTAAATCCAACAAGCAAACGAAGTAGTTAGGTCTCGATTGTGAGGGTGTCACTTGCGACGGGAGTGTTGTGTTTAGTACAGATTTGTATAGTGTATGTCTTTGAATAATTTTTTTTATTTCAACACACATATATATAGATAAATATAATTTTGTAGATCATATAAAATCTAAAATTTGTGCAAAATATATTATTCAAATTTGAAATAAAATAAAAATAAATCGATTAAGAATAGTATGAAATTGAAAAAGAAGATAGAAAAACTATGCTAGGTGACACATTCTAAATGGATGACTGAAAAGACTAAAACAAAATCAATTAAATTATTATTTCAAATTAGAGTGCTTAGTTCTATAAAAGATAATAATAATAATAATAATAATAATAATAAACAAAATTAGTTAAAATTTTGATTGGTGGTAATGTAGCTACATGCATAAATTTCTGAAAATTTGAAATAGAAACGTATAAATGGAGAAATTATTTATTATATATAAATTTTCAGTAATAACCCGAAGATAATGAATATTAAGAGTAGAAATGTATCAATATTTAAAATATAATGAAAATCTACAAGTAATGATATCATGAAAAAAATTCCATAGTCTTACTTGATTGGTTTTTATGTCAGACTTAGAATTCAAATAAAATTCTTATTTTAACCCTTCAACACAACATAGGTCATTAAAAAGATCTGAGAAACCCACCAAAGCACGAAAGTTAGGATCTTGTTTCGTTTTAACCAACAAGATAACATAACAAGTGAGAGACCCATAGAAATCGAATGTTCGTTCGAATGACTTCTTTTGCTCCTCATTCCTTGTAGAGGCATCCAATAACTAAAAATGGTATATACTAAAACAACAACTTGAGCTCATAGATGGTTTATAGAATAAGATACTTGAATTGATTTGTTTCCAAAACGCGTAAGGGAAGTGGTGCTATACAAACTTGCTCCCAACCCAAGTAAGTAAGTAACATCTTGTGGAGAATATTTCAATTTGTGAGTTAGGTATATGAAACGACGAATTGAATGTCAGTTTTATTTCCCTCTAATTTATTCTTTTCATATTCGTTAAATTTATTTTATGAAGCGTTTATAAATAATATTACAAAGATAATGCTCCATGGGTCCAAGTTACAAATATTCCAAACCTCATAAGTTCGTTGTAGTTAACACAAAGCAATCCATCCGAACAATTATTCTCCATGTAAACATCTATTGGGATAGTGTGATCCTAACTTAAGAACACTTTAATTTATGCGGAAAAAAGAAAATAAAAAATAGCAGAAAAAATAAAATACAATAAAACTTCTCAATAACGGTAACACCTTAGGCAAATCCCACATCGACAAAACACGAGAGAGATCCATGGTTTATAATTAGTAAGAAACCGACCTTAACTGACAAGACACGTTTTGGGGTGAAATGGAGGAGTTCTTGTGAGAACTTCGAAGTTAAACGTGTTCAGGGTGGAGAACAACAAGAATGAGTAACTTTATGGGAAGACACCTTGAATTGCACTCCAAGTCAAAAACCGTGAGGATCGAGGCCCAAAGCGGACAATATCTTCATCGAGAAAAGGTTCGGGATGTTACAAGTGGTATCAGAGCCACTTCTTGTCCCTCTTGAGCGATGGTGGGGCAGGACCTCAATGAGGGCCTTGAGTCCCAAGGGGGGGAGGGGGGTGTATGTAACACCTTAGGCAAATTCTACATCGACAAAGCACGGGAGAGATCCATGGTTCATAAGTAAGAAACCGACCTTAACTAACAGGATGCGTTTTGGGGTGAAATGGAGGAGTTCCTGTGAGAACTCCAAAGTTAAACGTGTTCAGTGTGGAGTACAACAAGGATGAGTGACTTTATGGGAAGACACCTTGAATTGCACTCCAAGTCAAAAACCGTGAGGATCGAGGCCCAAAACGGACAATATCTTCATCAAGAAAATGTTTGGGATGTTACGATAACACTTTTCATTTATGAAAAAAAAAAAAAGCAGCAAAAAAAAAAACAAAAACCCTTCTCGCCCCACTCTCCTCCCTACCTGTTAGGGCTTCAATTGCTTGGTTCTCACTCATCTGGGGTGCACACTTTATCCCGCGACACAGTTTCATTAGTTGGTTAGTGGTGATGAATCGAATCACAATCTTAGATAAACTCAAGAATTGGGGTAAAGTGACTGATGATACATGTGTCTTCTGTTCTGCAGCACAAAGAGAACAGAGAAATTATATCTCACCATAAAAAGATAGATGATTTTAGCGATACAACACAGTTTAACTCCGGTTAAATTATGGTTTCAGTACAAAATACTTTATCGTTCTATATAAAAAAAAGCTTACTTCAAAACCAAGCAAGAGATTTCACCCACTTTGGACTTCAAGAATCCAAAGAAAATCTTGCTTACTAAGTCGTGTGTTCTCTCATTCTATAAATAATTTGTGAGAGTTAGCTATTAGTGCATACGTTAATTGGCATATGATAGTGTTGTTATGTCAATGAAAATTCCTTAGTTGTGTTCTTGATCATACACTCCAAGCCATAACCACAACTGGCAGAGAGAAAGAGTACACAAGAAGTCATAAGGTCTCAAACGAGACACCTCAAAAGTTTGTGCTACAACATCAGGTACTACTAAACTATACATTTTTCTTGTTTGATGTTATTCAAATATAAACAAACCTCTTATCAAATCGTACACCTGATGTTGCAAGTAGCTACTAGAGGACCCGATGTCATTATTTGACTTGATAGGCCCACGATGTTTTTGATTGATCAGTTACCGCTTGACAATGTAATAGCTCATTCTAATTAATAAAAGTTCTACATATTCCCATAAAAACAATCTCTTAGAGAGAAAGTCAACCGTACCATAATAAAATTGAATTGTTGGGGCTAATAATTAACTATCACCGTTGAGTATCACTATGATTTAAATATAGAGGGTTTGCTGGACTACATAATGTATTAAGTGACTATTCTTATCTGGTTTGTTTTTTTAGTTCTTGATGGTACCATAATTATCTGTGGTACTCTCGCACTTAATCTTACTAATCCACAAGGATCTCTATGACAAAAAAATATATAGAGGTTTTGCTCATCGAAATCCAAGTAGAAATACGAATAATGGACACGACACGGCAAGGATTGGCCTGGACAAAGACCCGGCATTGCCTATAGTAGTTTGTTACTTTGTTTCCTTGCACATAACAAAAATTTCTAACAAAACTCTAGCACCAAATCTCAAAATCCATCTTGAACAATAACCTTCGATTTATTTAAGGAACAATACTCAGTTTGGGGTCAAGAAGTTAAAATAAATTGTTTCGTAGCTTCTAGGAAAAGAAAAATGGATTCTTGAGAACCCCTTGCACGATGTCGAGATATCGCAGAAGAAAAAACTGCACATCCAATCGAACTTATTACCTTTTTTTCCCTCCACTAAACCGAGGTCAAATATTGAGACCGCCCAGACTGTTAACTTTAGTCTATGGTGGCGACATGTCATGGTCTCTGAGACCTCCCCATTCCACATTCTCCAATGCGTCTGTTTACTTTGGAGAATCTGGAAGTTTAGTAATAAAGCGACCTTCGAATTTTTCCAACCTCATGTCCGTTCCCTAGCCAGACATTTCTACAACCAGGTCCTCGAAGTCTCCAATCTTCTCCTTCCTACTCCATCCCGCATGTCTCTACTCCCAATCCATCCTGCCACCACTTGGGTCCCTCCGCTAGAAGACTTTGTGAAGTTCAACTCGACGCTGCTATTTGTGCCACCGGGTGTTCGTCTAGGCTTGTTTTCCGTGGGTCAGACGGGCATGTGGTGTTGGCGTTCGGGCTGCAGCATCAATGAATAGTCAATCCTTACCTGGCAGAGCTTCTAGCCTTTAGAGACGCTTTCTCCATCGTAGCCTCAAGATCCTTGACCCGCGTGATAGTCGATGGTGATTCCGAAGTGGTCGTAAACTAAGTCCGTCAAGGCGTCATAGAAGTCTCGATTGATGGTCCGGTGTAACGAGAGTGTCATCAGATCCTTAGTTTTTTGTCTGTTTGTATAGAGTATAGGGCGGTACCTAGGTCTGCCAACAGTGTTGCCCATAGAGTGGCGAGTACATCATTGCTTTTGTCTCGTTTAGAGCTAGAATCTTTTGATTTTTTTGGGTGGCTTCTTTAGAGTCTTTTATGGGTCTTGGGTAGAATTGTAAGTTTAACTATTTTTCTTCATTGATATCACTCAGAAATAAATAAAAAAACAGAGGTCAAATATATTTCTAATAATAGAAATTTGATAGTCCCTCTGCTAAGGAATACCTAGTTAATCTTGGTTGGAAGCGACAGAATTAAAAGGCCACATGTCAGTTTGTTATTAGTGTGTTACCTTTCTTTTTTTATATTTAGTGTTCCTTTCAAAATATCTGATGTTATTGCTTCTCATCTCCACATTGTTTATTCTGCCCAGGAAACCGAACATGTATTTCAAATTTGGGTACTAAATTGTAAGAAAAAATAAATTTGGGTATCAAATTATAATTTACCAAAATTTGTAGTAAGTGACCGGAAAATTGAAAATAAAAATAAAAAATCATAAAATTCAAAATACAAAGAAATTATAAATGATTATCTAAACAACGAATTTGAATTACATGTATTTCAAATGCTAGTATTTCAAAGACTTTACATTTAAGATACACTTATCCAAGCGGAGCACTTCTACTATGCTATATAGCATTGGTGCTTTAATGTACAACTTAAAGTTGTACCATAACATTAAATGTATAAGTTTAGGGTGTACCATAAAGCAATTTGTACCAATATGTTATGGTACAACTTTACAACTTGAAGTTGTACCATCACACAAAGGCATACAAGTTCAAGTTGTATCATAAAAGAATTTGTACCAAAAGTATGGGTACTAAAGTTGTACCATAACGTAAATGTACAATTTTAAGTTGTACCATGAAAGCAAAAACCTATAACACAAATACTATATAGCATTGTAAAATTTCTCTCTAATGTTACTGCTTCTCATCTCTACATTTCCACATGGTTTCTTCTGCACAGGAAACCCAACATGAGCAACAACTCCAACCCCCGCCGGTCTCCTCCTCCTCCCCTCGTCTCCATCGACGTGGCATCACAACTACCCATCAAGTTCACCGGAGCCAATTACTCATCCTGGCGGCGACAATTCCACAGCCTTCTGGTGGGTTATGGATTGCAAGGATTCATCGACGGTACCATCACTCGTCCTCCCTTGGCCGCCAGTCTTGCTCATCGACATTGGATACAGCAAGATCAACGGCTCTTTCACGCGATCATGGCGTCCGTCAATGAAGAAACCATCGTCCCATTGATCGAGTCATCTCCCTCTGCCCGCGACGCTTGGCTGAGCTTGGAGCGTTTCTTTGCTAGCAGGTTGTTAGCCTACTTATAACCACTTGGTCTCAGACAATTTGAGTCGTTGACAAAAGGGTTTGTTAACTTTTGTTTTTTTTTCTCTCACACACCTCCTCAAACGAAAGCCTACATTTATTCGGTTTTTTTTTTCTTATACGGTTTGCTTAGGTTGAACGTATCATTCCTTATGTTGCCAAACTATTAGGCTTTCAGTTTGTACAAGTTGGACATACCATTTCTTGTACTAAACCATTGTTTAAATTGGGAGTCGCGTCATGCGGATTCGGAACCATGATCTTCCGATTCTAGACTCTGATACCTTGTTAGCGAACTAACCACTTGGTGCCAATTATTTTTACCTCTTACACAGGTCGAGATCTCATCGCATGGAACTCATGGACAAGCTGTCAGGGCTCAAGCACCACCATGACAAGAACCAGTCGGTCTTCGTTTACCTAACTTCGTTGAAGCGGGTCGCCAATGATCTCGCCCTCATTGGCCACCCTGTTGAAGACCCTGACCTCGTTCTCCATGCCCTCAATGGCGTTGGTTCGGAGTTCAAGGAGATTGTAGCGGCTATTCGTGCCAGAGATGCTCCGATTTCGTTTGAAGAATTGTTCGATGAGCTTGTCGAATTTGAGAAATTAATGCAGCGAAAAGACGCAAATCTTGTTGTTTGTCAGTATTGTGACCAACCAGGTCACTCTGCCAAGACATGTCACCGCATCATCAACACTGCTGCAACCCCTAATAATGACTCTTCTTCCTCGTGGTTGTTGTTTGATTCTGCTGTCACTCAGCAGATTACCAATGCTCTCAGGAATTTGTCCTTGCCTCAGTTCAACGATGGTCCAAACTCCTTAATCAACAACGATGGTTCAGGTTTGTCAATCACTCATACTACATAATAGATCTATTTGCTCATGGGTGTTAAGTGGGTCAGTTCAGTTGGATCGGTTTTGACTGTTTTTATCATCTGATGAATGATTCTCGAGTTGAATGTTGGTTAACCCAAACCCATCCATTAATTTTAAGATCCTACGAGATTCTTGAGTTTTGGTTTGACTTAGATTGGATGAGAATCTAATAATACAAAATATGAGAACAAAACTTGTCTTTAAATAATATTATACGACGGATAATACACAGGGGCGTAGCCAGGAATTTCACTAAGGTGGGTCGAACAGTGGAGCGAGTCTCTGTAAACGATGAGCAGCAAGCGACGTCATTGACTCATATGTTGGGTATTGCTGAACAAAACAAATTAATAAAAGTTTAAGCTCGACCTCGGCTTGCCAAATGAGTTTAACGGTCTTTCTTTTGATGGACTCGCACCCACAAGTTCAATGATTTTGCCGGTAACTGACAAGAAAGAGACGATGTAGACGTCGAAAAACTTTTTGTTTATTATTTGATTTATTAATTCCGTCGAATTTTTTTTGTTTATTATATTATTTGATTGATTAACTTTGAACTAACACGAAACATACATCTTATATAATTAGAAAAACCTAATGTTTAAACCTAACAACCGCCAAACCGTTCTAGTAAACCTACCCAAATCAGCAACATCCAAGAGACAGACTCCCAAGTCCCAATTAACTTACTAACCTACGTACTAAAAATTGTTTCCTATGCACTAATAGCCCATGTCCACAAGTCCACAACTTCATATGTGACCTAACTACTAAGCTAACCTTAATTGAGTTATTGTAAAAACGTGTAGTAAAGAGAAGCTAATGGGCCACTAAAGTTAAACTTAAGCCCACAAACATGAGAGAAACTGGTTTTTTTTTAGCAAGCTCAAAGAAAAATAAGGGTTAAAAGTGATATGTAACATGTAAGCCCACTTTCACGTCAATTAAAGTAATTTTAAAACGTTGACGTATTGATAAAACACAAAAGCAAGCTTCCTTTTTATGTTATTCGATCAAAGCAGCTACTTATACAAGTTTCGACCAAGAATAGAGTATGAATTATGAATACAAAACAAAGTCTGCAGAACTGAAAAAGCCTATTACTTGCCCATGTGTTGCAAAACCAAGGTGGTGCAGCCGACCCACCTTGGCCTGCTCTGGCTCCACCCCAGATAATACATATATGATCGTACATGAAATTTAACAAGTAAGATATTATAGTAATATGTTGCATTCATACTAAAAAAAATACAATATTTAAAATATTTCACTTATTAATACATGGTATTAAACGAAAAAATCAAATATAAAGAGAAGATGCTATGATAAGTATATATTTGCTAAGGAAACACTTTGATAAATAATTGATGTCACAATTGATCAACTCTAACTATGTAAACAAATGCAATATCACGAGTGACGAGTCAAGTTTGGATATTTTTGGCTTGTAAGTTGTAACCATCCAAACTTGCATCCAACCATAAGGCTTCAATTTTCAAAACTTGAAACCCACACACCCATAAAATTGGAAACTTTTATATTACTAGTGGGTCAGTTTGATTTAGATGCGTAGATCGATTTTCATTTTGTTTTGTTCACTTATAGCCCTTCTAATTACACTTTTCTAACAACTTAAATAAAGACTGAAACTTTTTAATATGCATGCACATGGTCATCCAATGAATCATGGAGACCTTTTTTCAGAATCGAGAGATAGTCTAAAATGAGTAATCTATAATAAAATAATAACCATAACATCGTTATTTACAAAGTAACATTTCTAGCATTGTTCAAAATAAAATTATCTATATGTTCTTCAGTTTTCATATTTTCAAGGAGATTATTTTTAATCATAGTCCGAGCTAATCCATTAAGATTTTATTGTGTCATTATAAAACATATGTAGAACTTTTATAACACAAAATTGACTTTAAGAATCAATATACATGTCTCGTAACGGTTAACATACTTAAACTCATCATCATAATAATAATAATAACTTAATCATACACCACAAGTTTAACCTATGATATAGGATTGGATTAACCAACAGACTTAGAGTACTGGAGACACTGTGTCGAATGGCCTTTCTAGTTCTACACACCCTAAGACCATCCACAATGTGGGTTGGTTTTGTGGGAAAAAGGGGAAATGTGATCACAATGTGGGGGGAATAGGGAATTAAATGGGTTTTGTGGGTTTAGAGGGTGGGAAAACCCACCAGATGAGACAAATGGTGGGGGAAGTGGAGGATGGGAAATGACAACCCTTTCTTTTCTTTTTTTATTTTTTTTTCTGATTTTAGCAAAAGCTTGTTTGGAAAGTTGTGTTTTTGTCCCCAACGGACAGATTTAACCAACAGCCATATTTTGCAACGGTCACTTTTAACGGCCATATTTTTCAACTGCCATTTTTTCAAATTAATGATGTCATACTTAATTAGTGATGAAAAAAAAATTTCCAAATTAAAAAAAAAATATATCGAAATGTTTGTATTAATTAATTATCACTAAGTACGTAATAATAATGATCATTATATGAAAAAAAAGTGACAAAATCAACTATAGATTGATTTTAACAAAAAAATACTAAACTGATTACCCACTTTTCCCACCGCCACACTGTGACCAAACCAACCAATTTTCCCACTTTTCCCTCTTTTCCCACATTCCCCCACCCACATTGTAGATGGTCTAATGGAGTGCATGCATGCAAATGAACATTTTGAGTAGATATTATCCATAGGGAGATAATAACAAGATCTCGTCCTTTAAGTTTTGGTGGAGTCAGATCTAATAGATGAGACCAAATTCTTTTTATTTTTTCTACTTTTCATAATCTATCTCTATTTTTTTAAACTCAAAAGTTAATTTTTTGTACATATGAAACATGTTCATTATTATCGACGAAATTATATTCATTTTTGTATATATTTTGACACAAAAAAATATGTACCACCCATAATCACTCGTTTTCACCCTGGTATCCTAATTGCCACTTCGTTTTTTACTCCAATTTTGAAAAATTTGCAGAAGAAACAAGTTCACCGTGACTTGTTCTGATCTAAAAATCTTTGAAAAAAATCCAGAACCAAATATACACCCTGGTATAGGGTGGTAAGTGATGATAGACGGTGGTGAAAGGTGATTAGTATATTCCTGCTATCATTAGATAATATGACATACTTTATACTTATACCACCATAGTACACTTCCATACCATACATTATAATTTTATGTACTATCAAGAATTATCACTATATAGACTGGTAATATATGCCTCAATTTGTTATGCTCCTAAAATATATCAAAGTGAATGTCATTGTGAAGACTTAAGAGTAGGGTTACTCTGATTTTTCGTATACAAAAAATTTGAATCCCGACTTTAAACGAAAGAGATATAATCCATTAAATTTAATTCAGAAAAATTTATTTGTGATTCGTAACCAATCATGTTAGTGGCTTGACCTGCTGTCCTTAATACGGGCTCTGTGATTTTGCATTATGTAATATCCATTTTGGTGACTTATTGATTGCAGAAACTAATTACACGAAAGGAGCCTTGACAGTTGTCGTGTTGCTGCTTCAACCGATTCTCCTCCTATTCAAGTTGTTGTTTGGAAGGACCCCGAATATTCTCAATGCCTCCTCTCGTACTAATAATATTATTCCCTCCCCAGCTTCTGCTCTTCCTAGTATTTCTCACTCTGGAGATCATTCAAAAGATGCCCCAATCCCACAACAATCAAATGATCATGGTATTGCCTCTGCTTCTGATTCGGTATTGTCCCTTCCGAGGGGGGAGCACGAGGTGTTCTTGAGCTTCAGAGGTCCAGACACGCGTCAGGTGTTCACCAACACCCTTTTCATCCTTCTTAAACATTTGAACATTCGTACATTCATGGACGACGAGAAACTTGAGAAGGGAGAAGAAATATGGCCGAGTCTCGTTGCCGGTATAAGACAGTCCAAAGTTCATGTAGCGATATTGTCGGAGAAATATGTCGAGAGCAAATGGTGTCTTAGAGAGCTCGCTGAATTCGTTGAATGTCGAAAGCAAGATAAAGGGCACATCATAATTCCCATATTCTATATGGTGGACCCGAGAGATGTGCGACACCAAACGGGGCCTTACCAGAGCGCATTTCAGCGGCACGAGCAAATGTTCAATGCCAAAATTGTACAAGCATGGAGAGATGCTTTGAATTTGGTTGGGACTATAAAAGGATGGCATGTTGGAAGCAAAGACAAGTATGTCATTCCACCCTATCACTCACTACTTATTGCAAAAAATTTAAATGATTCAAATTGTTTATTCATATTTTGGTATTTATTCTTTATTATTTATTCTTGTAGTCATGAAGCACATAATTTCATTTTACAGGCCGGGAGAAATTGCAGATAATGTTTGCAATGACATATGGTTGCATATAAGAAACAATGACAAATTTTGGGATAGAGATGGGTTGGTTGGTATTGATGAACATATAAGAGTGATAACCAATACATTGAGCTTAGACAATGAGGGTGTGACAATGGTTGGCCTCCACGGTTTTGGTGGTATAGGCAAAACCACTATTGCAAGAGCGGTTTACAACCAAATCTCTTCTCAGTTTGATAGATGTAGTTTCTTGGAGAACATACGAGAAACACAGGAGCAAAAGAATGGTACCATCAGTTTGCAACATAAGCTAATCTCTAATATTGTCCTGAGAATGGATTCTGTCGGATCTATTAATGAAGTTATCGAGGGGAAGAAATTGATAAAAGATAGAGTCTCACTGTTTAAAGTTCTTATCGTTCTTGATGATGTGGATGAAAAGTTCATATTCGAAGACGTTATTGGAAATCTTGGAGACTTTGCTTCTGGAAGTAGATTCATCATTACTTCTAGAGATGTGAATGTCCTGAGTACTTTCAACAAAAGTCGATGCAAACTGCATGAAGTTGGCGAAATGAATGCACAATTCTCACTTGAACTCTTTTGCAAGCATGCCTTCAAAAAGAATTGTCCGTCACAAGAATATGAAACTTTATCACAAGATATTGTATCAATTGCTGGAGGACTTCCATTATTTCTTGAGGTTGTGGGCAGACTTCTGTATGGACAAGCAAAAGAAATATGGGAAGATAGATTGGAACAACTGCGAAAGGTTTCTGTGAGAGGGGTCTCAGAAAGGTTAAAGATAAGCTACAATGCATTGGAATATGAGGCGCAACAGATTTTTTTGGATATTGCTTGCTTCTACGTCAATATGAATAAGGAAAAACCTACTTACATGTGGATTGATCTAAAGCTCTTTCCAATAACTAATATCAATGTCCTTGTTCAGAGATCTATGATCAAAATTGGGGATGACAATCAATTTCAAATGCATGATCAACTTAGAGATATGGGGAGAGCAATTGTGCACGAGGAAAATATCGAAGAACCCTGTATGAGAAGTAGGATATGGGACACTGAAGAAAGTGTGGATCTATTACGCAACAAGAAGGTATTTCCAAAAAAAATATCGACTGGTTGAATTTTAGCCCCTTTTCATATCTATATGATGATAATATCGTATCTGTAGTCATTTCATTTCCTATAGTCTGTACATGCTCCATTACATATGATATGCACTTCAACGATCCCTTTTTTTTTCCTTGAGCTATACAATAGTGTGAATTGTTGAGTCACATAAAATCGAAAACCACCATCATCAACCATTGATAAATTTTTGTAGGTGTAATCGATAAGTAATCAAATTTTTTGTATTTGTAATTCAGGGATCAAAGCAAGTTAAGGCACTCTACGCAGACTTCTCATTGGAACCTCAAAAACCCCTTGAAGCCGAACATTTCCTTAATTTGCCCGAGTTAAGATATTTGGAAGCGGAGCGTCTAGACTTTGTGGGAGACTTCAATAACCTTGTCTCAAATTTAAGATGGCTCCGGTTGCAGTCATGTGTCTGTGATAGTAGTAATCAATTCAACAATTTCAGGATGGCCAATATGGTTATTCTTGATCTTCAAGACTCCATATTTGTAGAAGGCGACTTGGGATGTTGGAGTCAAATCAAGGTACATATATTATATATATGGTGAATACTATCGTATCTTGTATAAAATCTAAGGTATGAGATACCCTGAGTAAGAAATTGCTATCTAGACCTCGAATTAATCATATTTTTGGGAATGATACTATACCCTAACCCTTGATAAGTGAACCCTGGGTCTTAGTTTCTAAATCACAGAGCCTAACCCCTGAGATTGTGCATGTAATTTATTGCATATATTTCGACGAATCATAACTGTCGATTCTTGTTTCTAGTTAAATTGATCTTAATGTATGAAATTTATAGAATTAAGACCTTATTTTAATCTTTAGGTATTTGAGAATAGTACCAGATGCCAAATTCCGATCAATTTAAGGTTTAGATATCATTTTCTTACTCAAGGTATATGTCATACATTTGATTTTATACAAGATGCAATTGAACCAACAATATATATTTGTAACACTAGTTTCATATGTTAGAAAACTTTGTGGTTTGTCATGGTTATTGTTGTTCATTATGTATTTTGCATGCGCAGATGGCAAACAAGTTGAAAGTTGTGGATCTCTCTGGTTGTTCTGGCCTAACCAAACTCCCTGATTTCCCACAATCCGGCTGTCTAGAGTTGCTACATCTTTCTAATGTAGTTGGCGGATCGTTGGGTTCAGCTACTCTGTCTATGGAGCTGGACATTAAAAATTTATGGAACCTACAGGTGTTGGATCTGAGCAAGAGCAAATTAAAAATGATAAAGGGCGGCACCATTGGACTGATGAAGAAGCTCCAAGAGCTCGATCTCACTGAAATCAAGTGTGAAAATCTGACGGAAGTACTCGTCGATATAGATCAACTATCATCTCTAACGATCTTGAAAACAATCAGAGCCAACCAGGATCCCGACGATTCGTCGTCCCTAAGAAAAAGGAACGACGAGGAAGAGCTGTCGTTAGCTAGGGTTCCCACGACCCTCAAGGCGTTGCACACATCTTCTAAGTTTGTTAATCTCTCGGAGTTGTTGGAGTTGGAGGAAATAACGATCGAGGATTGTGATTACGGGTTGCAAATCCCTCTCGCCGACCAGAATAATGCGTGGTGGGAGGAATCCAAATTGGAGGTTGTTTCGCTTACAAGGACCAAGATAGTCGTCGCTAAAACGAGCACGACGAAACTTCCAACGTCGCTAACTAGCCTCCGTATTTCGGATTGTCCGGAAATGACTTGGCTTCCAACCTTGGAGAACCTTACAAACTTGGTTGAATTGGGCATCGAGAAGTGTCCCTCTCTAGGAGAGATCCAAGGGCTTGAGAATCTCCTGCGGTCTAGTAATTTGGAGAGGTTGGTGATCAGCTCTTGCCCGCTTCTCAAATCTCCATTTCATGGCGGCGACGGCCTAAAGAATGACTCCTCTATAAAGGAGTTGTGCGTTCGTAAGTGTGGTTACGTGATGATACCTCCTCTGTCCAACTTCCCAAGGCTTGAGATTCTAGAGATCGGGGATATAACTACCAACGACAATGTTGATCAGCAGGTAGGTAGTTAAAATCACGCTTTAAAGTCTAAAAGCTTATATTTTTATGCTTCTAGGTCACTAAAAAGCTTCTACATAGAATCGTGCTTTCCCCTTACTAAAATTTAGTCGAAATCAACGCTAATTAAAACTTAAAAGCTTACGTTTTTACGCTTCTAGTTCATTAAAATGTTATTAAACATAGAATCGTATTTTCGACTGCATGCATGCATAGGGTTTGGAATCGCGGATGGAGGAAATTGGCGGCCTAAAGAGGCTTGAAAGGCTGCTGCTGCTGGACTTGCCATCGATATACAGACTGCCTTCACTTTCAAAGTTGAAAGATTTGATCACCCTTATCATTGTGAATATGTCGGGATTGCGTGAGATTCAAGGCCTTTCCGAGTTGAACTCCCTGGAGCAGTTACAACTCGTTTTGTGCATGTCGCTGGAGAGGTTGATATTGCCTGCGGCTGGTTTCAAGCGACTCAAGGAGCTGGATATTCGAGGATGCAAAAACTTGGCACCTCGTGACCTCTCTGCTCTTGGTGAGGAATTGCTCAATGTAAACATCAGATGGCCGGATGAGGAATGCATACGCTACGGAGAAGGGCCGTCGTTTTTTATGGATGATCCTCTTGAGTCGATGTGCACAATGCAGTAGTACGTCTACTCAATCAAATCAAATCGAATGCATTCATGGTTGGTAAGCATATATTTTAACTTCCATATATGCACACTTTTTTTTTCACGCGCGCTTTATAATCTTCCGATGGTTTCATGTCGAAACGCCATGTCAATCGTCATTTGTTGTTAGGGATGCAATTTTACTCATACTCATGAGTATTTTACTATCCAACCCAATTTGGTTGGGTATGAAATCCAAATAGATGGATATGGGTAGAGTTTGATGGGTTTGTACCCATACCCATTTACTTGGGTTGGGTTGGGTTTTTAACAAATGGATTTGGGTTTGTACTAGGGCTGGCTATTTGGTCCCGGACCGTTTGGTTTTACCCGAAACCGGACCGTATAACCCGAACCGGGACCGGACTGGGACCGGATATCGAACAATGCAATCTCATATTCGGGCTTAGATTTGAGGTAAAAAACCGGATAAGAGACCCCCAACACCTAAAATCAAGATAAAATTGGGACCGGACCGGATCAAGACCGGATTGTATCCAATCAAATCTTTGGTCCTTATATTCCCGAAAAGACCGGACTGGGACCGGATCAATTTGGTCCAATTTAACCGGACCGGACCGTATAGCCACCCCTAGTTTGTACCCATGCCCAAATGCAAATTACAATTTGGTACCTAAACTAAATAGATATTCATATTTGGTACCTAAAATTAATTTTTTGCTTATAAGTCCTCAAAATATTAATGGAAATTACATTTTAGTACCTAAAATTTTTTGGTCTTACATTTTGGTACCTAAACTTTTCAAGTTTTACAAATAGGTCCACTTTTTGTATGTGTAGTTAAAACACTCTAAGTAAATGGATATTCATATCCAACCCATATTCATTTAGATTATGGAAGCAATATTCATACCTTACCCAAACCCATCTACAAACCCTCAAATTCATGTGCACTTCACCCATACCCAACCCATTATGAACGGGTCTATTTGGATTTGGGTATAATTATTGCCATCCCTATTTGTTGTCATATGATGGAAAATAAAACCTGAATTTCTAAGAAAATCATTTGAAATTTACTACTTCCTTTTTTTTTTATAAATGATGAGAATATTATAAGAAACTAACCAATTCATGAAAGTACAAAGGTAAAAAATAAAAAGTCAGCAGCTCAACCAGTAGTAGAGCAAGCAAGCAATGAAGAGAAAAAAAAAATAAGCAATAGAAAAACAACCAACTCGAGAATAAAAAAGAAGAAAGAACGTGAGGGTCAAATGAGGTGCTTCGTCCCGATCACCATCCACTGGTGGAAGCGTCTATCTGAGATGCGACTAAAAGCTCGTAACCATCGTCCAACTATAAGAACAATCTTATGTCCAATCTCTTTTGGGGAGGACTCCACATCCCTGAAAATCCTATTATTTCTCTCCAACCAGATGTACCAACACACTGCATGGGGCAATAACTTGATGCAGTCTCTGAACCGTGGGTCACACCACAAGCCTCGCCAAGCAATGAGGAATTGGCGAATGAAAGGAAGGTAAGGACCATGAAGATCAAAAGCTTTTTTGAAATTATCCCATATGGCAATTGCAAATGGACATGAGAAAAAGAGATGTGAAATCGATTCCTCATGTTGTTTGCAAAGAGAGCACCAATTCGGAAGAATCATCCCTCTTTTTCTCAAGTTATCCACAGTAGCAATCTTCTCATGAGAGACCATCCAAAGGAAGCAGCATATTTTTGAGGGCACACAAGGATTCCACACCAACTTGAAAGGGAAAGCAGTGTCACCTCCAAAGTTACTCTCAATAAGGTTTGTAGCGAAAGAATGAACCGAGAAGACCATAGATGCCTCTAAAGGCCAAACCAAACGTGCAGGCCCTGTGGTAATCCAAAGTTGAGGAAGAGCATTCAACGTTTGCATCAAAAGAACACGTTCAGCTTCAGCTCCACCCCTCAGAGATATAGTGAGAGGAATCTCCCAAGACCTATCAACCATAGAAAACATGTCAGACACAAAGGCATCCAAGGATTGGGCTACGAACCCAACCCTTGGGAAATCACTCACCAAAAGTTTCCCAGGAACCCAAAAATCATGCCAAAAAGACACCCCAAAACCACCCCCAGGATCGACATAGGCAACCTTCCAAAAGTAAGAGCTTTCGTTAACAATTGCCCGCCACACAGAACAACCATACACTCCCAAATTCCAACATGGTCTCCATTCGGACCTACCTTGTCCAAACTTTGCAACAATCAACCTCCTCCACCATGCATCCCTCTCAACCCCAAATCTCCAAGCCCATTTCCCCAACAAAGCTCGATTCATACACCTAAGATCCAAGACTCCCAAACCGCCTCTAATAATTGGAGTCTTTACAATATCCCATTTCACCCAATGCAATCGTTTTGTCTCAAACACCCCTGACCACAGAAAGTCATTATAAATCTTCTCAAGTCTAGCAATCCTTTTCAAAAAAAAAAGTCTAGCAATCACTGAGCTCGGAGCCCTAAAGAGGGAAAGAAAGTATATAGGGAGATTAGAAAGAACACTTTTCAAAAGCACCAACCTCCCGCCAAAAGATAGCATTCTGGCCTTCCAAGAAGCTAATCGAGCTTGTACTTTTTCAATCACTGGTTCCCAAACTGTCAAAGAAGCTGCTCTGGAACCCAATGGCAATCCTAAGTAGGTAGTCGGAAGAGAACTCAACTCACATCCAAAAATGTCTGCATAACGTGATGGATTCTCAACCTCCCCAACAACCATCATGGAACTCTTATGTAAGTTCACTCGTAGACCCGAAATTGTTTCGAAGAGAGGTAAGGCTGTGAGAAGAGAACGAACTTGGTCTTCAGATGCATCACAAAATAACAACGTATCATCAGCATAGAGAATATGAGTGACCTCTCCCATTCTCAATTCTTCATTCATAAAGAATCCCTCAACCAAACCACGAGACTGCAAAGTCCTCAGAATACCTGAGAGAACCTCCATCACCAGGATGAAAAGACAGGGAGAAAGAGAGTCTCCTTGTCTTAGCCCTCTTTTGCTTGAGAAGTAACCAGAAGCTTCCCCATTCACAAGAACAGAGAACGAAGCAGCAGTGATGCACCCCCGAATCCACCTAATCCAAGGTGGGGGGAAACCCATAGTCTTCATAACAATAAAGAGGCACTCCCAATTTACATGATCATATGCCTTCTCTATATCCAATTTGAAAACTAATCCTGGTTTTCGAGCACGCTTCCTAGAGTCAATGAGCTCATTTGCGATAAGTATCGCATCTAAGATTTGCCGACCACCCACAAAAGCACATTGTTCCACCGCCACCAAGCCTCCCATGAAAACTTTTAATCTTTCCATAAGCACCTTTGAAAGAATCTTGTATAGGCTTGATACCAAACTAATAGGTCTAAGATCCCTAATATCACTTATAGCTTCTTTCTTCGGGATAAGACACAAGAAGGTGTGATGAACGCTCTTTGGGAGAGTCCCAGACACATAGAACTCTTTTAAAGCATTCACCACATCCGATTTCACGATATACCAGAACTTCTTAAAGAACCCCATTGGGAAACCATCAGGTCCAGGTGCATGTTCTCCTTTACTTTTCTTAATCACCCTCCACACTTCATCTTCATCAAATGTTCTCACCAAAAAGTCTGTTGCTTGCGGAGGAAGAGACGGAAACACAATACCAAAGGGAAAAGGCCTTCTAGGAAATGCCTCTTGAAAGATAGACTCATAATAGGACACAATAGCACCCGCCAGTTGATCTTGACCCGAGCAAAGAATGTCATTCACCCAAATATTATCCAAAAAATTCCTCCTCCGATTAAAGTTAGCAACCTTGTGGAAATAGGAAGTATTTTTATCCCCAAACTTGAGCCAAGTCTCTCCAGATTTTTGACGCCATGAAATTTCCTTTCTCTTCCACAATCTATCCAAATGACACTTCAACATATCACGTTGCACTCTATCTTCCTCTGACCAGACTCCAGCTTCTTCTAAGAAATCAAAGTCTGCAATATTTTGAAGAGTGAAACTAATTTCTTGATCCACATGCTTGAAGACCTCTATATTCCACTTTTTAATGTGAGCTTTCATCTGTTTTAGCTTCTTTGCACACCTGAAGAAATCCCCAAATCCCCCAATCTCATCAACCCACCAATTGCATAACTGACCCTCAAAATCCTCATGGTCAGCCCACATGAACTCATATCTCCAGGGTCGATGAATAACACGGTCCTCTCCACCAGACAACAAAAGAGCACAATGATCAGAACTCACTCTAACAAATGATTTCAAACAACATTGAGGAAACTCACTCTCCCAATCAGAAGAGACCAACACCCTATCCAAGCGAGATAATGAAGGGTTTGAATGTTGATTTGACCACGTGAACTTATATCCAAGCATAGGGAGATCCATGAGGGCGTGCTCTTCAATAAAATCATTAAACATTGCCATATCCACAGGGTTTCTTGGACCCCCCACAACATCATCTTGAGACCTTACCACATTAAAATCTCCCACGACACAAGCAGGAAATGACCACCAAGATAAACACGATGTCAATTCATCAAAGAAATCCTGACGCTCACTACCATCATTAGGTCCATACACATTAATCAACACCCACTTAAAACCATTATCTCGGCATGTAAACACTGTCACCAAACAAAACCTCCCCACCCAATGACATTCTAGATCAAACACCAGATTATCCCAAGCAACCAAAATACCACCCGAGAGACCAACTGATGGTTTGTCAACCCAGCCCATTCCATAGCAACCACCAAGTACCCCAACAATAGAATCCGTGCAACTTTCAAGTTTTGTCTCTTGGAAGCAAAAAATCGAAGGTCGAATAGGAGCAAGAAAATCTCTGATGGAATATTGTTTCTCTGTATTCCTCAAACCTCTAACATTCCACGACACCAATTTAAGGATCATAAAGAAAGGCGAAGCGGAGCATACCCATTCCTGCGTGGACGACTAGTTGACACAAGAGTAGAAACATCAGTCCTCTCCACTCCTAATTGGCGAAGCGCTCTCTCCTGAGGGGATCGAGAAGGAGGCTTTTTCCTTCTTAATAACACCTCGTGAAGAGTTTCTTCCCTTGAGCTGTCTGAGGACTCAATTGAATCCTCAAACCTTAAATCAACAAAGTCGGACAAAAGACGACTAAGTCGAAACATGCCAAGCTCTTCTGATCTATGCAAACTTCCAGCTTCCAAGTTTCTACCATCTGCACATTCAACCAAATTATACTCATCCTGCTGAAACCATGACTCTGAAATTTGTAAGGGGCCACTAAAATCCCAGCTCGCACATGGATTTAAGAAAAGGGAAATGGGCCATGCACAAAGAGCCCACCAAAGCTGAAATTTACTACTTCGATTTGAAGGGTTTAGAGGTTTTGAATTACTGAATTAGAGTTCAGAATTTGAAATTTAGGGGTTTAGCGGTTTAGAATTAGAGTTCAGAATTTGAAATTTAGAGTTTAGGGTAATGCATGTGACCTCGTATTAGTACATACTAACCATTCAAACTCTATTCTTAAGGTTGGGTGTATACACCATCGGCTGAAGCTCATTTGATAAAACCCTAAACGCGCGTTGGGTTCGAAGCTGCATGGTATCAGTGTATTGGGAATGTATTAATTTGCAGTGGTTAATAAGGCTACTTCGCCAGCATTGTCTTCTGTTCTCACAATAACAATCAAAACTCATTAGCGGTTTGCAATTTGTGATTATTGACCAATATGTTGCATGAAATCGACTGTACGTGTGATTAGTATTTAAAATGTATATTATCACTAAGATGTGTAAATAATATGATGATATGGCTTGAATTGAAAATCGTGTTATATGTATATTATTGTATATAATTTGTGCCCCGATATAGAAACAACTCAAACACTCCACCATGGAATCTCACCCATCAAAATCCCAGAGCTTTCACATCCAAACATCAGCAACGACCCATTCCAAATATCAAAGAACTCACTATAATGCAGTTGCCTTTCTATAACTGGCAACTGTAAGTTTTCATAAAACCTCGCAACATACATAGAAGATTACACTTCCATGAAATTCGTCACAGTTACCTGTATGCACACCTCCCTATTTGGAGATGAACTTGTTCCTTATAGAGCAGGTGAGAGCAAAGCCAGCCACTGCTCCAGCAATAAGTAATTGCGGGGTGCTGCACTTTCTGTAGAATGATGAAACACCAGTGGTGAGGTATATCAATGCCCATCTCGAGAAGAAATGTGCCCCGCAGCTCTTTTCAAACCTTTCCATTGAAAACCCCTACAGTTTGTTTAGCAATGCCCCCAATCATTGTCGGTTCAAAAAACGGGATAACATTAAACACAAAAAAAAGTGCTGGTGTCCGTTTCCACTCGTACATGTAAATTGAAAAGCAAAATCTCTAAATTGCTTACCTCAGGCAACTTGCCTTGCTCAGCCAAATGAGCCACATGAAGCCTCACATTTGATGCAGCAGGAATCCAAAAAGCTCGATCTACTCCAGAATATACTTTAGCGACTATGTCAATCAGTGTCTTGCTTCCCATCTCTATAGCTTTCAATATCGAAGCTTCTCTACTTCGACGGTTCCTGGGTAAAAGAGATCAAATGATGCAGAGGATACAGTACACTGAAGTGACAACGAATCGAAGTTGGATTGATATGCAGTTAATGGATTTAGATATATATACTCTCAGTTATAACTGATTCTTGGCCATGACAAAGACCAAGATTGTCCTCTGCAACGACAAATATAAAGGAGTGCCCTCAAAATGAGATCAGACTACCACATGTGAAATAATGGCAAGCGATTTCCTTACTTGAGATAACCACAGAGCATGTTCTTTGGCCACAAATTGACTCTCCCATGCATCGGAATCAAAATGTTGGGAGACAGGTCAATAAATTTGTAAGTTGAATGGAAATAGTCCTGCATATACCAAAGGAAAAGTTTCATTATATCTAAGATGTTAACTTACAAGTGGCACTTTCAAAGGGACAAGGTTCCAAAGTCACGGAAGTGTGCTACTATGTCAGGATGCCGCTATTCCATATTGGTATCCCCTTCTTTAGGACCATGCATTACCATCAAGCAATATATTACAAATGCAATTGAGCTTTATCATGTCTTATTCTGGCAATGACAAGTCTACCATGTTAAGAGCTATAGCAAAGGGGAAAAGACTTTATAGATGGCATGAAGGAAAAAAGAGGAAATATCAACATTATCTCTAAGACCAAGAATAATCAACTTACCGTCATATTTCCACCAGATGTGATGTCCAAAACCACGCTTCCTTGACTGAAAGACCCAGAAAAGAGGAAATCAAATTTTACAGCATCCATGCATACAAGCCAAGCTAGAATTATTTCTCAATCCACACACTGGAATTGCTTAAATAAGATTGTAGTATTGGGACCAAGTGATGTTTTTTGTTGACGAAAACTCAAGACTTCCTTCAATGAAAGAAGTCTCTAACTGAAATCCCTTACCCCACACAATGATCACCTACAATCAACGAATGAGTATTGACATGAAGCAGTGCCGTATGACCATCTGTGTGCCCCTACAAACGTACCAAGACATAAGAGCTAAACACTATCTAATGTTGATCAAAATTTCAATTATGAATTCCGAGCTTCCATATTGTGTGCATTATGGGACAGAATCTACGAACAATACTTCTGAGAAACAGACATGCAGCTTTTATGAAGCGCCATTAGCTGGAGTAAAACATGCTCAGTGATGAAATGTGTCTACCATATCCCATACTGGAAGCGTAGTCTTGTTTCTCAACCAATGAGAACTCTGGTGTTCCAAGCTACTAAAACATGTTGCAGTCCGAATCAAAGCACACATATGGCTAAATTACCGGAGCAAAAACAACTTTCAATCTTTGATCACCAATGAGAATGTCTTCTCCTCCAGAAACTGAAGTATAGTCACGGGACCAGTCATCTGCAATCACACAAATGCAAAGAGAGAGAGAGAGAGAGAGAGCATAAGTTACAGAACGGTTCAGAACTCTGCCGTACGAAGAGCAGCAGAAGTATGAAAGGAGAAATGCAAAGTTTTTCTTACAGACGACCTCTCTTAATTCTTCGCATTGTGTTCTCGTGTGCTAATAACTTAGCATCAGGCTTGCATTTTTGGATTATAGAGAGACCTATAAGAGAAATAAGAGTTAAAATGGATAAGTGACTTACAGATATAGCTCTATTAATTGAATTATCCATACTAAATGTTGAGAACTTTATGATAAAAATAAACAAGAATTGTAGAAGGTCCTAGGTGTTCGAGAAAACAAATCTATCCAACAAGTGATTTAGCAATACTTAATTCTTAGGGAGTACTAATTCAGTGAGCTATCTGCATTGTAAGTGAAGAGAGACAAATGGTAATATTTCTATGTGTATTATTTATTTATTTATTCAATTTATGTAACTTACCATCAACATGGTCAGGATGGTGATGAGTCACAAAGACGATTAATTTTCCGGAAAGAGCAGCAACAATTTTCAGTAGCTGATCAAGCAACAAACAAGATAGATCAAAAACTTCAAACTTGCCAAGCAATTCATAAGGGTATCGACTAGTAACCATCAATCAATTGGATAGCTTCGGATGCTTACAGCTGGCACGCAATATACATGTGGTCTTTATTTATTCCTATCTAACTTAATAGAATTAAACCAATCAGATCAAAAATCAAGGTCAAACTGTTCCCGTTGTGGTGCACTAGAAGCTATCAACAAAGACAGTGTTTGCAAAGTATAAGAACCCAGTCAAGAGATTCATTCAACTAAGTTGGCACTGGGGACAAAGATTAGGATAAAGAAATTTACACCTTACTCTGCATGAGAGACCAAAAAAATTACAGTCTGAACTTTCCCTTAGGCAGCTATATATTATTTCATAAAAACAAATACCGAGTGGCATTTCATGCATTTTGAATATGAAAATGGAAGTATTCGGTGGACTGGGATGGAGTCGTAGCATAGAGTGAAGGTCTCAGACAAACTAAAACAAACTAAATGGTAATTCTACTCTTTTGTTGGGGCACTCTTATAATTGAACTTACTCCGGAGACACAGTTTACCAACAGAGAAGACCGAAAGACCTCTTAATATGAGGTTTAAAGTATTAAAAAAAAAAAAAAGCTTCACGGGTTGCTCACTTTGACAGCATATCTAATATCTCGCCAGAACATTCTAACAACAGATAATCATGCAGAGTATACTGTGTTTTCCGCCAACAGATTAATTACAAGGCATATATCCATTAACCTTACCCTTCGATAAAAAAAAAATTCAATGTTCATACCAGATAAAACAGATCACTAGTTGCGTTGCATGATGTATCCAAGACATATAAAAGATATAAATAGATAAAATGAAAAGCTCAAGAAGATTAAATCAGTTTATCAAATTGACATAGTCTGACATGTTTGCGATACAATGTTGCATAAGCATTTATTTCATGATCTGTTAACCAAGAAACAGTGCATACCTCCTCATGAACATTAGTATGGCACCCTGGATCCACTATCAAAACATCTCCAGATATAGCAGAACTAGTGTCCTTGAATTCACCAGAAACATTTGCAGGTGCAAATATAATCATGTTTGTTGTAAGAAAAGGTTTTGCTGTCCTACTTTTCATTGGGACGAGAATTACCCCTGGAGGGTACTCCTGCAAGTTACAAACATTACTGTTTCAGAGAAAAGCATGAAAAGCAGCATCTGAAACAAAATGGTCGACCTTCTATTCTAGGAACGTAATAGTGGGATTTTACATCCTTCCGGGAGATCTCGTCCAGCTCAAAGAACACCACGATCCACACAAAAAACAAAGCACTGACACAGTTGACCATCACCCTAGACCAAGAGAGCATCTGAGCTTTAATTTTCTTAATTCTCAAGCCAACTAAAAATTCATAAAACATAAATGCTTCAAGCTAAAATCGTCATCAAACAAACCTGGTAATGAGGGTTTGTGTGAACTTTCTTCCCTGACAACCGTGATGATTCATTTACAAGACCCACTGCGGCTAAGGTCCCAACACGAACATTACCCGGTTTTACATCATGAAGTAAACTCAGACAGCTTTCTACAGACATCCACTTGCAGAGATCTGCAACACAGATAATGCTAGTGTTCAGAATGTGGTTCATTGTTCATATTTATAATGCAAACACAGATAATGCAAACAACCCAGTTCATGAGCGTCCATATCAATTAAATTCTGAGTACGATATATTGATTTGGAATACAGAATTGATTAATCAACACCAGAGACTAAAAAGTATTCACTTGAAACGCTGCAAAACAAACCTGGTAAGTCAGAGTCACCCCGAGTTAACTCGCCAACTATATAGATGGTACGAACGGGCAAACCAGGGCCAAACTCAGGTTCCACTACGAATTTCGAAACCCTCCACGCTCCAATATCGCTCACCTTGAAACCTACTTGCCCCAGCACCTGAGAAATTAATCGAATAACTGAACAGATAAAGAAATGGGAACGAGAGGAATGCGTAGAAATTTGGCGAAGAATTCATAGCTCACTCTATCAATAGCAGCGTCGAGGTCAAAGTTCCTGAAATCGATCGTCTCAGAGAACGACTGGAGACCTTCGATCACTGCTCCAGGCTCCAGTACAGCTTCCAGACGGTTGAGCTTGGTCGACGGCAAGTCCCACAGATCAGAATCCAACAAAGAATCGTATTCTTCATCGTTGAATTTGGGAGGGGGAGTTTGCCTGACAAGGATGAACTCGCTATTGTCGGATGCGTCGCTTTTGAGGATCAAAGCGAGAATGTGAGTGGCCATTCTGGTGACCGGAGAAGATGCCGGGAGAAGCAATGTCAAACGCGACCGGAGTTGGACTTTGGTGACTGGGCTAAGTTAATTTCGAGCTTTTCTATGAAATTCACACGTGTGCAAGGTTGTCAAACCGGTTTATGCTCGGGTTAGCAAGTGGAATGGTTCGACCGGTGGCACATACCGGTTTGTACCGATTCATGCTAGTCAAATAAAATTATAAATACTCATATTTAAACATGACATTTAACGTCAATACTTAAATATTTTTACTTGAATCCAACAAATAACATCAATATTTAACTTTTATACTCATAAAATCAATAATAAAATATTTTTTATCAATTAAACTCACTAAAATAAAACCATTTTACTTAGAGATTCGTATATCAATCATACCGGTGGTGTCATACCGGTTTTATGACCGGTATCGGTTCAACCGATGGCACGCTGGCCGGAGTGACAACCATGCACGTGTGTAACGAGTTTTTATTATTATTTATATTTAAAATAAATAATTTTCAGGCGGTGGTGCCAACGTTTTGCGAGGATCCCAGAGAAACAGCAAAAATAGTATATCACTCCTTGAACTTTCACATACTTACTGTTTAATCCTTTGATTTACATTACTTAAATGTCAAAATGTCTCAATTCTAAAAAACGGAACACAAACTTCTTAAAATTTATTGCATTGTCCCTTCATGGCATGTTTGGTCCATGCTCGATCCCAAGACCTTCTTAATCATATTTCAATGATGGTTTTTGTTGGTTTTGGTCGTTTTTATTGGATGGGTCATTCAAGTATTGAACTATTCATCCTTCATTGCATTGTGAATATAATTCGTATACTTTAACTAATCAACATCTTATTTGATTGAGATTTTAGTTGATAGGAAGAAATTATTAACTTTCTTTTATTTTGTTTTTCCCCGGGATATTAAGGGATGACCATGGGTCAAGTAATGGTTCAATAATTGTTGAGTTGGATTATTTTGAGTCCCCTGAGGGTTGATAGTCTAATTGCTTGTAAATTGTACCCAATTTTAGGACTCTTAATTTATTATGTTATGTTTATCGCTCTATGATTTGTTATAGAAATTTTTTTATTCGATTTATATTTCGAGTTTGGGACAATAAGAAAAAAGTTCGATTCCCAATTTGGAATAATGAGACAGTGTTAGTGCAATTCGGAGTATTCTGTAAAAGTCTAGGGATCACTACGAAACTTTTTTTAGGAGGGGTATTGTTGACCTTTTGCTAAAGATGATTGCCGAGCACCCTTAACCAGCAAGAAAAGCGAAGAAAGCACAAGAAACCAAGCAAGGAACCAGATCTAGGGTTCTTCTTCCATCAACTGCCTGAAATCCAATTCTCTCTCTGTTTGTTTTCCGTGCTACGCAGAGATGGCACTCGAGTGGGTCGTGCTTGGGTACGCAGCGGGCGCGGAGGCGATCATGGTCCTCCTGCTAACAATCCCGGGCCTCGACGGACTGCGGAAGGGACTGATCGCCGTGACTCGCAACCTCCTGAAGCCGTTCTTGTCGGTGGTCCCGTTCTGCCTGTTTCTGCTGATGGATATCTACTGGAAGTACGAGACCCGGCCGAGCTGCGAGGGCGATTCGTGCAGCCCGAGCGAGCAGCTCCGCCACCAGAAATCAATCATGAAGAGCCAGAGGAACGCCCTGTTGATCGCCGCGGCGCTGATCTTCTATTGGCTGCTTTACTCCGTCACCAATCTCGTCGTCAAGATCGAGCAGCTGAATCAGCGCGTCGAGAGGCTCAAGAGCAAGGAGTGATGGAATGTGCTCGGCGGCGGTGGTGGTCGACGGCGAACAGCCAGATAAGTGCATTTTAGCAAAGTGGGTTCATCTATCTTCTTTTTGCCATTTCCCGGTGTTTCCTTCTATGATCGAGTATTTGCGCTTTAACACGTTCATCGTTTCTTGTAGACGCTTGTTTAGTTATCGTGTTTGTAATGTGTTTCTGTTTGTAAGGTTTCCTATGGTCCATTCAAATTCTGCTTGTTGAATTTGATGGAAGGTTAAGCATTATGTTTAGGACAATATACAATATAATAACGTTCGCTCTTTCCAATTGAATTTGTTCCCTTTTCCTGCCTGGGTTCCTTGATTTCTTCCCCAAGCTTCTGCCTGTGAAGCATTAGCCTGTTCAATTAGGCTGCAGTTTCTTAGATGGATTGTTGAATGCACTTCTTTATTTCATGGTGAATGTCATACTCTTTTGTAAGCAATACTGATATGCAGGTATCGATCTCCAGAGTTTCGGCTTGAAGCACTTCGATTCAATTGTAACTGCTTGATCTTGTGTTCTGTTGTTGCCTTTAGTTCAAGAACAGACAGACTAGCTTCCTCGATGTTCTAGGACGGGAATAACCGATTTACACATGGATAAGCACCCTCTCTGAGTCATTGTCTGTCTTACCAATGTCCCTAGAAACCATGACAGTGCAAGTCATTTTCATGACAACTTCTTGATGGTGGTTGGTGTATATGGACCTTTCTATTGACTGTTCCCTCCGCAGTAGTTCTGGTAATTCTTGGCGAGACCACCATACATTCGCCCGGTCTGCTACTAAGAAAGGCAAGGCCATTTTTTAAGTTATTTTCAAGCATAATCATGAATTTTGTGTTGCTACTTGAAGCAATATTAACCTCTGGTTAGGACTGTGATCTTTCATGTATGTGCACTCTGTTACTGCTTGCTGTTGTTGCTAGGAGGTGGAGGGGCAGAGATTGGGATTTGAAGAGTTAGATTAGTTGGTTGGATAGATAAATGCGGTTTGATGGATAGAATTAAGGGGTGATGGAAGTTGTCTGCTCGAGGATGATCTTTAGGTTTGGACACTTAGTAAAAGTACTTTTGAAGTGTAGTAAGTTACTTTGTCAGGGAAAGTTCTCAGTCTCCAGCAGAGTAACTGGAATTTATTCCAATATATCGTAGTGTAATCCTGAATGCAAAGGGTTGTCATTTGTCAAGCTAATGTGCCAAGCTGGAGGAAGAATCCTCTCAACTTAATGAACAGCTTGGTTTCTAGGCAAGTCTAGCTCCATAATTGGGGGAATCAAAAGTTGTTTGGTTCGATTCTGCATTTTGGTTGCGGCAGCTTGCTGTTTGATTTCGTTTTGTTTAGGATTGTTGATTAGTTTGAGGGTAAGCATATCTTGTATGCAGTTGTTAGTCAGTCAGTCAGTGCTTGTTATCTTCCTTTTATTTCTACGTCGCCATTGTGATGAGTTAATGGCCTCATAATGAAATCTCGAGCTAGAATCAGGCTCTCGCCAATTCTTTGCCTACTGTTGAATTTTGAGGTCTCAAGACTCCAAATCTTGGTCGCGACTTGTTATTGAAATTTGGACCGTTATAGCCATTTTGTCTATTTCCCTCAAAGTTATCTTAGATCGGTGTGTTCAACCAACCCAGATTGGCCGCACAGGAACCTGGTTAATAGCCAACAATGGTGATACGTATTAACCCAAACCCGACCCTAAAACAAACCAAACCCGACCCTAAACCAAACCAAACCCTCAACCCACCTGGGCTATATTTTGTACTTAAAAGAGCTTAAGAATGACAATTTGAACCTGTTCCGCGTAGTATTACCCGCCCCGATCCATTTGGACCCATCTTGTAGAGTATTACCTGCCCCGATCCACACTTGGTTGGGACAAGAATGAGTATTGAGATAACCACCCGTTTGCCATCACTAGATCCATCTGAGCTAATTATGTGAGCTAATTAGTTAGTTCACAAAGTGGCTCGGGCATGTGAGTTATTAATCTATCTGCAAATAATCCAAACTGTAGTGTGTATGATTCATGTTGGTGGATCGTTGATCAAGAAAAATTATCTGCACTTAATTAAATTGGTTGTTGGTTGTGGGTGAATTGCGGGTCACTTGGATTACATGCTCTCTACTTTCCAATGGAAATGAATTTTCTTGTTTATACTATTGAATAGTCATCATATTTCATAATTGTGTTGCACACTAATTATTGACTACTAATGATGGGAAATAAAGAAACTATTGCTACTATGTTGTGTGGTATCCATTCGATATTCAAATGCAAATAAAAAACTGTTAATTGTATCAAAGTTATAAAAAGCGTTAATTTTTTTCTACACACTTAGTTGGAGTATTAAATTTGATACCTTTTCCCATGAATTGAAACTCACACGTAAAGAGTCTTTGTCTCTAGGATTATGTGGTTAGCGACTTCCTTTGACTGGTCAAAGAGCATTTCAAGCAAAATGAAAAGTTGGTATGAGTAATAAAATAGAAAATTTTATATGTCACCACAAGAGACAAAGTGTAAAGTATTTAAATTGCTACTGTTTTCCTAATTTTTGATGAGTTTATTATACATTCTAGTTAACTTGTCTAATGGTTAGTCGAAAAATTGCTTTTACGAATTAACTCACAACTCACCTGCATCCACCCGGACAATTATGTGGATAGATTGGGTCACAATTGTATCAACTCGTTAATAAACGAGTTGGTCAATTTGATACCAAAATCCATATCCAACCCCTACTTCTTAAATAATAATCGTAGGTTTTTTAGTGGAATAATTCAAGTATCTTTTGATAAGCAAATATTGTCGGTTTGGTTATCGAATCTCAAACTAGAAGAGCTCTCTCAACCGACGGAATCGTGTACATGCTCTAGATCCCTATTAAGACTGATGACCTTCCTTACTGATACTTCGACTGGTTACAGAAGTAGTAATCCAGAAAATGCAGACCTCGTTCCTTTAACCATTCTGTTCATTCATATCCCAGGTTGATGAAGCAAAACCAGTTAGGTTGCAGTCAGACATACTTGAAAAATGAAAAGTAATGAAAGGTCGGTAGGGCAAAGTGGCCAAGACAAGAGGACAAAGGAAAGGAAAAATGCAGTGGAAATTCCATTGATAGGTGCGGAGAAAGTTAGTGGCAGAGCGCTTTGGCATTGTTTGATCTCAAATCTGGGGGTGAGGGAGGAAGTGAGTGGGCGATCCAAATATGAGGTGATAGAAATTTTATAATGAAGAGACGTGTGGCAAACATATGCCTGCCACGCTCTCTTCCACCTTCCCCTCTTATATGGTGCGAAGATGGTGATCCATTATAAACATGCGGCCACTTGTTATTTTTATCTTTTTAGAAGCTTTTTGTTATCAGTTTTAGATATTTGGATAGCTCTGTTTCTAAGTAAAGAATTAATGGGGGGATAATTTTCTTTTTAATGAAGGTTATAGATATACAATTTCCTCTACGTATTTTTCGAGCATGTGGCTCCACCAATGACTCGATGCACAATAGTTTTCATTCTCGTCCTAGAAAATTTGGACTTCAGACGGGGCCGATTGTTTAATAGGATGAAGCTGGTTTGATTAACCTACTAACTGATTAATCCAACAAAACCTAAACAATCTAAGTAACTTGTACCGATCAGCCGGTTTCTAGTTCACAATGAAACTGGTTCGGTTGTCATAAACACAAAATCAAAATGTATGAAAATCATAGTCAGTAAAATACTGTACGGATAAGTTATGTATATAATGCGTTCTTGTATTTTATTTGTTTTATAAATTAATGGTACATTGAATAGTACATCAGTAGTTATAATATATATATAATTATTTTAAAAATAAATTAGAAACAAATAATAGTTAAGTTAGTAATTTAATTTATTAAATAAGAATATTAAACTCGTTATACGGTTTTTATATTGTTTAGAATAGGAGCCATCAAAGAAACAGGAAAAAATGAAAGACTTGACAATAATACGAATATGAAAGTTTTTTTATCTGAATCGCTAAATGTCGCCCTTAAAATTGCTAACGGTCGCCCTAACTCTAATGATAAATGACTTATATACCCCAAAAAAAAATTCAAAATTTAAACAAACCAAACAATCCCTAACCCCTCAAACTGAACCCCTCATCTGCCTTCTTCGCGAATCCCTCTCGACACACCAGTTCGTCGGCGTCGCCCGTTCTCTAACCAAAATTCCAAAAAAACGCTCAACCTAAGGTAAGTTACGGTTGGTCCATGGTGCAACCGCAACTCACTTGCGGTTGGCCCATGGTGGAAACGCAAGTGAGCTGCAGTTGGCCAATGGTGCAACCGCAAGTGAGCTGCGATTGGCCCATGGTGCAACCGCAAATGAGCTACGTTTCCCTTTTTTGTTTTGTTTTCAATTTTTTGAGTGAACTTTACCGATTCAGAGTCGCTAGTCATGATCCAGACATCATATCGACGATTCCGACTCCAGAATGACGATGATGGATTCTCTCTTTTGAATAATGTTTTATTTTCTTTACTAAGTGGTGTTTGTTTGCTAAAGGAAGAGTAAAGAAACTAAAAGGTTAAATTTGTAACTTTGATGTTTTTAGGGCGACATTTAGCAATTTTAAGGGCGACCTTTAGCAACTCCCTTTTTTTTATTACCCAGGAACCTGAGCCCCATGTGCCACTTTGTGACAGCGGGGCTTACTAAACCTGGGAGCCACCTGTAATTAATTCAATGCCAACAGGGGTTCACCCCAGCAGCCTTATACCTACGGGAACACCAATGGGCCTTGCTTGGATTCAAACTTGGGATCTGCAACTCTCAAACCTTCACTATAGCGACAACTTTACCGTTAGACTATCTTACATTTGGTTGAATATGAAAATCTTAAATGAATAAAATACATGTATTATATGAAATTTGTACTATAGTGAAAATAGTAGCCCTCCCTTTTACTCTGGTCACAATAATTTCACCTCTTGCGGTCGGGCCGTTGATGAGGCAGAGTTACTGCCAGACGAGAAGAATCACATTCAAGGGGAGCTAATGGTTTGGCCGACATCGACATCCTGCCATTGAATTGCATTCATTGATGGAAACAACTATGGGAAACACAATTCCTTTTTATTTTAAATAAATCGAAATTACCTGAGGCGACGATTCCCACCTTCAAATGTTTTCTCCCCCCCCCCCCCCCCCCCCCCCCCCCCCCCCCCGCTCCGATATTTACGTGCATGGAAAGTTTGACCATTCCACGCCAAAATGACGAAAATCACGGGTTGGGGCCCCACGTTAGCAACAGTCAAGAAGGATCAATCTGAACACGTCAGATAAAATAGAGACTCGTGTCCCAGCCACGTCATCAGGTTGGATTGGGATTGGGGGATGAGGTGGAGAGGGGGACAAACCGAGGCGGGAGGGTGGTGGGACGCTTATCGCCTCATGCTTTCCATACGTGTCCACGTATCCCGACCCTTTCCCCTGTCTGACGTGGCACACTCTGCCTTATTGATACCACGTCCACGTGTGTTATCTCTTTCTTTGTCTCCACTTTTGCACCCACCGAGGGTAAAATGGTTTTTTTAGTAACTTCCACGTCTGCCTCAGCCTCGAACAAAATATCCGGTTGATAATCCGGTTCGTTCGTAGTTAAGATTAGAAATAGATAGATAGGCTAAGTGCAATCTCTAAGGTGGAAGGTTGTCAAACCGGTTTGTGCCAGTGTGCCGGTTTAGCAAGTGAAATGGTTCGACCGGTGGTACATACCGGTTTGTGCCGGTTCATGCCGATTAATATTACAAATAATTTACAAATACTCATATTTAAGCACGACATTTAACGTCAATACCTAAATAAATATTTGTACTTGAATCCAACAAATAACATCAACATTTAACATTTTAACACATAAAATAAATAATAAAGGGTTAAAGACACATTTGGTCACTGAGATTATAAATTGGGACATGTTTAGTCACTAGAAAAAATTAATATCAATGTTGGTCACTACAATTACTAAAACTGGACACATTTAGTCACTCGCCGTTAGCCTCCGTCCAACTCCGTTAATGAAGTCCGTTAAGTGATGATGTGGCAAACAGAATTGCCTAATCAGCCGGATATAACCCAACAAAAATAAAACCCGACCCGCCACGTCATTAAAACCAACCCAACCCATGACCCAACCCCACCCAACCCTTCTTCCTCCTTCCTCTCACCTCCTTTCACCAAAACCACCGCCGCCCTTCCTCGTCCCTCTTTCGCTGCTCCTTCTCCACCTTCTCGTCGCTCCTCCGTCGCATTCGCTTCTCCTGCTCCGCCGCTGCCGCCTACGCTTCCGTCGCTTGCGGTTCCGGAATGGAACCAGATCCAGATCTATCGTCATCTTGATTTTGAATTTCGGATCCCGATGAGGAAGTGACAACGTTGAATTTTGCAGAAGCCGCCGCCGCCGCGGCGGAGCTGTTATTGTGGTAGATTCGTTGCTGCGGCGGAGGAGGAGGCGGCCTGGTGGAAGGAAGTAGGAGGGCGGGCTCTCCGCGAGCCGGGATTGGGCTTGGGCCCGGGTCGAGGAGGCTGCGGAGCCGGTACTCGAGCAAGGCGGCGAGATTAGGGTTGCAAGGGTAAATAATTTCTCTTACATTTTGAATCAGCTGGGGGATTGAGACGTTTGCTGAGCTGTGGATTAGGTCTCTGATTATCCCATCGATCCATGCCGCCGCGGCCGTGGAGGAGTCGTCCTCGTCGATGAGGACGGGACTCGATCCAACTGTTGCAGGAATATTACTCGTGGAGCAGGGGAAGCGAAAGGGTCCCAGAAATCCCAGCTGGAAGACTGAGGAACCAGCGGCGAAGCAGGGGAAGCGGAGATCGAGGTCCAGGCGGTGTCGGAGCTGGGGCTCATTGGAGGAGGCGGCGGCGGTTGTAATTGGGGAAAGAAGGAGGTGAGAGGAAGGAGGAAGAAGAGTTGGGTGGGGTTGGATCATGGGTTGGGTTGGTTTTAATGACATGGCGGGTTATAATGACGTGGCGGGTCGGGTTTTATTTTTGTTGGGTTATATCCGGCTGATTAGGCAATTCTGTTTGCCACATCATCACTTAACGGACTTCATTAACGGAGTTGGACGGAGACTAACGACGAGTGACTAAATGTGTCCAGTTTTAGTAATTGCAGTGACCAACTTTGATATTATTTTTTTCTAGTGACTAAACACGTCCCAATTTTGTAATCTCAGTGACCAAATGTGTCTTTAACCCAAATAATAAATTACTTTTTATCAAATAAATTCACTAATATAAGATCATTTTACTTAGAGATTCGTATATCAATCATGCCGGTCATACCGGTAGTGTCATACCGATTTTATGACTGGTACAGGTTCAACCAGTGGCACGCCGGCCGGCGTGACAACCATGCTAAGGTGCAACCTATGATACGATTATAAGTCTACAATATGCAAACCAATCGTAGAAAATTAATCGTGAAAAGTGACCAAAATCGGAGCATGCATAAATATAGAGCTAATTAATGAATTCGTTTTATTAATATTTGTAACGATTTAATTATGAGTCCATTCAATCATTTATCAAATATAAAAAATTTATAAAGTATCAATTCGAGAGTGAAATTTTATTTAGATTGGAAAATATTTTGTTAACCCCCTAATTAGGTCAGATACACATGGAGGAGGAGCCTCTTATTAATTGCTGATTTGGCTAAAACCGTGACTCAAAATTGCAAGGTCGGATTATTTATTAAAAGGAAAAATGATCAGAAATATGAAGAAGGAACAAAAATAATTATATAATCCTGTCCTGGAGCGAAAATTTTCGCGAAACACAAATCCAGCTATAAAAAAAAAAAAAAAAAGCAAGAGATAGAGAGCAGCAGAGAGGGAGAAGAATTGAATCAGAATATTTTAGCCAAACCAAGAATTGGAGAAGGTAGGAGAGGAGGATGCCTTGCATGAACAGGTGAGGGAGGTTGAAATCGGCGAGTTCGGGAAATCGCTGTAATGGCGACGCCATTTTCCGGTGTGGACGGAGGCGCTGGCGGCGTTGCGGTAATGGCAGGTCCACTGAACCCAATCGATCCTTCCACGCCGTCCAAGTCTTGCCTCAAGAATTCCGTACTCAAGTCCCCCATACTCATATTTCTCTTCTTCCACAAAGCTATCCGGTCGGAGCTAGACGGCCTCCACCGCGCCGCCATGGATTTCGCCACCAGTGGCGGAGATATTAAACCTCTGCTGGACAAGTATCACTTCCTCCGTGGAATTTATAAGCACCACTGCAATGCTGAGGATGAGGTAGGCGATTGCCCCCCCTTTTCATTTACTTGTTCCTTTCCAGTTTTTGAACGAACCTTTCTGGTCGTCGAATTGCTTGAAATTGGGGTTCTGGAATTGTGATTCATGACGTCCTTTTTGGTGTTTATGTCATCCCAATCCTTTCCCCCCCAACGCTCTCAGTCGGTGACTCGCTCCTGGCTTTGAGTTCTCTGCTAGACTGCTAATAAGTCTTATCGAAGGCTCTTCCTGATTGCCAAGTTAGTCCTGGAACAACCGATAGAGAATCGGATTGCTATCTGAAGCTTCTGGTTTAGTTTGCTCAGTTTGTGAATTTAGGGTGTCAGGAGGTTTTGTGCTTGTTGCATTGTTTCAACTCGTCTTTCCTCTTGATTAGTTGATTTTCATGGCTGACTACTTTTTTGAGAAACAGGTTTAAGACGAGAGTCTAGAGTCTAGTACCATCTGCTCAGTATTTATTATCTACATGGATGCCTTCCATCATTGCTTTCAGAGTTTCTTAAATAAACTCATACATACTGGTTTCTCTATGCTTAGATGCTCCATTGATACTTAATTGAGGGGTGGCGGGTAACATGTTGCCATTGGTCTGTTTCTTGTGTTAGATGTTCTTCTAAGTTTTTGAAGTTCCTGGAACTGAATCTCTTAATTACTAGAACCTATACATAAAATAACTTTTCTTCACAGCAGTAGAAATGCTGTCACTATCATTCCTTAAGTTTGCACTTCGGGCGTACAATACAATCATTGGCCAGTTTCTCTCTTTTGCTTATTGACGTTGATTGTGTGCTTTATTCTAGTTTGTTCTCCTATATGCTGCCCCTATCCTTCCCCTGTCATCAATGTAAATAATTATGAGTAGCAGCAGGCTGAGAAAGGGAGCTTTAACTGCTATGCCCTTGAGCTGAATAGATTTCTAACAGCTAGTAAGATACTAGCTACATGCCAATTTGACTTTACCTGAGTCTAAGGATGCACTATGAGTCTCCAGGATATGTGCTTGGAAATGGGAAGGAGTAGGAATAACGTACATAACCAAATAGTCTCATATCGGCAAATAGAGTGAAACAGAGCAGCGAAATGAAACTTCAATATTCAATATGCCTACCACATAGTGAACTGTCAATAGAGTGGAAGTCTATATGAGGTTATCTCATGAGATGTAGTGCATATTTTATATTCAATGCGATATAACTGCGGGACTGATCTATATACATACTTATCATCAACTTCTATAGTTTTTGAGTACTGATCAAGTAAATTCTAGTCAATTGCGATTGCCATTCATACTAGAGTTTCCTGAAATGCACAGAGAATGTGCTGCCAACATTTATCATTATTGTTAGTCTGGCATAGTTCTGGTGCCTGTTCTCTGTATTGTTTGAAAGGTTACATTATCAATGATCTGTCAAGAGTATGGAAAAGGAGCTGACGATGTCTTTACCTTTTTTCTTTCTTTTGGTTCTTGGAATCATAAGGTGTCAATAACTTGGTGTTTGAAACTGCAGGTCATCTTTCCGGCCCTTGATATACGTGTGAAGAATGTCGCTCGGACTTACTCCCTAGAACACGAGGGGGAGAGTGTTCTCTTCGATCAGTTGTTTGAGCTACTGAATTCAAGCATACAAAATGAAGAAAGCTATCGGAGAGAGTTGGCTTCTTGTACTGGAGCCATTCTAACATCAATAAGCCAGCATATGTCAAAGGAAGAAGAGCAGGTCAACTTGTTTGATAAAGTTATTTAATTAATAGCTTTTCTTGTGTACTGCCTTAATTCCAACGGCAATCAGGTGGTCCTTTGTTTTAGCTTTGCAGAATCTTTTCTTTGCTACTTGCCCTCTGGTGCAAGGGTTTCTGTTAGTTGCTCTTTGATATTTTTTTCATGACACCTTATGTTACTTTCTGGTTTTTTTATTATAATGATACATAGCTATACTAGTTTAATGAATTGCTCTCACAAAACTGTGTGTACTTGTTCAATTGCATATGCTACTACAACAACACTTGCCTAATTCACACTACCTATCATCCCTTAAGAGTTAATGTTAGATGGTGTGTTAGACTCCAGAAGTTCTTACTGGACATGGATTCTGTATCATATTAGAAGTAAATTGCATGTAAAGCCTCATCGATGTTTCCAAATAATTGAGGTTTATCATGTCAAGGTCTAATTACTTTCAACTGAGTAAAGTTGCTCGGTACAACTTCTCAATCCACTTAAAAGGAGTTTGCAGGTAGAGGGGCAAAACAGATCAGTCTCACTTGCTTTTTGTTGGATAACTGCAGGTCTTCCCGCTGCTAATTGAGAAGTTCTCATTTGAAGAGCAGGCTTCACTTGTGTGGCAGTTTCTCTGCAGCATTCCTATTAATATGATGGCTGAGTTTCTGCCATGGCTTTCTTCCTCAGTGTCATCTGATGAGCACCAAGATATGCGTAAGTGCCTGTCCAAGATAATACCCGACAAGAAGCTTCTTCAGCAGGTGAGATCCTTTCTGAGATGTTCTTCATTATTGAATGGGGTTTCTGAAGGGAGCTCGCAGGAAGCTGATCTTACCTTCTGTTGATGAAGGTTATTTTCACCTGGATGGAGGGGAGAGAACCCACTGATGTTTGCAAGAGTCGTGAAGCCATTTCACATTCCAAAACCTGGTCACATGTTTCAGGATTACCGGAACCAATTGTTACGAGAGAGATACATTATGCATGTGAAGCATCTGGAAATGGTAAAAGGAAATATATGGAGCTAAGTTCTAATGTTGTTGGTTCAACCATGCCTCATCCCATTGACGAAATTTTGCTCTGGCATAATGCAATTAAAAGAGAGTTGACTGACATAAGTGAGGCAGCTAAGAAGGTACAACTATCTGAAGACTCTTCTGATCTCTCTGCATTCAACAAGAGACTGCAATTCATTGCAGAAGTTTGTATTTTTCACAGGTTTGTTTCTTTTCCTTTTCTTGTCTGGATATCCTTCCAATACTCAGACCTAACTGTCTCTGAACTGTTGTTCTTTTACCATTTGAGTTGGAAACCTCTTTATTTTTTGCCTCAATGAATATTGACCAATAATGCGATCGACTTTAAATTATGAGCTGTGTATTTCTGCGCTGTTACTTTTATGTTTCATCAGTTGATTTGTATTCCTTTCTGCTGCCCAGAAGGTTCGCACAAAAACTCTTCTTTCTTTTGCTGTTTCTTAGAACTTAAGAAGATAATAGTTTTTGTGTGTCTCACTCTCTCTCAACTCACTCTGCCATACTCTTTTATTCATATTGAAAGCATACTACATTTGTCAGGTGTTTTTCTGCATGTTACAGTACAAACACTGAAAATTTTGCTCCCCTTATTTGTATGGTAAGGCATATGTTCTTGGGAGGCTGAAACCTCTGGTTTTGTTATCTGCAGTATTGCCGAGGACAAGGTTATATTCCCTGCCGTAGATTCCGAACTGTCTTTTGCTCAGGAGCATGCCGAAGAAGAAATTCAATTTGACAAACTCAGATGCCTTATTGAAAGCATTCAAAATGCTCGGGCCAACATATCACTCACCCAGCTTTATGGGAAGTTTTGTGCGCAAGCTGATCACATAATGGACACCATACAAAAACATTTTAAAAATGAGGAGGTTCAGGTAACTATCATTTCTCAAACTGTTTATGAAACTCTTGCTATCAAAGCTTATGCACATTTCT